ATTGGCTCCCATAAAAAAATATTTAAAAAAATTAAAAAATGGACATGATGTTCACCTCCGTACTACAGATATATATATAGGTAAGCGAAAGTAAATGTCAAGAAATTATATAAACTTATCATGTCAAAAGCTACTAGAATCTAATTTCTTAAAATTCACTTTAAAGAATAACATTACCTAAATTGAAAAATGACAGCTTATTGTTTCCTTGGGTAGAAGTGGGTCTTCGAGGAGAACCGGTAAGGAATTGTTCAACTCCATCCTCGCAGTTAGAAGAAGAGGTGCCTTCCTGAACTTTCGACGAAGAACTGACCTCTTCCCTGGATACTCTGCAGATTGAAGAAAAGCATTCCTGGCTGGAGATATGGTTCGGTCTGCCGCTACTTGAAGTATCACTTTTTTTTACCGCATTGCTCTATCAAGAAATTAATAGAATATTAAAGGGAATAAATAAACAATGACAGAATAGAGGAATACATACTGTAGTCCAATTGGCGAATGATTTAGTTTTCTTATTGGAGTAGTTTTCCGATGTTGACCCAGTGAAACAGTTGCTAAATTTATCTTCAGAAGCATTTAATCTGTAAAATTAAATAATTTTAAAGTTATCGATACAATAATTTATGGTGAGATTGATATATAATTTGCACTTTTAAGCAATATAAATGGTAGCAGTAAAATAATAGATTGATAATACAACTCTAAAAAAATAATCTGGTGCGCACAACACACAACTTTCACTTACCGCTCTACTTTGAATAGAAATTATTTTCTGGCAATGCTGGGCTATTATGAAATTTTTTAAGTGCATTTTTAACTGAGCTAAAGCTTAAAGCTTACAGTTAACAAATCATTAATACTATTAAAATAACAAAAACTCTATTAATTACATCTAGAGTAACCAATAAAAATCTTGGTACTCCATCTGTTTTTGTAAACCACATAACTCCAGTCTCTCTATATTTATATATGCCTAGAGAGATTTGAAAGCAAACCTCTATATTCAACTTATAAATGATTGTAGGCCTGTTAGTTATTAAACTGATTTAATTTTCTAAAAGGTTACATGATTATTCAGAATAAACGGACGTAGATATCTAATTATTTAAATATAATATCAGATCTAGAATTATTAAACTTCAGTAAATGTATTTAAGATTATAATGTAAAGTTGGGGATAAGACCTCAATGATATCGAAGACTACTTAATTATACAATGATGTAGATTGATCAAAATCTTTAAGTCATTTTTAAGAAAATTGTAAAAATGTGTATAACCGTTGATATAAAGTGCCACTTCCTGTTAGTCGATTTTAACGAAAGTTGCTGTCACATGTAAGACATATACCTATCTTAAATACGTAATATTAGTTTCTTACGCCTTTTCATTTTTGAGCTAGACTGATCACACATATATTTACATATATGTCGTATAACATATACATATATATGTACATACATGTAGGTGAAAGTAAAAAAAAGTAAGGAAAGTAATTAAGAAGATGCTTAGAACCAATAAGAATTACCTTGGTCTTATCAGTGTTCAATCTCAAATCATTGTTTACAGCCCATACATGTTCTCTTCAACTATAGTATAACTTAATTCATATATTTTGATAAAGTACAATTTAATCCATTCATAAGTTTTGCTTACAGTTTCATTACTAAAATCTTTTTATTTTAAAAATACGTTGTTGTTTTTTTTTATGAGATTTTGCATTGAGTAGAAGTACTCAGAAGAAGTTTCGATGTCGGTCAGACTGTTTGGGTAATGAAATACCCTACGACCGGAAAGAAAACGTATATGGAAAAGAGCCGTCAAAGAATGTTCTGGTAGATCCACCTACTTTTTTTGAGGTTAGGGAAAAGAAAAGTGCCCAGAAGAGAGTTTCAAGGCGCAAGCTGCACCATCAAAATTTATGAGGGAGGCACATTTTAACGGAGTTTTGAACTTTTGAGGACAGAAAATTTCGATGGGGGTGTGAATTTTCGGAATGAAAATTTTAATCCAGGGGCCAAGATGAAAACATCAGACCACTACAAGTTGCATTGTTTTTAAGAAGAGGAGAGCAATAAATTATCTTGGTATGAGAGGGAGAAGGGGAGATTCCTGCGCCATGGGCCTTGAGAGAATGGTACCCTGAGGTATTTAAAAGACACGCTGAACAACTACGTGAAAGATGGACGATTCAGTACGATTTTTCAGAAGGGGAAATATAGTTTAATTTAATTCTTATGTTTTGGTTACGGTTTGATTACTTAAATCTTTTTACTTTAAAAACACATGTTTTTATAGATGCTTGTATTTATGATCGTAATAAATTTTATCGTTCAATGTATGTCTGAAACACTTTTGTTAATTATTTAAAAATATAAAAACAAATTTTAGTAGCTTTCAGGTACCTTTTCATTAAAAACCTTAATATCATCTTATTAAAGATATCAAAATTATTATTCGAACTCACCGAAAATGACCTTGTTGTTCTTCCAAACTGGATAAAATCGTCTTAACGTCTGTTCCTGTTCCCGTTCTACAGGAACTGGTTGTCCTTCTTGAAGGCTGGATGAACCTTCTGCTTTGCATCCATGATGATTCTGAAGTGCTCTTTTCTCCCTCTGATGATATTCCACGACCGCTTGTAAAAGTTCTCTTGCCTTCTCTGACTATAAAATCGAAATCAAAGAAACTTTGTCAATAATTCATGATGGCGCCGTATATTTTGTAGAACCACTTGGAATTCTTAAATAAAAGCTTCTAGTGGCCAAAAACCAATGCTGGAACATATAAGGTATGTAAGGTTCAAGACTGCACGGAAGGGCGTATATTTACGGAGTTATGGATCTTTAAAGAAGATGCATATTTACAGGTTTATACATATTTGGAGGAAACCATATTTATTTATTTTTTTTTTTTATGTTTCAATTGAAGACAAATTTCAAATCAAGGAACAAAAGAAATCACTAAACTACAATTTTTATTATAATATTTTCAACGGTTTTCAGAAGAGGAGAGAAATAAAAATTCTGAAGAGGGAAGGCATGCATCATCGCCTTTAGGTGGGGGGAGAGGGAATAGGCACACCTGTAAAAGTTTATTGTAACATTTTATTTTTAAAATAAAATTTTAACATTTGCTGTATGAGAGAGAAGGAGGGGCGGTAGCTGAGCGTGCTAACGCGTTGCCCGGAAACCTAATAAACTGAAGATTACTAGGTCGAATCCTGGTTCCGGAGGCTTAAAACTCTGGTATTAATCCTCCGCTCTCTTCCCTAGCCTGGAAAAGCTCATATAGCCGAAAAGGCGAGATAGGAGAGGAAAAAGAAGTTTTTATCTGTATGACAAATTATTGTTTAAATCAGAGATATCCAAACTTTTTGTCATGCAGACCTCATTGGGACCTTCACTAAGTCCCGTGGGCCACAGGCGGATTTGCGGGGGGGAGGGCTTTCGGGCTGAAGTCTCCCCCCCCCAAAAAAAAACGGTAAAATATAACTATGTTTTATAGAAAAAAAATATTAAAAAAGTATCTCTTAAAGTATTATTGTCCGTGTAATTACATTTAATAGGACTTCAAGAATCACTTAAATACCATTTCATACAGGTAGTTAGTATCTTTCTTTTTTTTCAAATTAATTATCGTTATATATATGAAAAAAATTTCGGGCTGAAGCCCCCCAGAATTAAATCCTAGATCCGCTAGTGCCATGGCCCATGACTAGTGATGGCAAAGAAAAATTGGTCTATAGATGGCACTTCAGTTGTGAAATTAGCTTTCTAAGAGAAATAACTCGTGCAATAAATGTTTTAGTATCCTCTTGTTATAGTGATTTACTAATTTTAATATTTTTTAAAATTTTGCCATTTAAGTTTATATATTGGAGGTGCCTTTTAGTCGTAGTTTGGAGACCTCTGCTCACTAGTGTTCAGGATTTAATTTTGGGGGCTTCAGCCTGTAAGCTTTTTTTTTTCATATGTGTTTAGCGATAATTACTTTGGAAAAAAAGAAAGAAACTAACTACCTATATGAAATGGTATTTATGTGATTCTTGAAGTCCTATTAAATGTAACTACAGGAACAATAATAATTTAACAGTTATTTTTTAATATTTTTTTCCATTAAGAATGAAGACTCCTTCTCCCGTAAATCCGCCTGTGCCTCTGGTTTAAATGATTAGATCTTTTAACAACAATAGAGGCATAAATTGATATTTTAAACATATGAAAAAAAAACATCTAAACCGAAACTATACTGACTTTTCGTTTAACTCTTTGAGAACGATTTTTAATTAGTGCATAATCTAAATAAAAGGAATAATTTATTTTTAGAATTTTAATCTTTCAAAATTACGCTAGAATATTAAACTATTTTCAAAAATTATAATTTTATATGTATTAGCAGTACTACAATCATTTCTTTATTATTACTTTTATCACTAATAACAATAAGAAAATTACTTACCAGTTTGGAAAAAATTTATCGTTTTTTTTCTCCGTCTATTTGGTACTTTTTTAAAAGGATGATTATCTTTCATAAAATTCATTTGAAGTATTTTAGAGAAAAATACTTTTATATATAAATATATATAACAATAACATGTCACTTCTACAACAAGGGGCAAAAACAAGTTGAACACCAGTATCAAAATGAAAACGCGAAATAACTTATTATTATTTATTGTTTTTAAACAATAAATTTGTTATAATAAATCTATAATCATTGTTTAAATTTAGAAAATGCTAAAATTGGTGTTTTAAATTTGTCTACAGCAATAATACTACGTACTAAAGATATCTTTGGTAATGTAATACAAATTAAATTCTAATTCTTAGGTTAAATATGCTATTTAATTAGGTAAGGTAAGTTTTTAATAATTTTTATTAAATTTATCTTACATTTATTGTTTGTTTCTAAAATAAGATTATCATATGCATTATATGATATTTATTGCATAAATTAAATCTGGGTTCATTTCAGGGGGGGGGGGGCTTCGAAGTATGGGCAAGTTCGTAAACTCACCGCTGAGCTCATCGGTGGCGTCGGACCTGTCTCTAAACTGGAATAAAGGACGCCATTTCAATTGTGCTTTTATCTTTTAAATAATTAACTTAATTTTAAATCATCTGAGGAAACTTTAATTTTTTATCTTCATCGGTATGTAAAGTATATTGGAAGAATACATCAAAAGAAGTGTATGACTAATATATAAACATATAGGTACAATGAAACATAATTAAAACAATGTCTTATGATAGATTTTTTTAGAAATAAAGCTTCTATAAAATTTTAGATTTCTCTCTTCAGTATATCAGTAGTTTAAATAAATAAATGAATAACATTTATATAATCAATTATTTTTCAGTTGGTCAGCGCTACAAAAGCGTTTGGTACCCAAAGCTTCTATGAAACCTCCTTATTGTTGATCGTAGTTTCGCCAAATTAATTAGTTTCAGAAATTTTATCTATAAGGTTCTTATTACATCTACTTCTAATAAGGAAAAGAAACTTTTTAGCACTTTACCAGTTTTTCCATCATTAAATTTCGTGTCTTTGCTTTGTTTCAACTATTCGTGTTTACTGCATCAAGCTGAGTTTAGAAGTTGTTTAGGAGTTTAAATTACTTTTTCATTACTAGTTCTGCCTGTTATGAAATAATAGTTTACAAAATGGAACCACAACCGAAATACAGGGTATGCATTTTCATTTATTGCATTAGTGCTAAAATATTTGTTACCAAAATTTCATTATCAATGAATCTTTCAGGAAAAAGTTTTGATTGGGCTAGAAAGTGCTCCTCCAAGTTTTGATGTTAGGAGTAAAGTAATGGGGCCTGGAGGTGCTAATCTCCAATACATAACCAATGAAACTGGAGCTATTGTAACAATAAGAGGAAAAGGATCGGGTTTTATTGAACCTGCGACTGGTCATGAATCTGTTGAGCCTCTCCATATCTGTGTTGAGTGAGTTTTTCATTGTATTTACTGTTTATTTGACGTAACATCATTATTTAAATAGATCGCGTGATTATTTAATGATTTGTTTTCAGCTTTACGGTTTAAAGTTCTTTCTCTTAGGAAAAGATCAGTTGCATATTAACCAGATGATTCATCAAGATTTTCTAATTATCAAACCTATCTTAAGTTTTCTTAATAATGATTAGATGTTAAACCAAAACTTTGAATAGTTCAAATTCAGTGTTAATGAATAACCCTCAGCAGACTGCCTGACTAACTCTTTTTATTTTTAGATAAAATTCGGATACTGATTGGGGAAAAATAATTCAAGGTCTTAGTAAGTTAAGGGAATTATTACAAATTTTTCATTGGCCTGCTTCTTTTTTAACCTTGAACCTGACAATTTTTTAATTCTTTATTAAGGCACTGTTCATTTAAAGAAAACCATCCGCAGTTTTTATTTATCAAGTACCTCGCTGATAATGAAACCATCATATCAATGAAAATTGGGTGTTTCATTCAATCAAATGGAACTTAATAAACTTGTTGAATTTTTTATCTGAATTATGATGTTAGATAGTGATGTTCTAGTTATCGATAAATCAACTATTCGTTTATTAATATAAAAATTGCAACGCTTGTTGTTCTGCTCGGAGCAGTTGATATTTGGTTTTAACTAACTTTTTTAAATTATAAAATATTGCCATCTGAATTAAAAGTGGCAACGTCTAGACAGTCTCAAGCTGTCCAAATAGCCATTAAGAAGTTGTGTTGCTAATTTGATTTTAATCAGTATGCAATTTTATCAGTAGTATTTAGGAAATTTAATCATGTCTCGTTACACATTCAGTTTAATTTTAAATGTTGTGTTAATTTTAAATTTATCATTAGTAAGACTACTTTTATTACTAAAATGTTGATGTATATTTTTAAATTTATATAGTTTATTAAAAGCTATTAATATAGATTATTAATAGTTTGTATAGATTATTAATATCCACTATTTGTTTATGACCAGGGTCCGGATTTTTGTGCAGTTAAAACTCACAAAATAAGCCATGCAATTTGTAATAAAATACAGTGATAAAAATCTCTACAATGAAACGTCTAAAATATTCATTTACACCAATGTGCATACAAAATGTTTTTAATTAAAAAAAATTATTTCTTTTCTTTTAATAAATCCAACATTTCAATTTTGATAAATGATACATTTAAAATTAATATAAAAATAAAAAATAAACACTTAAAAAAAAGTAAGAAATAAAAACTGAGTTTGATGTTTAGAAGTTAACAAGAATGAGAAGGGGAGAAACATGCCAGAAAACAAAAAAAATCCATATTCTTAGAAGTCAATAAATGGAGGTTGCTGAACCTCTATCCAACAGTGTCCTGGATTGGTTCAAATCCTTCTCCTATGGTGTCCCTCAAGGTTTCTCTCTATCTCTTACTCAGTTTGCTATTTACATTAATGATCTGCCCCTCCTGATTCATCGCTTCCAATACTATATCTGTGCAGATGATTTCCAAATATACTTGTGACTGAGAGAGAGCTAACAAGTCGAAGTTGAATGCAGAAAAGACGAAGGCAATCTTAATAGACTCCAATCATCTCCTTAAAACTGTTCCTAATATTGCAACTCTGTTCCTACGTGATAATCCCATCAAATTGTATCCCTCTATCAAAAACCTTGGAATAATCTTTGATTAAACGCTTTCCCAGAAAAACCATGTATCCAATATCTCCCGACGTATTTCCTGATATACTTCCTCTTTCAAGTCATCCAATCCCGCGTTTCTTCATACATCCCCTAGCTCCTTCAATTCAAATCCTCTGTTCATTCCCAGTCTTCAGATTTATACACAAGGTCCCATCTAACCCCTGCTTTAGACAGATCGTTCATTATCCGATCCTCATCCCTATGGAACTCGATCCCTTCCTACATCCTATATGCAATACCCTTCCTACCTTTATTTAAATCTCGTCTGTATAATCATTTCTCCATATCTATCCAGTCCCCATAAAATTATAAATATGTATATGAATTATTAAATTGTTCTTAATTATTTTTATTTCATGTTTTTCAATTTTTTATTATTAACTGATTAAAGTTAGAAAGTAACTTACATATATATATTTTTTATTATGTCTTTAATTACTTTGTATATTTGTTTATGTATCTCTAATGCTTCTTTGCCCACATTTCTGTCTTTCTGTATTATTCTAAAGGGACTCGTCCTATAATAAATAAAGTATTATTATTATTATCACAATGTTAGATTAATGCCGATAATTTGTAGTAGTTATTAAAATAATGACTGTTTTAATTATTTTTCATTTAACTTCCATTTACTTTGCTTGCTTGAGATGGATAAACAAACCTCCAATATACATTAACAAATACCAATAGTGTCATTATGATTTTGATACAGTAGCCAAATCGGAGTATCGCTCGTGAAGAAGTATCAAATTAGCTTTGTATAACTATTTTTTAAAGCATTTTTGCCGTTGTTTGGAAAAATACTAAGGAATAATTGACTAAAGTATTTTATAATGATAAACAATTTATTTATTGACATTTTGACTTTTTTTAGACATTCCAAGTATGAAGTCCTCCAGGCTGGAAGACAACTTGCTTTCAATTTGATTGAGACAGTTCAGCAAGAATGGTCCGACCTTCAACAACAGCAACATCAGCAGCAGCAGCAACAACAACAACAACAAACTGCTGAGAGCCAACAGCAAGGCACAGTTCAACAGCAACATGTCCAGGCTATACCTGTTCATAACCAGTGTATGTTATATCATTTACTTAGTGTTTATGTGCGTCGGAAATTTATTTGGAAAACAAAATAATCTTTCATATAAAATTAAATGTAAAGGGACAGTGTCTTCACTTTGATAGTTATATAATATATTTTTTTTACAAACTCAGTATGTTTTAAACCAGAGGTCTCATAACTGTTTGAGGCCCTCCCTAAGTTCCGCACGGGCCACGGTTAGTGATAAAAAAAAAAACTTGTTCTACAAATGACACTTCAGTTGTGAAATCAACATTATGATTAACTCGTGGAAGAAATGTCATAGTAAACTTGTGTTTGAGTGATTTAATAATTTACTTTTTCTTTTTTTTTTTTAAATAATAATTAAAATTTTTAAACTAATATCCACATATGGCTTCTATCCGATGTGACGAGAATATAATAGACGATCTCCAAGCTGGATTCAGAAAAGCTTCTAGACTCGCTAGACCAGATTTCAACACGTACTAGAAAAACGATGGGAAGTAGCTCGGGATGTCCATGCCCTATTTGTAAATTTCGAAGCAGCTTATGATTCTGTGGACAAAAGGTAATAAGAGCAGCAACACAGGAAAATGGAGGGGTTCACTTCAGAATGAATCATAAAATCCTTGGATTTTATGATTCATTCTGAAGTGATAATGGAAGTAATCAAGAAGACATTGAGAAACTCATTACAACATTGATTAGGGAGGCAGAGTAGATCAGCCTACAAGTAAATGAAGACAAAACAAAATATATTATAATAAGCTGGGAGGTCCACCCCAATACCAGGATCTGCTGTTCTATAAACGACATTTCAGTTGTGAAATTAATTTTTAAAAAACATGCAACACATGTTGTATTTACCTCTTGTTTGAGTAATTTCCTAAATATCATACTTTTTTTTAACAATTTTTAAAATTTTACCGTATGATCGAAGAAACGTTTGCAGGCCGTAGTTTGGAGACCTTTGCCTTAAAATAATAAATATTAGAGAAAATGCATTTGAATGTAAAAAATAAAGAATATTGCAATAAGTTTCTTCGAATTTTGTTTCAGTGAGCTCCACAGCATCAGTTCAAGCAGCTCAAGGGCAAGAGACAGTGTTGCCAAGCAGTGGTAACTCTCTTCAGTTGCAGCTGCCAATATTCACGCCACCGCCTTCTCTGGCGGTACCTCCGCCACCGATCCATCTAGCGCAGGCACAGCCTATTCAGGTAGGGTAGCCTACTAGCATTCGTTTTATTTCTCGATAATATTGTTGGTAATAGCTATTGTACTCTCGATTTAGATCATCTCATAGAGGAAAAGGGAGGGGAGGCCCAAACAGGCTAACACGTGTTCCCCAGCAACTCGATAAACTTAAGATTAGGAGTTGAAATCCTAGGTGGCTGGACTTTTAACTCTGGCTTTAATTAGTTTAATTAAATAAAAACAAGTTGTTTTAATTTGTTGATAGAAAGTGGTAATATTTAGGAATTTTACTAATAATCATTTTAAGATTTTAAATATATTTTTTAACTTGTTTGTTTCAGTTGTTTAGTTAATATAAGAATGGAATTTCTGTTTTTATTGTTTTTACTTTAATCATTATCATTTTATATTTGTTATTATTTATTAATTTTTACTTTCACTTACGTATATATATATATATATTTCTTTTTTTTTTTTTTGTTCTTCCCTACCTCGCCTTATAGGCTATACGGGATTTTCCCGGGCCGGGGGGTGAGGGCGGGGAATTTAAAATCCCCTCCGACACCGGGGCGCGAACTCGTACTTTTTATATCATCTCAAATCTCTGTTATCCGGTTGCCAGGCAACTAGCGGTGCTGTGCACACGCTTTAGCCTATTCGGCCACCCCGCCCCCATAAAATTCAAACTCATGGAGTACGGTTTACATCTACTCAGAGGGCGCGGGTCTTGACCTTCATTTTATGGAGGTACGATGTGCCCCTGAGTCATGAATACAAGACGGTCTTAACGACTGATGAAACCCCACATCCGTAACTGGATAACAAGTGCAGCCCAACCTATTCACTTATGTATATATAAAATATATAGTAAGGGTAAGTATTGCAATCGTGAAAATTTTGAATCTCAGTTTTCAACGGAAATACATGTTTTGAGGTCCCCTGAGTCCAAATAACCAAGTGTCGCAAAATGGTTGTGTGTGTGTGTGTTAACAGTTTAGCTCATAAACGAAAAGTAGTACGAAACTGATATTAAGTATTTAAGGTTAGTATATGAGCCGGATGTGACAGTAACTTTTTCGTTAAAATCGTCTAACCGGAAGTGCCACTTTATATGAACGCTGAAACACATTTTTACAATTTTCTCAAAAACAGCTCTAACGATTTTGATTAAACTCGGTGCATCATTGTATAATTAAGTGGTCTTTAATATCATTTAGTTCTTATCCCCGTTGATGTCACTTTACAGGGCTTAAATGCCCATTGTTCATATATGTCTTCCTCTAAAGTACCTTTAATATGGTTTATTAAGTATCTAAATTTACACCTTTATTCTCAGTTCTATATTTCAACACTAGAATCACCACCTCCGGAATCAACTTACTCACTGTCTGCATAGATGACTTTTTCAACTAAAAATATTACTAAATTGACATTACTCAAAAATGTTAAAATCGGAGTTAGTCATTCTGTGGTTTATAAAAGCAAAGAAAGTTGTGTGGTTTATAAAACCAGATGGACTGACTAGATTTTTATTGCCTACTGTCGATATATTAAATAGATGTTTTGTAATTATAATGGTCTTAATGACTTGTTATCTGTAAGCTTTAAGCTTTAGCTTCGTTTAAAATGCACTTAAAATTTTATAATAGTCCAGCATTGCCACAAAATAATTTCTATTCAAAGTAGAGCGGTAAGTGAAAGTTGTGTGTTGCGCGCACCAGATTTTTATTGTTGCATTATGCATTTTTTCTTGACTTTTTTTCATTTTTCGTTTGTTTCCTAAATTCAACTACTATTATTTTAGTAGAAAAAGTTAGTTGTTGGGTGTGCACACTAAGAAGAAAGTACTAAAAAAAAATTTATCAGGGCTACTTGTCTGAAATCTTCAAAACAAGTGCATAAGTTGGCAGAAAATTTCATTTAAGCCAGCGGATCCATCTGATAGACTTCTTGAAATTGTGTTTATTTTGATATTTGTCTGTAATATAGATCAGTTGGTTTATCCTATTTTATTTATAAATAAGAAGGTTATAAGATTGTCTCCTGAGTATACTTACAGAAACGCTTGTATAGTTTTGATGTCCCTTGTACAGACAGCTGGATTTATGTGATCTTGACCTACCTTCCAACCAAATTTGATCCTTCTGTAGTTCCTCAATTTTATCTACTACATCTTGTTTCATCCATGTTAGTCGGTTTTAATAAATATATTAATTCTTTATCGGTTAGGTGAGCGTGAGTAACACCAGCGGAGGTCAAGGCCACCAGACAACCGTTAGCACAGGGAGTACCCAGGCGACACAGGACGCTACTAGCCAACAAGCTATTGTGCAGCAGCCGACTGCTCTACAGCCCACGGACATACAGCATCAGATACAGATTCAGCCTCAGCAGGTAAATCACCTTTTAAAGTATTAAGTTATTTTAAACACGTTATTAAGCAGGTAAGTCATCTTTTAAAGTATTAAGTTATTTTAAACAGGTTATTAAGCAGGTAAGTCATCTTTTAAAGTATTAAGTTATTTTTATTAGTAACAAAATTATATTTATATCTATATTCTTTAAAATTAATCTAAAACAGCTGTTATTCAGCCAAACCCTTCGCTTTTAGTAAGTAGTTCTATTGACAATACAAGTGGCTATTATAATATGAAATATTAGTTTTTGGGATATATAATAATTAATGTTTCCATTCACCACTTTAGGAGCTGAGTACAGTACAAAAGTTGTTTGTCTTTTATCTTAGCTTATAAATAAACTTTTGATTTTTCATAAATGAATTACTCATAAAGATTCATTCTTACTCAAACTCATTCATACATCAACATATTCATAAAGTTTTCCGGAAAAAAAAAAAAAGGTATACTTATTATCTATGCAAAAATAAAAATTTCAACTTTGTTCCTGCTTTTTCTTGTTTCTGTATTATATCTCTTTATAAAGTTATAGAGGTTTAAGAAGGAGACTGTGAACAAGTTTCATAAAAATCTTTTGAGCTGTTTTGATTCGTAATGTAGTTAATAGAAATACAACACTATTGTGCATAAGATTTCATACGGAAATGACGAGTTATCTGTCTGGTTAGTCTGTTTTTTTTTACTGTCAATATGAAATGTGCATTTCTATTCTTCATTTAAGTGATTTTATTTTCAATAATGAACCATTATAATCGACTAAAAAATGCAAAAACTTAACAGCCCCTCAAAATTTGAGGTTTCAAATTTCAGGATACGTAGAATTCGAAAATCGAATGAAAAAAATGTTTGTCCGTCCGCCATCTGCACATTTTCTCTGAGACTATTGGACCTTTTTTTTCAAATTTGGATTTAAAGTCAGAGGTCACCCGAGGATGATCCTCCTAGATCAACATTACTATCCGCCTATTCCTTTCAAGATGGCGCCCTAAAAATCTGTGTTGCCATAGACTGTAGCACATAAACGAATTTACCGATTTCAATGAAATTTCGCTAAAGTCTTCTTCTTGATGCCCTTCAAATTTATAAATTTAACATACTTCAACGAAAAGAAACTGGAAAAAAAGTTACGAGGGGTGATAAAATTAGATTTCCGAATAACTCAAAAAGTATACACTGTTTTGTAATTTTTATGATTCAATGTTTCAAAGGTATTTAAATTTCCTAAAAAAAACGAAGAAAGTTTCAGCAAAATCAGAGCACTATTATTAAACATGGTTATTTAAAAGTTTATGAAATTCCTTAAAAAGAAATAAAAAAATTATTAAAGTCGGGCAATTTGGATTAAAGATATGGTCTCTAAGTATTTTTTATATGTTTTACTACAAAGGTTACATCATTCTTTTTGGTTTTTGATTTTCGGAAGTGTTATTGAAATAATGCTATATTTTTTAGAAAATTTCTATAGATGAAAAAAAAATGTTTAGGCCAATAATAGGAATAACCTTTTATTTCTTTTTCTTTGTTATTAGGATGGTAATGTGACTTTAGATGTAAAATTGTTTGGAAACAATAAACCCTTGTGAAATAATTTGCAGCATTTTTTATATTTGTTACAACCTTATTAATAAGATGCCTGGGCAAGTCTGAATAATTTAAATCTAAATGCGATGAAAACTCAGGCCATTATTATAGGTTCCAGTCCTATTCTTAAATCCATCTCCTTCCTTCCTCCTTTAGTCATCAACGATCATCCTGTCACATTCAGTTCCTCCGTTAAAAACCTAGGAGTCACCATAGACGAAAACCTCTCCTGGAAACCCCATATCGCCCTCATCTCCCGTAAGTCAATAAGTACCCTTAAGCTATTTCATCGCTCCCAAAACCCATCCGCAAGCTCCTTGTATCCTCTCTCATTTTCCCCCACTTTGACTACGGCTGTGTGGTGTACAGAGGCATCCCGATGGTACTCGCGGATAGATTGAAGCGACTCATGAATACGTGCTTAAGATTTGTCTTCGGTACATCAAGGTGGTCTCATGTGTCCCACCTTTACGACGAGTTAAAGTGGCTATTCCCTTCTTTCCGCAGACAATATTTCCTCGGATCTTTCCTATTCCAAACAATCAACACCAGACACTCTTCCTACATCTACAGTCTCCTACAGTTTAAACCCGTGGTCCACTCCCAGAAAACAAGATCCCGTGTTTCCGACCTTTATATCCCTTCCCATAGAACTAAGACGTTTGAATATTCCTTTATTGCCCGATCCACAGCCTTTTGGAATTCCTTGCCATCTGAAATCCGCCAGGCCTCTTCCTTGTCCTCATTTAAATATCATCTCTACCAATTCCTTCTCACATCCCAAAATGACGTTATATAATAAAATAAATATTGCGAAACAGATTTTGACTGAGGTGAATGGTCGATAAAATTGATTGAGTTTTAATTTTAAAAATCAACCCATGCTTATTTTATTTTGTTTTCTTTTCATTTAAATAATGGTTTTTTTTTATTTCGTTTTTTCTCAATATTTTATTTAATTTTTCTTGTTTTAATTTAATTTAACTGAAGATACTGTATATATTGTTTAATATTGATTAATGTAATTTTTGGCCAGATGTAGTTTTTATTTTTTTGTTCATATCTGTTATTCATAAGGGACCTTGTCCCAGAATAAAGTTTACTTTCTATCTATCTAAGTTATGATGATAATGATTTTAGGTATATGTGAGCCAGGGGGGAGGTGTCATCCAGCCTGCTACGATAATTCCTCAGCAGCAGATTCAGCAAACCTCCATCTTGGCTCATCAGCCGCAGATCATCACGCAATCTTATCCTATTCAGGTAAAGTGACCGTTGGAAAAAGATGCCTTCAGCCACTTACATGTTTATTTTTAACATAATATTTCCCAGTTGTTTATGTTGTTAACCTTTATCTTCAAATAACTTTCCTAAGACCCATCCACGGCTTCAAGTCCAATCTTGAATTGTGTGAGTGCAATTCTTTCCTTTTACAGTATCGGATGTCTTAATTTATTTTCTCACTTTTTGGCCTAAAATTTTCAAAATGATTACTGAACCTGAAATAACCGGAAAAATCAAAGAAATTTTGAACCTGAAATAGTCTGAAAATTTTACAAATTAGGATACAAAAAGCCTATGTGGTCGCCCAGCGTGTTAATCATACACTTTAGCAATCTCAAGTTAAGGTGCCGTTTTTGCTTGTATTAGGCCGTTTGGTGTGACCTACATCCCCATCATTTTAAAATAACTAGGTTATATAGGTCAAACAGCCCAATATTTTTGTAGAACACTTTTTTTCGCTATTTTGTGATCAAATTATCTTATGATCCAAGTGGAAAGCAAATGGATATTTACGAGTTTTTAGTACCTAATTAAATAGACAAAGTTTGCCGACCTCCAGATTGAAAACGCCCCAATTCCAAGATTTTTCATAAATAAAATAGTTGTAGGTTACGATGAGATAAAGCTATTCACGAAATTTCAATAATTTGATCAAAAAAAAAAAGGGGGACTGTACCACGAACTAAATTGACAAACAAAATTTTTTTGTTATTTATCTTAATCATTGTTGGCCACATAAAGTTTAAATAATAGTTATATTTTCATAAATATGACACGTTCAAAATTCGTGTGACCCGTCAAAGAAATCACAGTGTGTTCAATAATTGCGTTTAATATTTTTTATTGCTTCCAATTATTTATTTATTTTTAATAAAGGTTTAAAGTATTACATATGATGTTTTTATTGCTTTTAGTGTCAAAGAGGCTGCCTAAGTATTTTTATTTGTATGCAAAATATTATTTATGAAACTGTTTACTTTTTGTTAGGTTTCTTTCAAACATAATATCTCATAATAATTTATACTTTTCTTATAAGGATTCCACCATTGTGGAATGCATTATTTAAAATGTTAAACCAAGTTTGCAAAATTACTATTAATAAACATCAGTTTTTAAAAATCAGCATATTATGACCGAGAGAAGTCAGAGAATCACATTAAAGGCTTCTGTAGACACCACTCTCTCTGATGTGTTGGGTACTTCTAGAAAATCAATAATGTTGTAAGAGCAATGGTTTAACTAAAGCATTGATATTACGAAGGTGTGATCATGTCGGGAGTTGCATTGGTATCGACTAATACAAATTGAAAGAAGTTGTTGATTGTGGATAGGAATCTCCGTTCTTTAACTCAAGAGCCGATGAGATTGGATTAGTTGTGGATGGGTCTTATTACCTACCTGCTGGCAACTTTAAACAAATTCCTCAAAGTAAAATAATACCTTCTCTTCTGAATATTTCATAAGTATTGGTAAGTAAAATTTAAAATCCATAATAAATGTTAGCGAATTTTATTTATCTCCGTCAGTGTATATTTTTATTTTCTATCTCTTCTGTTGTTGCTGATCAGTGTGGAGGGTTGGGTTATTTCCATATTTATGCATGATTTTTCCTTCTTTTCTTCTTTATTTTGGATCCCGTTACTAATCCGTTGAAGGTTCCAAAATTGCATGTATAAAACGCCTGACGGATCGATTTAATGATTACAGTATGTGCAGGCCAGCAACGGACAGATGGTCGTCGCTTACCCCAACATTGTTAGACCTGTTGCGACGGATAATAACTCTGCTCAACAACCTCAGGTAAGTTATAATAAATAATTTAAAGATAGATTCGTATTGATTTTTTTTTTTAAATTATATCGCATGATAAATAGTTAGGATTTTCAGTCTGATTTTTTTTAATTCAGTTCCGATATTTTGACCCAAGCATGTGAGTCATCATCACAGCTAAAAATTAAAAATTAATCTAAAAAAAATTAAATTAATATTATCTATACCTTCGGTAAACAAGGCGTTTTGATCACCATAGTTTTTCTTTATTTTGTACTTTAGGAAGACAATGTTTCAGCCAGCACCAGAGCAGGGGTATTTTCAAGTCTTATTTTATATTTCTATTGACAACTCCCACCTTTCTAATTTATTTCATTTGTTTTAGTAAATAAACTAATATGTCAAGTTGGGTCTCCCATCTTCTAATTAGGATTACGTTTGAGAGAATTCTAGCTAATTTAAATTTTTTATATTTTAATTAATGTTTTTTCTTTTATTAAATGCATTTCAGAAATTTAAATAAACATTCAGACTTATTAGAAACCATCTGCATTTATTAAGTTTTCGATGTTATGGACAAGGTCATCTACTTTCAAGAAAAAATCTCCTTATTTAGTTTTCTATTTCAAAAAATATTTCTTATATAATTAATTCTAGAGAATTCTACAAGATCGCAGAAATATATGTATCGTAATGTATTATTTTAAATAATGATGAGTATGAAGATAAAAAGACAAATAGAAAAATAAAGTTTTATGATTTTAAATTTGCGACGTTTTTACCGGAGAAAGGAATATTTTTTATAGGAAATGGTCATTCTTCTCCGTAATGTTAAAATAAAAAATGAATAAATAGAGATTTTTATTTGGACTTCTTTTGGGTTTAAATTTATGAAACACATTAAATAGACAATATATGATGAACATTATTAAAATAGTTTGGGTAAGTGCACCAGTGACAGAAGTAGATAAGGAAATTTTTGGCTTATGTCGTAATTATTATAGTTACAAACTTATCCGTTAGACATTTAGAATCTCTACAGTCTGCCTTTTCTATTTGATTCTTTAAAAATTGAGAATATATTTTCTGTTATACAGGTATAATCTCCATTTAAAAAGAACACCTATTTGCACTGGTGATGGATACACCGAAACTCAATTGTTCTAGTAATGGACATGGGGTCGGTACCAGTAATAGACATACCTCAGAAAAATTCTAAAATCTTGAGATAAAATAAATTTTCAACTTATTCTTAGCAAAATTGTTATTAGGAACCTCGCTGATCTCAAGAGCACTACAGAAACAATGATAGGCATTTTAAAATTTTCTTTTGGAAACTTGTCAATAGATGGCATGGTACTAGTTCACAACAGCTCCGCACGGATAACGCATGGTTCACAATCACTTCGATCACACTTGTTCCTGGAATCCCGAATGCGTTCGTGTTTCTCCGAAAGAGAACGAAGGCGACCGATCTCTTGGGCCAGTTACTATTAACTTTCCCGCCATTTAAGTACTTTAATCTTAACCACGTTCAGTTATATAGCAGGAGCAGATTTACATTCGAAATTTAGGCTACACATCATGAAACCTGATTTGAGCTTGTACATATATTATAGACCTGTAAAAAAGAAATAGTAATACATAAAGATCTTTAATTATTGCATCTCTGGCTGCTATTTCACGATATTATTTTTCTTATAGATGATTTCCAATATTCATTATCTTGGAATTATTACATATTCTTCGTCAGTTGTTTCCCAAATACGTTAATTCCTTTCTCGAAAATAAATACTTTTTTTTTGTACCATAGCCTACAATAATCCCTTTTTTCGGATTACCAAGAAAAATAACTGCGAATAACAATAATTACACATCATAATTACAAATCAGACAGTATATGCATACAAAGCACCCCCCTCCATAGCCCCTCGTATTATTAGAAATCTAAAAAAATACATAAACTAGATAGACGATTGCGCAATTCTAAAAAAGGCTTGCTAAAATAAATTATAAATTCAATTACTCCAACTTCTATTGAAAAACTCGAATAGCAAAAAAAAAAGATAATAGATAACTTAAAATTATTTATTATCCAAATGATAAAAAATCTTTTATGCACAGTTGTAAAAGATAATATACAGTATATGCGTATTTACAGCCACTACATGTAAGCACGTGTCAATAAAAATGTTATTACTAAAAGCTTTTTTTTTTTAATAGGGCTTGAAGAAACTACTCAAACATTATTTTATATATTTTTTTCTTTTTCTTTCAAAGTAATAACTGTTATAATAAAAATTAATAATTAACTAATTAGTAAATACACAATTTTTTAATAAGGAAGTTCCATAAAGGAAATACCTTGTATTTTTTTCAAAAATGCATGAAAAGGGATTGTATTATGGGGCAATAGCTGACGTCATAAAAGACGACAACATTCGGCTGTTTTCGGGATTCCATGAACAAGTGTGATCGAAGTGATTGTGAACCAGGCGTAATCCGTGCGGAACTCTTGTGAACTAGTACCGATGGCATTGTTCTTCAATCTAGAAAAAATTGGAACCTTAAAATCAACTACAAAGCTTCTTATTTACATATAAAATCAAACCTGTCCATAACTTGGTGCATTGACCCTATATTTTTTTTTTTGTTTTTTTTAAAGTCAGTATTAAGTTAAGTCCAATTAATCAGAATAGAGGACTCTAGTACAGTGAAAGTTGTTTTTGGACAGGTTATGCTGGTGCAGTACGCCCCTCAGAGGCCGTTGCTCCACGGGAGGACCACAACTCAGTCGCACACCGTCCCGCAGATAGTGCAGATCGTTAACCCACAGACGGGCCAGGTGCAGCACGTCCTTCAGCATATTCAGCCTCAGATCCAAATGCAACAGGTATCTTTTCATTAACTATTTAATTTTTAATTGCACCGGAAAAATATAGCCTACTGAACTTTGCGCACATGTTTTGGTATAATATTTACATTAATGCATGTTTTTCTTCATGATTTCAAAATAAGATCTTGAGAAGTACAGTATATATACCCCTTGGTTTATAATAAATAGTTAATTTTACCGTAAACTGCTAGGAGAAACAATAGATAAATTTATTTTTAAAACACTACAATATTTCATTCCCAGTAATCAGCAGTAAAAGGTGCTGTATCTTTCAACATAGGAACTCCAATATCATCCGGTTATAGATGAAAGCCTTTGCTTATGCATGTGAATTCTAATATGTATATGTATTATTCCGGTCGTTTAATATGTGTGGAACCTTTCCAATCACCTTGAGGTGGTCATCGGTGGTCGATTTGCTAAGGTCAAGTTTCCCTGCAAGTTCTTTAACAGTTGTTCTGAGGTTTTCTTCCACCAAAACCTTCAGAATATCGTCGTCAATAGAGAAAGTTCTTCCACGACCTTTGTCTCCCTTTCAAAATTTTTTGAACCACAGTTGAACAGTGCACTCATTAATACTGTTCTCGTCCCAGACTTGATTGATATTTCCGGCCGTCTGGCCCCCATTCCTCTTAAAAACAAAATTATACAAAAATCTTAGTAAAGACTGATTTATTTTTAAACAGCAAAATGCTATAGAGGTAAACAAACATTTTTGTTTTGAAGAGGATTAATAAGTGTTGACATTCGTACAAATGATTAATCCTGTAAACATTAACAGTTTGTTATATAGAGGTATATTTTATATAAAACTCAAAATCTTACATTATTTTCCGGACAACCCAATAGTAGTGGTAAGATTTTGTAGAGGTTTTACTTTTTTTTTGTTCTCTTAGGCAATTACTAATGTTCATTACTGAAAATAACTGACTAAAATATGAATTATTTTAATTAGATAATTTATGAAATACTCATTCACCCAAAATAATTTTAATCTAACACTCTCCAAAATTATTGCGTTACTACTTGGTGACTAACCTGTATACCATAGGTGGGGAACCACGGCCTTGGAGTCCGCATGTGGGCATCTGTAACGTAGTTGCGATTTTCAAATGTTTTTGTGTAATATTTATTAATCTAGTGCTAGAATTGATTATTTAAGTTGCGACAATATGGAAATTAATAAAATTAAGTTGGATGTGTGTATTTAGTGATACATAATAATAGCAACGGTAAAATATAAAGAATTATTGCTGCCTCCATTCTCACTGCCTAACCTTACTACGGCACCTAACGATGAAAAGGCCCCCCACCATATGCCATATGTATTATTCACATGGGCAACCAGTAGTTATTATATATTGATGATAAGAAATTGTTACCTCTGTATCTAATGTTTGTTTTATTGATTTATAACGAAGTTGGCATTGGCAACGAATGCCGGTCAGGTGAGCGGAGGTACAGTCGTCGGAGGGCAGGTTCTGATGCCGCTTCAACAGTCCAACCAACAGCAGCAGATCCTAGCGACACAGCAGGACGGGCAGCAGATCCAGTTCGCTGCTCAGCACGCTCAGGGCATGATCATAACCAGCCAGCCGCATCAGGTCACCGTCTCTCAGGCGAGCTTGCAGCAAGCGGAAAGGGGAAATCATCAGGTTAGTAGCCGTCAGGCTTGGCTTAAATGTATTTTCAAAATATATTGTATTTTATTTACAAATTATTTATTCTTATATTATTTGATGTTTATAATTTACTTAAGGAAGAATTTTTTGTTATTTTAGGTATAAAACATGAAAACTTTTCTCTTCCGTATTTGTAAATTTATTCATCTGTCCAACGTTTCGGACTCTTTGACCGTCTTCAGAGACATTTCTTTTCACTGTTAGAACATTATAAAGTTATTAATATTTGTTAGAATTTTTTCCTATATTTAAACTTTTTTTTTTTAATGTATTTACAATTCATTTCTTATTTTACCTTCTTAACGTTTTTCCTTTATCGTCTGTTCTTCTAATGCATGTTATGGACATTTCTCTTTTTTTCCCTATTCTATTTAACAATTTTTTATCACACTTAGTCAATTTTCATACCTTTTTTTAATTTATTTATAAAATGAGCATAGTGGTTACAAATTATTTAAATTTTACAAAGTATTAATAATTTAACATAATGAACCTTATAAAATGTCTTTATAAGTGTTAATATTTATTATTATTTGAAATTCCAAGTAATTAGTACTAAATCTGACATTACTTAAAAATCAGATGTTGAATGAACCAACCGTTAAGATATTAATATTCATATTCAATAATATTCAAGATGAAACATTGTGTTGAACTCATAGAAAAGTCATATTTACTAAATAAATACTAGTAAAAACCACAAGTCGTGCTTTTAAATTTGTATCCATTTCCTCCGTTTATGTTCGTAAATAAAAATGTTCTTTATATTTTAAATTTTATTCCAGCTTATATTTACCCTTTTTTTCAGTGAATTTGTAAAAATATCAGATCAAAAAGATTTAAATTCTCAATGTTTGATCTCATCAATGAAATATTATTAAAATTGAGAACATATAATATCGTAAAAATTGCTTTTGGTATTTGTTTACCCCTAAAAAAATAACTTCAATTTATATAAGTTAGAATATTTGTGATTTATTCTCCCAAAATCATATTGCTGTTTAAAGTTATATTAATAAATGCTGTATTGTTTATATATAATTCTTGATAGCGATAATGTTGTAATTTCTAGTCTGGAGATGGGATATAAAAGTGGATCCGGGAACGTTACGATGTAATTAAGTGGAATGATTTATGTCAAGGATGAAAAATTGCTGTTTTATGTTTCTTTTTTTTTTTTCTATAAGCCTTCATGTTCAACAAAAACAGGTCTGATTGTATATACAGAATGGAGGAGTTAAAATATGATGGATTGGATGAATAGGGAGGGAATGAAATCCATGAATGAGAAGCGGGAAGGGTCTATTGCATATTAAGTTTAAGTAATCAGAAAATATATCGAGATTGACCAAATGGGCAATATGATGAATGTAAATAAATATAAAATATATCGAGATTAACTAAATGGTCAAATGATGAATGAAAATAAATAAAACACTTTTGGTTGTCAATGAAAGCAAAATTAAACTCTGTAAAAAGATTACTAAAAGTAATTTTCAAATACTCACGAATATTTGAACATTTTATTACACTGAATTATTTTATCGTTATTTTAATTAGTTACAGAATCTATTACATGGTTTTCTAACTTTTAGTATATTTTTTTTTTCATGTAAGTTTAATGTTAAACTATATTTATAGTTTTATTTTAAAATCATGAATGGTTAATTAGAAAAGACGGTGTACAGAAGATGATGAAGAAGAAATGAGAAAAGAGAGGAATAAAGCAAAAAAGAGAATGTGAAATGAATATTTTTTATTATAAACAAAAAATATGTATGTATATTTTTAATTTTTTCATGTAATTATTGTTTTATATTGTCATAGGTTTGGATTTGTATGAAAATGCATATTTTTCACAAAAACTATGAATCTCCAACTTAACGAAATATGTTGTAAATCTGTTTGCAAATTTTAAACTGCTTATAACAAAACTAAGAATAAATAACGATGAGTCGGTTCACATATTTATTATAAATTGAATCATAACCATGCCCAATTTAAAGTAATTTGATATATATAATCAAAGTAGATGGATATATATATAAGCATGAAAAATTCTTGAAAAATTGTAAGATAGGAAAATGGTCAAGATATGCAGTAAAAAAATATGTTTGTTGGCTGCACATCTTGACCATTTTTCATCCTTACTAACTGAATTTAATAAAAAGCTTTTTTGGATTGGATATGTTTGTAAACTATAAATATACTTCTTCTCATCTTTGTCTTCCTCCTTAGTGCCTTTCAGCGTGAAGGGGCCTCGACCCATTTACGCCAGTCATCACGGTCTCTCGCCAGGTCTCTCATATGACTCAGCTGTTCGCCTCTTTTCTGTGGGTCGCCTCAAAAATTTTTCTGGGTTCTCTGTCCTTGTCCATCCTCATAACATGGCCGAACCATTTAAGCGTTTTCTTTTCCACGGTTTCCAGCATTGATGGCACCTTAACATTTTCTCTAATCCGTTAATTTCGGCAGCAGTAAGTCTACTTTTGTGCCTATCTAGCAGGACCAAGCTCTCACTACCGTACAGTAGGGTTGGAAGGTAGAGTGTGTTGTATATATGGATCTTGGTTATATTTTTCACCTCTCGTTTTCCTAAGACCGTGTTTGCAGATCTGGTAATAGACGCCATTTGCTTTTTTGGTCCTGTTTGATATCTCTTGGTATATTTTTCCATTTCTACCAATAACTGTCCCTGGGTATGTATATTCCTCTGCCAACTTCAGATTCTTACCCCTACAGTTTATTTTATTTTATTTTTTATTTATTTTTTTTTTTTTGGTCCTCCCCTTCCTCGCCTTTAAGGCTATACGGGGTTATCCCGGGCCAGGGAGTGTGGGCGGAGATTTAAAAGACTCCCCCGGCACCAGGATGCGAACTCGGAACTATTTTTCACTGTTGTCTCATATATCAGGTTGCCGGGCAACGGCGGTGCTGTGCACACTTGTTAGCCCATTCGGCCACCCCGCCCACTCCTACAGTTTATTTGTATGTCTTCGATTTCTCGACCTATCTGCATAATCTTACTTTTTTCTTCGTTTATGATCATGCCTTTTCTCTCAAGCTCAGCTTCCCATTCCACAATCGCTTGCTTTAATTTTGCGAATGAGTCTGTTATGAGGACAATATCATCTCTGTAAACGAGAGCTTGGGCTAGAATTGTTTTCATATTCTATTTTTCTATAATTGTTTTTCCCGTACGACGTTTACAGATTTTCAGAATCTCATCCATGAACACAATATATAAATATACCCGTGTTGAAAATATTTAGTTTATTTTGTTATTAAAAATTAAAACAACTTTTAAAATAATATAAAAATCATTAATATGAACGATATAAGCATTGAAAAAAAATCATCTATTTTTAATTATAAAAAATCTTTTGTTAATTTTATGTTTTATGATTCAGTATTTTATAGAACAATTATTTTGTGATTGTCCAAGAAACAAAATATTCTTATGGAAGCCAATATAAGCAAACACTTTTTATATTGTATTTTTCTCTGTGTTATTGAGAAAAGTAGTTGGATGATATTCTAGACATAGTTAATATATAACTATTTCAAAATAATAGATTTTTGTTTTATAATTTGCAGCATTTTCGCTATTTGGTTGTATATATTACTGCATATCATATTTTTTAAGGCATATTTCAATGTTTCTTGTTTCATATAAAACCGAACGTTAGTGATAATTTTATTTCAGCATTTCTTGCAGTCATAATTTTTTTCTCAATTTAATATAATAAGTAAAATTAAATATTATTTTAAAAAATGGATATTACATGTTATTACATTATTGCAGGTAGTACAGCAGCAGGTGCTGAGACCTGGGCAAGGAGTGAAGAGGAGGTTCGATTCGGGACCGGCCCCTTCCAATCAGGCTCCGCCGCCCAGCTATCTGGTAGGCTGTCGTCTTTTTATAATAAAGTTATTAATTTCCTAAAATGTGCTCTTTTATTTTTATCTCTAAGTATTCATCGATCATTCTCCTAGGAAGGGCTAACACTCTGGTCACGGAATATTGTAAGGGTAAGTATTGCGATCGTGGAAATTTTCGAATCTGAGTTTTCAATAGAAATATATGTTTTGAGGTCCCCCCAAGTTCAAATAACCAAGTCCTGCAAAATGTTCAGTGTGTGAACAGTATAGCTCAAAAATGAAAAGTCTCACAAAACTGATATTACGTATTTAAGATAGGTATATGACTTAGATGTTACATCAACTTTTTCCTTAAAATCGACTAATCGGAAGTGCCACTTTATATAATCGATTTTACAATTTTTTTAAAAACAGCTCTAACGATTTTGATTTAATATCGTTTAGATCTTATCCTTTTTGATGTCGTTTAACAGGGCTTAAATGTTCCATTTCCAATATGTCTTTTTCTAGAGTATTTTTAGTTAGGTTTATTTTAAATAATTAACTGTCTCTCGTTGTTAAGAGTTATGAAAAAGGGCTAAATATGACTTTTAAAAGAATTTGATAATTGAATAAAGTAGAAAAAAAGAAAAATGCTTATCCTGGTTGAAAATGAATCTCCCGTAATAACAGTCAGAAGGTATACGTATAATATATCGTTAGAAAGCGGAGAATTTCAGAAAAAATATCTAATAAATAAAGTTGTAGAAGGTAACGGAGAAAGTGATGAAAAAATATAAATAATAATTTCTGAAAATTAACATTATTTAACATGATTCCAAGAATATTGAATGAAATTTTCTTACTGAACGTAAATTAAAATTATTTTTTTTAAGTTTGAAAAAAGTATTTAAAATTCACCGAATCAAGGCAATTAAATTGTTTAAAATACTATTTCATTGTACTTGTGTGAAAGAAAAAGTGAAATATATAAATATTGCATGGTTAAGTTTATAACCTTAAATACATTTACTGTAATTTAATAACTCTGACGTTTGTTATTTTAATGGTATCAATGATTTGTTAGTTTTAAGCTTTAGATTGGAAATAAATGCACTTCAAAAATTTTATAATAGAACAATATTGCCAGAAAATACTAGTAGAATGGTATGTGAAATCTGTGTGTTGCACGCACCAGATTTTTATTAAATACGGTTATGATTTGAGAAATAACATGAACAACATAATATGACTCCATTTAAAAGACTTAGACATTTCCTTGGCAGAATATTGGTCTTAAAAATTTGCACACTCAGCTGGACAGTCCATCTTATAATTATTGAATTAATTCACAAAATAAAACCAGATATGAGACAACAAAAATCCATCACTTCCTTTCAGCTTCAGACTATACATAGTCCTGTCATAAATATTGTTATAAGGAAATATATATAGATATCAACAGAAAAATTAATAAAAAAAAAAAGAAATTACTCAAAATGTTCCCCTTTTAATAAAAAAAAAAGAAATTACTCAAAATGTTCCCCTTTTGCCTTGGCACAGGCGTTTAATCTCCGTGGCCAGTCATCAATAGTAATACGCAGCACTTCTTGAAAGTGCTCAACTGCTCGGATCAGAGATTGTTTGATGATTTCCAAGTTAGGATGTGCTCTGTGGCATGCCATCCTCTCCAGTTCGGACCAAAGCCGATAATCTAGTGAGTTGGCTTCCCGAGGGCCAATCTGAGGCAGAGATGAACTCTGGAATGTTCTTTTGCAGCCGCTGCTGAGTTGACCGAGCCTTGTGAGCTGGAGCAGAATCCTGCTGGGAAACTTTAGTTAAGCTTTTGGTTGCACGGAGCCGTAATTACCTGTAACTCAAGGTCTAGCCATCCCTTTGTGCACGGGATTTATTCACTGAATTGCTTCCATCACTGCACTTTTCCACATTAACATATGTTGTTTTTTTATAACTGGCTTATACATTTTCTTTATTATGATGTTAACTCATATTTCAATAAATAGTTAAATATCTTTTTCTTTTTTAGTTTTAAAATTTATTAATTGTCTTACATTATGCTGCAACATTTACATTATTTTTTTATATATTCTAATTTTTTGTTGGTACATATAATGCCATAATTGTTTTATTCTTCATTCAAAATTTTGTATTTACCTTTTCTATTATTAACCAATTTCTGATATGGTAAAATTTTAAAAATGTTTCATTGTATGGTAAATTTTGTGACGTATACTTCAATCGAAAAAAAAAAAAATTATACTTTCGAAGAAATAAAATAAATTTTTTTTTAAAGATTAATAAAATTTTAAAACATTTTCAATTTTCGCACTTCAAAACACTACCAACTGCTGTTAGTTTTAGAGCTAAACTGTGTTCAAAAGACTAGAGAAAGGTTAACTAGCGGGTGGAAGCAGCAAGTATACGAAAGGTTGAGGTCAGAGCTCTTACCCTTAATGATACCCGTGACTAAATAATACATCTCACGCTATCTAGTGGTTCAAGCAACAACCTATGACTCATGGGGTTTCCAGTTGAGAGCTCTGTAACAAGCCATAATATTGTCTTTGCAGAACTGAACAAAACAGCTGAAACCAATATATTGGCTCAACGCATCAGAGGTATTGTCTTTCGGGACCACAATATTGGCATTGCACGCTGGCGTCACAGCCAGCCCAAGCAAATATATTGGCTTCCTTATCTAAAGGGTTAATTACAAGAACTTTTATGGAGTAGTTCTAGATTTAACAAGAATAAACTGGAACTATAATTTCCAATAACTGTAAATTAATAATAACTATAATTTTGACATTATAATAAAAAAAAAAATAATAATAATAAAAATAATAGAAGAAAAGAGGCTACATTGGTATGGCCTTGTCAATATAATGCAGGCGGAAAGAATGGCTAAAATCGTGTACGATGCAGGTAAAGTTTAGTGAGAGAGGCTTTTGATAGGATAGGAACTTAAAGCTTACAGATAACAAATTATTAAGACCATTAAAATTACAAAAAGTCTATGTATTATATCGTCGTCGGTGGGCAATAAAAATCTAATTTTATAAACCATATATCTTCAGTCTCTGAGCCTTTTTTTTTTCAACTCCAATTTCAACATTTTTGAGTAATGTCATTTTAGTGATATTTCTAGTTGAAAAAGTTATGTGTCACAGACAGTGAGCAAGTTGATTCCAGAGTAGGTGATTACAATGTTGAAATATAGAACTGTGAATAAAGGTATAAATTTTGTCACTAGAAATATCACTAAAATTAATAATAAAGCTTATTGAAATTTGGGTTAGTCATTCTGTCAACTGAAAGGCTCATATATGCCTAGAGAGATTTTAAAGTACATCTGAATATTTAACCTATAAATGATCATGTATTGTAGAACTATTAGTTATTAAACTGTTATTTTCCATTGTAATGATTACTAACATGTGATTTACATTAATTAATGTTAGTTTTCTGAAATTATTATTTATATTTTTTTCATCACTCTCCATTACCTTCTACAACTTTATTTATTTGATATTATTTTGTCTAAAATTCCATGCTTTCCAACGATATATTATATGTATACCTTCTGGCTGTTATTACCAGAGATTCATTTTCAACCTGGATAAACATTTTTCTTTATTTCTCCAGTTTCCAATTATCATATTCTTTCATACTTCATACTTAACCACTAGTTACTGTCAATAAAAGAGAGTTCATTTTTTTAAATAAACCATATTAAAAGTACTTTAGAGGAAGACTTATATGAACATTTGGCATTTAAGCTCTGTAAAGTGACATCAATAGAGATAAGACCTAAATGGTATTAAAGATCATGGTATAATACAATGATACACTGAGTTTAATCAAAATCGTTAGATCCGTTTTTGAGAAAATTATAAAAATGTGTTTCGCCGTTGATACAAAGTGGCACTTCCGGTTAGCCAATTTTAAGGAAAAATTTGCTGTAACATCTAAGGTATATACATATCTTAAATATGTAATATCAGTTTCGTGCAACTTTTCGTTTTTACGGGATTTGGTTATTTGGACTCAGGGAACCTCAAAACATGTATTTCCATTGAAAACTCAGATTCGAAAATTTTCACAATCGCAATACTAACCCTTACTATATATTTAATGTATAGGCAAGTGAAAATAAAAATATGTAACTGTAATCTCTACTTTGTTCAAGAAACTTAGTCATGTAAAAAGGTCTATAAAGTCTGTAAAGATGGTCCCTGGTGGTTGTAAATCAAACCAAGTTAACTACTATGTCTATAACAAACCGATAGTAGAGAAACTTGTTTGTGTAAAAGGGCGTTTAGATTTAAAGCTTTAATGAAATGTAAAAGGCATTTAGATTTAAAGCTTTAATGAAATGTAAAAGGCATTTAGATTTAAAGCTTTAATGAAATGTAAAAGGCATTTAGATTTAAAGCTTTAATGAAATGTAAAAGGCATTTAGATTTAAAACTTTAATGAAAATGAAAACTTGTTTGTAAGTTCATTGATAAGTTGTTTGAATAAGGAAACTATTGCTTTTTTCAGGCAATCCCTCCACCGCAGTCAATGCCTCCTCCCACAATGACACTTCAGGCTGTTCGCAAGGGAATCGGGTATGTAAACTAAATATACATAATGTGAATATATATATATATATATATATATATATATATATATATATATATAAACTGTAAACTATCCTTCTTTATAATATGAGAACCAATTTAATACATTTCATGTTGAATATCATCATTATAATCTAGTATGTAAACTATAAACTATCCTTCTTTGTAATATCATAACCAATTTAATACATTTCATGTTGAATATTACACTATAATCAGGTATGTAAACTTTAAATTGTCTTCTTTTTTTTTAGGAAGCCAATGTTTATATAATTTTTTTCATAATTAAGGGAAAAATACTTCCAATTTTCCTTTAAATCCCTTTATTCACATTTATCACCTCTAACATTTCGGACAATTTTCCCATTATCAGAGCAATCCTTATATTCACTGAAACTTGCTTTATTGATGTGGCACCATTTTTCAAAAATTTAAATATTTGTCACGTTCATTATATATTTATTTGGTGTTACGCATCCTTTTTTTATTCATTGTTACACTAACCTATGGTGATAAATGTGAATAAAGGGATTTGAAGGAAATTGTAAGTTTTTTTTGCCTTAATTTATGAGAAAATTTAAATTGTATTTTTTTTTAATAATAGAACCAATATAATACATTCAATGTTGAATATTATGCTTATATAACATACCTGTTTAATTCACATCTTTGTGTATGGGTGTTAATCAAGTTCTTAAAATTATTTATGTTAATTTAACAAAAGATCCAGTGATTTTACAAAAAAAATTTATTACTTTTCGATAACTCATTTATTTTTTGTTTTGTTTTTTCTCTTAACTACATTTTAAATTTAAAATATTTTGAAAGATTGGAAAATATTGTTTTTGCTGTTTTTCAAAATAAGAGTTTTAGTTGGGCAGATTTGAACGCTTATGTATGTTTTATTTATTAATGTAATATTATTTGAAATACAAATTAAAAAGATGAATTTGATTCATAAAATTGTCATGGCTTTTCTCAGAAATATTCACCTACCTGGACCAAGGTGAAGGATTAAGCTCGAACTTAATGCTATATTTAAAAACTTGCTGATGATATTGGCTGTGTCTACGCTGTGAAGAATTGCTTTCCGTCCTCTTTCCAATACTTTTTCTGACAGCTTCAAATTCTCTAATTGAATGGTATTCCCTGGGATGAGTCCATTACTGGAAATTACTACTGGATTTACCTGTGTATGAACCTGTTTGTGAAACAGGTGTATGAACCTGTGTATGAAAGTTACCGAAGTTCCTGAAACAAATCTTCATCTTTTCTGATATCTTCTTTCCGACACTATTATTGTTATGAACCGTAATGTAAATGACATCACCACTTTATGTCTTTTGATCAATCTAGACTACGTCCAATTTATTATTTCTACTATATAATCTATAATTATAGAACGATCCTAATATTTAATGGTAATTATTATTATCATTGTGTGATTAAAGAAATGAGTTTGTATTAGTGCTTATGTGGCCATTAATTTTCTAAGCACATTCATATCATCCATTACTTCTTTTTATTTTTATTTTTCTATATGTATAAATTATTTTAACTTTTCTTCCTTTCAGCTGTCTACAAACATGGAGCCCTTGTTTAGGATTTACCAAAAATAGACTTACTGTTTGTTAGTTACAAAGTTATACATTATCATATGCAGAGATAAAATTCAGACATACCTGGCTAAAAGGTATAACTTAACTTGTTTCCACTATATAGGGAAAATAAACAGTACCATGCATTATCTTTACGATGGGATTATTAATTAAATTATTTATTTTAATAAAATCCTTAAATAAGATTAATTCATAATTATTCCTAGTGAACTATCAATGATGGTGGATTTTGTTTTGAAATCTTATATGAAGTCCGAATGTGATCTTGTGATGTGGCTAGGAGTAAGTCTGTACGTAATGTTATACTAACAGAAAATGGGGTGAATGAGTGATAAGTTTCTGTTTGATTGTTACGATACAACATATGATGTTAATTTCAGAAATAATATACTTTTTTTTCAGGTTTCATATTAGCTCCCATTATTTTTTTTTTTAACTTCTTCAGAAATCCTGGATGGCCTACTGTTTATTAAATAATAAATTTGTTTATTATTTCTTACGTTGTTGGGGGAAGGCGAAGATAGGAGAAGGGGGCTGAGCGTTAACTAAAAAAGTGTTTCAGCTCCGAAGGTCTGCAACAGCAACAGCAGAGCATCAGGCCGTCGCAACAGGCCCAGCAGCAGCAACACATCCAACACCAACAACTGCTGCAGCACCAACAGCAGCAGCAGCAACAACAACAACAGGCTGCGCAGCAGATGATTCAACAGCACCAGCAGCAAGTGCAAGTAGTCCATCAATCCACTATAGATGAATCTCAGCAGATAGACGAAAAAACGATACAACAAACTTTGCAGTCAGGTAATCTTTGCAGGTTCTATTTCCTATCGTAGTTCAAGTGTCTTCGACACCTCGTTTGGTAACAGAACGATTGTTTTGCCATTTTCATCTATCTCGTTACATATTCTTTTGGGAATATTAGAGTATATGGGGACCCTTTATTAAAGTTTTAATTATGTCTTACATTCTCTTTTTTTTTTTTTATTCCATATAGGGTTTCAGGATGTAAATTATCAATGTTTTTGTTTTTATAATTTGAAATTTACTGAAGAAAGAAAGAAAAACGAAAAGTAATCATTAATTATGCGTCTATAGTTTTCTCATAGTCTCATAACATCATAAATGTATTTTGTGGAATCCGTACCTCATCAGAAAATTCAGGAAGAAGTCAGAGAAAAATTGTTAAAGTCAGAGACATTTTTTAGCATGTCTATGTTTTGTTTTTTTTAATTGGAAATAAGTATACTGTGGATATCGTTTATGGGGCAAACTTCATTATATATAAACAATCACGATCGCTATATTCATCCACCTTTGACTGTCAATAACAGCACTGGTCGTTATATCGATATCAAACAAGACAAGGTTAATGAATGAAATTCAAAGAAAATGTACTTAAAGCAGTATTTTTTTGAAAAAAAAAAACCAACCAATACTATTTACTATTTATAATATACACATCTGGGTCAAGATCTGGCTTAAAAGCACTCGTTCGTTCGATCCGTGGTGCTCCTTAACCAGAAATTGCATAGTTAGTGTAATATGGATAATTATTATGTGCAGTAATAAAGAAACTAAAATTATTAATGAGAAACTACATTAATATTAGAATCTCCTGTAGCTCACTTTATTTTATAATAGAGGAAATTAGAGCTTTATATATAAACTTTTACCTTCTTTCAGTTTATGAAAATAAAATAAAACCAATAAAAATAAATTACTAAATGTTGAGTTTTCTATAATAAAAAATCCTAATCAAGCTTAAAAAATACTTCTTCTAAAACATTATATCTGTTATTTAAAAGAATGATTTTTTTTTTTTTACTCAAATCATTTTATAGTCAATTTCATTTCATGTATAATAAATAAATTTAGTTATTAACTATACATTTTTAATATTTATTTCCCCAGACATATTGGGTCAGGGAAAAATATTAAATAGAGAAACGTCAGAGAATTTTACTTTAACTGTTTGGTAGCCATCCTGAAAATATATATTGAGGCCATTATTGCATTTCGGTTATTTTAGGGCTGCCTCCTTTGTTATGAGGTGGACACGTCCAGGTGAGTCTGCTTGCCATATCCATAAATATTAAAGAATTTTCACCGACCATCCCCACATCCGCTACCCGTGAAGCGCTCCCGTACACAGTAATGAGCCGGCGCAAGGAAATATTAGGAATATTAGGAAAGAACAGACACTAATAAAAAATTTTATTCGCAAATTAAAGAGGGGAAAAAAATTGATAAATATCTGTTAAATTGAAGTTTTGAAAATAGAAACACTTTACTGAGCTAACGGCTAAAGGATTGAGCTTAGGCACTTGTGGTCTGTGATGTGTTATGAAATGAAATGAAAATAGATTTTTATTATCCTGGAACTTTTGTCCCTTTAGGAGAAATTATAGATGTTATGTATTGATTCTGAAGCATACCGTCCCATCCCCTCCACTTTGATTTAACGCAACTTTTCTTTACAATTATGCGTCAGAGAAATCCTGGTCTTTTAGTTTTTTGTTTTTTTTTATGACTAAATCATTAATGATGGATTACAATTGAAGATTGCAGGTATTCCATTTTGTTCATTTATTTTTTTTTTTTTAATTATGAAAATTATATTCGGGTTTTATTTTCTACATTCTTGTTTTTAATTGATTAGGCTTGATAGTTTGGCCAAATGTGGAATTTTTGTGTTAATTTACATTACTTGAACTATGATATGAAATATTTTATGAACTTTTGTACGATATAAACTTTTTTAACTTATATATTGTTTTCTTTAATATTTCCATTTAGGGAAGTTCAGTACTACAGGTTTCATTTTTTAAAATTTAAAATGACATTTCGGAAGGAGAGTACATGTTTAAGCCTGGCACATTCTTGCTGTAATGAGTATGAATTTAATTTCTGATTAGAATCTTATATTTTATTTCGTAGCAGAACTGCAGAAAAATCGTCACTGGTTGCATAGTTTTCTGATCTACAAAGAGGCTTTAAACAACACAATTTAAAACACTTTGTTATCACATTTGTTGTTTCTTAACCCTTAATGTTATTTTGTTATCACATTTGGTGTTTCGTAACCCTTTAATGTTATGTTTTTGCATGATTCTATGATGTTTTCAGGAGAGGAAGGGACAGTGTTCAAAATATTGTTAGACAGGTGGAAAAATGAATGTGTATAATGCTTGTGAAAATCATTAAAGTATTATCTTAATACTTTATATTATATTAATTAAAATTAAATTAATTAAAATTAAATTATAAATTAAATTATAAATTAAATTAAAATTATATTTATATTAAAGTATTATCTTAATCATTAAAAGTATGTGTTAGTAATGTCATTCTTGATAAATATATATATATTTTTTTTATTTCTTAATGACATTTACTACTGTATTAAATAAATACATCTAGTAAATTTGAACATAATGAATATAATGACATGAAAACACTTGCTGAGTAACTACCCAATGGCAGCACTCTAATGATATGTCTACATTAGGAGATCACGGGGCCATCTTCTTTTCAGACGCCTCGGAGGGTTATCAGGAAGCAAGAGGAAGCAAGGTTAGAAACGAGAGGGTTGGGATGATTCTGAAGTTTATTATGGAAGGATAGTTATCTGGATTGGGCCAGATCTGAAACAAAAGAAACATTAAGGTCATTATGGATGGTTTTATTTGTTACAAAGTAGGGAGCATTGAGGATTTTACAAAGGATTTTGGATTGTAAGGATTGGACACGAGAGGAATTCAATGGTTTAATGGAGCCCCATAGCTCAACTCTGTAGGTCCAAATAGGCCTTATTACAGTCAAGTATATGAGTCTTTTGTAATTAATTGGAAGTTTAGAGCGTTTGTCTAGTAAGTGCTGAAGTAATCGGAAACGTCGAGCAGTTTCTTGTCGTTTCAGTCTAGTATGGATAAGTATACTTAAATAATTGTATCGTGTTTCATTTTATTCATTATTTATGTTGATGAATTCCAATAGAATGCATTATTCACTAAGCATTTTCAGTTCATTTGTTTATTTCTTAAACTCTGGCTTGAAATTCTCTTATACTTAGTGTCAATAAAAATAAATGATGTATATCATAATTGATTGTGTATATAAAATTTAATGCATTATTGTACAATACTTATAAAAATTTTAATGGTGAACAAATTGTTAAGGTATAAGGCACTGTTCAAGATTGGCTTTGATAAAATCAGCTTTTTCTTTTGTATATTAGTGACTATTTAGTTTAAATAATTTATTTGTGATGATAACAATACTGAAACTAATTACAGAGAAAAATTCAATTTAATTTATTTTTTTGAATATTTAATAGTTGACCGTTGCATTATAAAGGAAGGAGATGGTCCGGGGTGCATTATAAAGGAAGGAGATGGTCCGGGGTGGCGGTCATAAATAGGCTGAATAGTGGTAAAACTATTTTATTGAAAGTCGGCGTTTCGACCCGACTTTGCAGGTCTTCTTCTGGGCTAGAACGGACAAGATACAAAAAGATAGAGATTTGTGGCAGTTACATAATATTTAGACATAATTTATAATATGAACAAAGTAAGCTGAGTAACAAGATCCTAAACTGAAGTAAATAGATGCTAACAATTGTTGTAGTGTAATATATAATAAATGAAAATGTGAATATACTTCTACAAATCTACAGGAGAGATTGAAAGAAAAGAAAAAAGAAAACCAAAAATTAAATAAAATTAGAGACTTCGGTCGAAACGTCGGCTTTGAATAAAATAATTTTACCACTATTCAGCCTATTTATGACCGCAACCCCGGACCATCTCCTTCCTTTTTAATTTATTTTTTTCCTTTTTACCTTGAGTCAGTCTGGAGAGCCATAAACCATCTGCCGCAGGCATACTTAAACCTATAACAGTGATCACTATTGCAGCCGACCACTGAAATGACACCGTATTACTGTTGAATGTTTTTTATTATAAAGTAGTTAATGATTGGTGTCCTAAGATTTGAACAATATTTTCCAGTCAATCTTCATCGTTATTTTCAATTTTTTTTTAATGATATTTTTTATACTTTCAGATTTATTTTTGTTATATCAGCATGCCATTATGTGTCAACAAATTCTCCATTATTCTAGCCATTTTTTTTTTTTTTTTTCAACCTTTCTTACAGCAGTATAATGAAATGTGGGAACCCAGAAGATCTGCTATTTATTTATTTATTAAATAATTCTATTAAAAATATATTTTCATGTATTAACCATGAAAAAGCTATTTTTAATTTTTGTTATAAATAAGAGCTGTCAAATGATTTCAATTTAACAGTTGAATTTATTTTAATGTTATTCAATTTTCTTAATTGAGAATCTGGTACTTTCATGGAAAAAAAAATTGCATTAATTTGGATTGCAAAAAAAATTCAAGTAATTAAGAGCTTATATAAGATGGATATTGTACTTGGGTAGATGTGATGGAGACTGGGAGCGTAGCCTGAGTCCACTATTGTTGACGTGTACTGCTTCTAAACACTCTTTAAAACCTTACTCAGCTCTACTTTATAGGCATGCATTTATGAAAGCTAGTATAGTACATTTTTAAATGAATATTTTATCATTTATAGAAGATGGGAGAAAAGACATTAAGTTATTTCTTGAATGAAAGTTTTAAATCTGAAAACGCTATTATAAACTAAGATATCCAGCGGTATGAACAAAACAGGGGATGGGATGGCTGAGCAGTAAGCAGAGCTTCCGATTGTACAATTTAACTCCAAGAATAACCCTAATGAACTATAAATTTGACTACCCGTTTCAAATTTATGTGGACTTTACTATGCAAGAAAACACTGCTATTTAATATTTTACAATACCAGTAAAAGTATTCATTTAAACCTCTTAAGTAACAGATGTAAACCTTCTTTTTTTTTTTTTATCGCTACAATGTTTTATTCATAAGATTAATTTAACGTTCCTTTCCAATTGTATTTAATTATTTTTTATTTATTATAGCTTTATAGCTATTTATATTCCTGTTTTAGTTATTCTAATAGCTCTTTTGGCTAGATGTAATGCTAATTTGTATGAAAAAATATTGTTAATCTTAAGGGACCTCGTCCCAGATTAACATTGATATTTCTAGTAAAAAAAGACTTTAAAAACTATCACACAAGTATATCAAATTATTCGATAGCCAACAATATTCTACTAATCTACTTAGAAGATTGACTCCGAAAGGATATTCAAAGAGTTCGTAAAAAGCCTCAGGCTGGACTGGACCGAGAATCACTTACTAACTGGCCTACGACAAGATAACCAGTAAGTTTCATTACTATAACAGCACCGCACGTTGCCCGCCAACCCGATGGAAGATAATTTGATAAAATAATTGTCCCCATATTGGAGGCGCTTTTAACTCTAACATAAGTCCCCGCCCTCATCCCCTGGCTATGAGGAAAAATCTCGTATAGCCTGAAAGGCGAGATAGGGGAAAACAAAAAAAAATTCATTGCAATAATAACGTTCATCTTATCATAATTCTTTTCGTAACCACTTTGCAATGCCTCTTACACAGATAAGTGGATTCTATCCCAGCATTATCCTAATCCCACATCTATAAGGGCTAAGAAACAAAAAAAATGCAATATCTATTACTTATAAGCCTATTACAATATCTTGACAGCTTTTAATTTAAAACAATTTGGCTAACCATTTCTATTTCAGTTCACCTCCTGGGAATGATCGTCAGAGTCTGCTTTAATATATTTCAATTTTTTTTAAATTGTAGTAACACTAGATTTACAGACAGCAAAATTTCATCCATTTATGTTGCACATCCAATATAAAAGAGGCACAACTCAAAATTTCCAATGTCGAACATTTTAATAATTGAAACCCTACCATCCAAAATAACAATAGACAACACAACAGCTCTTCTACAAGCAACAGGCAACAACCTGAGAAGTGTCTTCTATGGAGAGCTGAACTGAATCTGTGTCCAATATTTGTTATAACAATATAGAATTTTTTTGAGTTGCGCCTATTTCATTCTGAATAGAACAAAATGAAATATATTTGTATCCTATCTCATATTGAATAAGTTATTAAAATACTTACTTTTTTAAAATTTATGTTTGTTGTAGAATCAAGATCATTTAATCAAATTGATGGATTCTGTAATGTAAATCTAGTGTCAACTTTTTTTTTTTTTTTTCAGTTCGAATAATGGAGCTTTGCTGGATTTAATAATTTAATTTTCTTTTCTTTTTTTAATAATTATTTTATTTTCAGCAGATATGATCTTTATTTTATCCTGTCAAGTTTCTTTTATAGCTTTATTTACATTATTTTGTCATGATTTCGAAAAACAAATTTTTCAGTTATATTTCGGCCATTACACTTTAAAGTTTGGATGGAGATTAAATATTTTATTTACATATTTTTTTATTTCTTAATTTAATTTATATATTTATTTATATTTTGAAGAAGAAGTAAAATAAAAGGTCCAGTCTACGCCCAAATCTGATCCGGTGCTTCATTCTTTTCCTTTTAATTCTTTTGTTATTTGTTAAATCACCTGTACTTTTAAATTTTGCCAATTTTTTTTTTTAAATTATTGATGCATGGTTTTTCTAAATTATTTCAGCCTGAAGGAGAGAGCCAGACGAATTTAAAGATTTTTTTTTTAGTTATTATTTTAAGAAATATTTTTATCTTATCCTTTATGAAGTCATATCTTGTGATTCGTTGAAGCATGTATTGACGTTCAATGTTGACAGATGATTGGAGGCTTCAGCAGCAACAGCAACAGCCACAACACCAACAACAGAGGCCTCAATACGTCCAAATCCAGACTCCTAATTCGCCTTCATCCAATAGTAAGTGACTATTTCTTTTGTAGTTGGTTTTGCATTTTTTTAAAAATAATACGTCGCCTGATTATTTCAATTTTTTACTTAATTTTTTTTCCTTTTCTTCTCTTTATTGTGTTTTTTTTTTCTTTCCTTCTTTTTTTTTTCTTCTAGACGATGGAAATAAAATCGATCAACCAAAGAGAGGACGACTTTCTCAAAGTACGTTGCTAAGTAATATATTAAATCCTTGATAGTTTTGTACAAGGTAACGGTTGAGCATTATGTGTTCATTTGATGTTAACTTATAACTAACAAGTCAGTATGAATCTAGGATAACAGGTAATAAGTTGATAATTTGACAAATGGTTCTCGTGAATTTTGTATATTGTGATCATCTCCCAAGTGTTCCGCACACTGTGAAGAAGTTAACAGATTACATCTTTAATGTACATGGGTCATTGTAGAATATTTATTTTCATATAAACTAAATAAAGTCTTAGTTTAGAGGACTGTGTGTCGGTAATATTTTTACAAGTTAATTGATATACGAGGTTGGGCTCAAAATAACTGAATTGAAAGCACATGACCATTTTTAGGTGTAGTATAGTTCTCCTGCTATTTGGCTTTAGTAGTGCTTCCAAGATCAATTTTCTCAACAATATCCGCATAGTTACTAACATTTGATTGTATGTATGAATGAATAAATGAAAATAATTTTATTATTCTGCGACTAGTGTCCCTTTAGAATAAGTTACAAATACAGAATATATATTGATATTTTGGTGTGTCCATAAAATACAATTTAATATTTACAGGTTGATTAGGAATACAATGAAGTTATAAATAATAAAAATATATAAAAAAAATGTGTAAATATAAAATATACAGAGAAAGTAATTAAGTAAACGAAATATCGATGAATCGCAAAATAATCAGTCTCTAGGTGTACTTTGAGGTTTTTACAGCTTAGATTTTTAAGTGTATTTCGTGATCAATCGGATTGGGAATGGAGTAGGTGTTCGAAGAGGAGAGATTTGAAAGAGGATATTGATTTTGCGTGTCGGATATCTGAAGGTATAGAGTTCCAGAGGGAGACAACTTGTATTAAAAAAGATTTATCAAACACAGCAGTTCGGTGAGGAGTAGGATAGAGATCGGACGCACGGGATCTGGTGGGACGGGATTGAAAGGAGCGTTTGAATTGTAGGATCTGTAGAATATAGGCGGGTCGCCGTGTTCTAATGGCTTGGTATAGGAAGGTAGCAAGGAAATATTGACGGATAAAGCCACTTCAAATTGGTGTAGAACTGGGTAATATGCGTATCCTTTGAGATCCCGAAGATAAAGCGGACTGAGCAATTCATTAAACGTTTAAGTTTGGCTTCGAGTGTCCCGAGAGTCCACCATACACCGATTGTAGTGTTGTTCTCAACTGTTCTAATTTGCCACTTGTGAAATCATTTTAGAAGATTTAAAAGAACTAAGAGTATTATTGTAAGTAGTATGAGAAACTTAAAAGATGTTTTATAGTTCTTTTAACTTGATTTTTCTAAATTATTGTATTTTAGTCACATCTATATATATCTACATATCTGTATATATCTTTAGCATCAATACTCAATGAACAACTGATCATTTTTCAAAATGATCCTCAGAAGGTGAAAGACTTTGTGATAGATCCTTAAGACCCAAACAACCGATACAAGCTATGTAACATCTGTCTAAATCTGCGATGTATAGAAGGTAGCTGTGTGTTGATAACATCTTCACAGTGTGCTGGAAGCTTGTATGATCAAACAATACAAATAACTCACGAGGACCGTTTTCTGACTTACCAACTTATTCCCTTTCACCTTAGAAATAATACCTATGATGATAATAATAGTTAAAATAAAATAAAAATTTGGTGGTAGTATATTAGTGGTGTTGGTTATCTTGTCGGGACAGTATAATGTAATTTGATGCTGTTGCATATCTATTAGTTTTATTATTAATTATATTCAAATTCTCCATCTTAATAGATCATTCTTCAGCAGCTGCCTAATATCAATAAAGTTTGGTAATTGTTATTAAAAAAAATTTTGCAAGGTCTATCTGAATTTGCAAGAAAAGTGCAATACAAGTAAAGAGGAATTAATCAAAATTAATTGCTCGAAGGCGTATTGAGATTACCAAACAGTCCTAATAGTAGAGGGTGTTTGAAAAAATAAAAAATAAATGTATTACATCTTTGAGACAGTTTTTTATTAACAACTAAATTTTACAATTTAAATTATTGTTCTTAAATACAATCCTGACCATGTATTGGGTTGGCAAATAAGTCCTTTCGGTTTTTCTATTTATTTTTATGTCACTATGAAACACTTCTATGATGAATTAATCACTAAGGCGGATTGTTTATTCTGTTTGTAATATGTCAACAACTACATCTGTTAACTGCTATTGAAACTAGCTTAGTATTGTGTTTGCTATTGCACTGTGAATATGGAAGGAAATATCATTCATTATCGGCATATTTTATTGTATTATTTTAAAAAAGGTAAGCATACTGCAGAAGCTCATAGAAAAATTTGGAGTGTTTATAGGGATGATGCTTTAACCGAACCCACCTGTAAAAATTGGTTTGCCAAATTTCATTCAGGAAATTGAAACAAGCAATGTTAAGTCCATTGTTGATCAAAATCTCTCCCAATCAGTGCGAGAGATTGCTATGGCCCTAAATGTGTCGCACAAAAGCATAGAAAACCATTCGCACAAGGTCGGCTATGTTTCCAGGGTTAATGTTTGGGTCTCTCACTCTCTAACTGAAGTCAACTTGGCAACACGCATTTCTGTTTGTGATTCACTATGGAAACGGCAATATAATGACCCATTTTTCAAAAGGTTGGTAACAGGAGATGAAAAATGGATATTTTACGATAATTTAGTCCATAGAAAAGCTTGGGGAGTGAGGCTCCTAGAAGAATTTCTAAATCCAGATTGCATCCAAATAAGGTAATGCTTTCCATATGGTGGAATTTCAAGGGTGTTATTTTCTATGAGCTATTGCCATCAGGACAAACAGTTGATACAACTTTATACTACTCACAATTAACAAAATTGGATCAATCAACTAAAAATAATGCCTAGAACTGGCAAATCAGAAGGGTGTTGTGTTCTGCCAAGACAACACTAGGCCCCACCCTCCCTATTCAATAGACCTAGCTCCAAGTAACTACCACTTATTCCGATCTCTGCAGAACTCCATGAATGGAAAGAAATTCAAAAGGGAGAGGACATCAAAAATCACTTGGATCAGTTTTTTAACAATAATTTCCAGACATTCTATGAACATGGCATTATGCAGTTAGTGGAAAGATAGGTAAAAGTCATATTAAATAATGGTCAATATATTGTAGGTAAAAATAAATTCTATGTCTATAATACATTGAGTTTTATTTCACTCTGAAAAACTGAAAGGACTTATTTGTATTTGTATATACAGGGTAGTATATACAAATACAAATTACTCTTGAGAAATGTAAAATGTAAACTTAACATAGATAACTCTGCATAACTAATCGGGGCTGAAAACTCTGAATTGATTTCAAATACTGGTTTAACCTTTTACACGCCGTCCCCTAATTCCAGTAGACATTTTTTTTTTTTTCTGTATTATTGGTTTCCATATGGTTCCCTTTTTAATAGATCCTAAAATAAAAATTTCCTTTGCACTTTTCCAACTTGTTCCAGAAGTGGAACAATGGCAGGTTCAGGTTATAAAAAAAAAAAAAAAAAGAATTTTTTTCTTAATAGTTTTATTAGAATATTCAATACAAGAATAGTATTGATTTTAATAATATTGATAAAAAATTATTATTATATTTCAGTAAAACATCCATAATTGTTTGTTAAGTAATAGAAAATGCAAATGTAAGATTACGGAATAAAAAAAAAAAAAATTGTTATGCTAATAGACGATTTAAAATCCATGATATTGGAACAAAAAATTAATATCAATGCGTTTCTGACATTTTTTGCATTGATATTTTGTGTTGGTGCCATAATGAAGATATCTTCCTTGGGAAGCCGAAATGATCCTGCTAGGAGGGCTGGAAGTCAGCGGACCTTCTTTCCGTGTTATAACCCGCATTACCTAATTATTATAAAATGTGAGTAATAAACGGGATGTTTGGCATAGTATTTCAAATAATATGTGTTCCAAGAAACTAAAAAAAAATTTTTAGCAGTTTTTCTCTATCCATAAGAAATTATATAAAAAAATCTAAAATCTTAAAATAGCAATTAGTAGTTCTATGAATTTCCTCGTTCAGTTTTGTACTAAGAAAACAACGTAGGAAACAATGAATAGAACGAACATTTCTATAGCGTGAACCTGCCATTGTTTTATATATGGAACATTAAAATTAAAATTAGTAAAACTGATGCTTAGAATTTTTTATTTACATTTTCTACAATGTATTATTTTCAGTAATCTATCACAATCAATTTAATCGATAATCAAATTAAATTTCATTGCTGTAGTATTAACACAAACATAAATAATCAATACATCTCTCGACACTAAAAAAATCACAAACTTTAACTTTTTATTTACCGAACTAAAAGTGAAAACATGTTTTCTTGCAAAAAAAAAAAAAAAAAATCATCAAGTTGGTCAAAAAATTGTTTAATATAAGTTCCGATTCTGGAACAATGGCATGTAAAAGGTTAAGGAAAAAAGGGTAACAATAGTCATTGAATGGTAATATAAGCACAGTTTATTACATTCTGTTATTATCAAGCTCAATTATTTCTTGTAAAAAATTTGTTTTTCATTAACTTTTAATATAAATTGACTTGAAAATTAGTCTATTGCATGTTATTTTGCCTGTTTCATTATATTTATATCAGTACAATACCTGAGCATAACACATTGTTATTTTACTAACCAACATAATGTAATTTTTTAACAATTCAGTAAAATAAAAAGTTTTATAATTTAGTCGTTTCCAAATATCTTGTCCACAAGAATATGGCAGTGGGGAAATATGAACCATCAGTGAAAGGGAAAGAAATTTCTCCCTTCTTTAATTTAATTGACCTGAGAAATCGTTGAATTATAAATTACATGTTAAGTTTTAAATAGCCTAGCTTGTAAAGACACTTTGAGGTTTGCTCTCGGTCTGCCACGTTCTTGTGGATGAGCTATATACTAACAATAGGATTTTTTTTTCATTTTCAAAAATATTTGTATTTCTTACTCCTTCTCATTTCTTGCTCATTGGTCTAATAAAATAAAATTGATAGTGTTTTTAAAATTTTTATTTGCATCTTCATCATCTAGAGGGACACTTTGTCCCGGAAACGTCCCAATAAAAAACACCAAAATGGTGATAGTTGGTTGACCGTGATACAATATGAGAAGGAGTTGGTCAGAGGGTTCGGTCAAATAAATACTAAATTTTTAAAATAGTACTTTAATCGTTACGCCGACATCTTGATCCACTTTGTAGGTCTTCATATGTCAATTGTCATTTATATATACTGTACCTTTTTTCATCATAATAACCTTGTTGACATTTCTACTTACATTTTAAATTTCTCTTCTAATTTTGTCTTACAGAGATATATATATTTAATTAATATATCCTAACGATATTACAACTCATGTTATCTTATTAATTTTTCAATTTCTTTATTTGTTAACCTTTAGTCTCGTTATCTGTTTACCTACATTTATCAAGTGTAACATCTACTAGATTGTTATCCACTGATATCTTATTCTTATTTTACCTTTACTAGATCATTCTTATTCGTGTTTCAATTTCTTTATTCGTCAACCCTCATTTTCTTTATCTATTAACTTGCAGTTATCAAATCTAACCTTTACCAGTTTGTTATCCAGTTATTTCTTATCTTTTATCACAATCTAACTTAACAATTTAATTTACACGCTATATTCACCTTTGTTTTCTATTTTTATTCACACTTATTTTCTATTTTTGTTTGTATCTTCTATGTGTGTAATACTTGATATTTTAACACTGTCACCCACTATATCTGTGATGTCATCTTATTATTTCTTTATCATACAACTTTTTCTTATTCAATATCTATAATTTATAACTTTTAATTCATTTATTTCATTTTCACCATGTACCTTTTATATTTTGTATCTATTGTAGCCCTGATGAAGGCCTATAAAGTGGGTCGAAACGTCAGCGTAATGATTAAAATACTATTTTAAAAATTTAATATTTATTTGACCTCACTCCCCTGACCAACTCCTTCTCAAAAAACACCATAGATTATAAGTGTTTATTTTATTAAATTATAACTATCGAAAAGTGAGTGAGATGGAAACAGGAATTAATAAAGAAAGTGAGAGTATCTATCAACTAATAAATATGTTGATTCTTTCCGTGATTATATTAATTACATAAATATGCAAAGAGATTTATCTTAAATTTTACATTATTTGTCTTATGTATTGATTACCGAACAAGTGATAAAAAAGATTGGGAACCAATAATATCTGGAGTTAAAAATGAAAAAAATTTACTTTTAAATAAACTGCTAGATAAAATTATCCAGAGCGTTTGTGGCTTTTGTGCTCTCAATCAGAAACTGTAACTTGACATGTCTCTTAGGTTTCATTCTGGTTGTATATTAGGTAGCTTCCATGGCGGTGGTTAAGCAACTATTGGCATTCGTCATTGTGCTGGAACTTAACATTTTCTGTTTAAATAATTACGATTCCTCTTATTTTTCTTCTTTAATTATGTAATGAATATTTGTATAGAGAGTATGTAATCCTTTGTTAAAACTCATTTCCACACGACACGCTTGATTTTAAATTTATTTAAATATAAATTTAAAAATGTATCCTAAATTACTTGAAATTTTAAAGTTTTCAATTTATAAATTAAAACTCCAATAAAAACATGCTCATCAATCCAGCCTTTTTACTTAAACCTAAACTAAAAAATTATTAATAATATCAATATAAATTTACACTCAATAATAATCAAAAATATCTCTTCATGATTTAAAACATTATCTTCTATATATATAAAAATGAATGTATGTCTGTCCATCCGTCTGTTTGTCCTTAGTGCATTACTAAACCATTCAACCAATCGCCATGAAACTTTGGGAAGTTGTTCTGTACACCCCTGGGAAGGTTTCTGGCGTAGTAGTTCTGTCTTATGATAATTTTATGTATGTAAAAAAAATAAAAATGTAAATATTTTTCTGTTCAAAGCTCAAAAAAATGTGTCGCTATAAACTGTAGCTCCAAAACGGCTTTACCGATTTTAACGAAACTTAGCTAAAGTCTTCCCCTTGAAACCCTTTTAATTTATGTGTATAACATACTTTCCCGAAAACAAGCTGAAAAATGTTACGATGAATTCAATATTTTATTTGACGATCACTAAAAAAGTACACAATTTTTGACGGATAACACTCGCATTTATATGAAAGATTTCTGATTTACTGACAAAATAAAAAAAAATCATCGAAATCGGACGGTTCGTTGCAGAGTTATTGAGTTTTAAACATTTACTGCTTTCTCTTCAGAAAAGGCCATTTCCTTTTGCTTCCTCACTACCGAACGTCGGCAAGAATTTTTTTTTAATGATTAATTTTTATGTATAAAATTTTATAATTACTATAGTAATTGAAATTATCATTTGAAGAATTTATATGATTCTCCTTATGTAGGTCAATACTATTATACGTTTTTTAAATTTATTTTTATAAGTTCAACTCAGGCTGTTTCTGATGATTATGAATGACGGCGTATTCACTCAGATGATTATGAATGTTTAATTTGAATCATGAAAAAAAAAAATCATTAGAATTAGTTTAAATTGAAGCCATTTTACAGACAAATTTGTTTCCCAACTTTTTAAAAATTACAGATGTCCTTTGCTACTAATCTACTCATATGTGCTTTCTATTTTCTTTCTTTTTCATTTTGCCAGACTAAGCCACAGCAGCGCGTGGCCGGGAAAGCTAGTTATGCTTATAAGTTTTTGTATCATTCAAAAGGAATAAAATTTATTTTTTTTGATGCAGGTGAAAACCCGAACGAGGGGCGTATGAAGGGACAAATGGAAATGAACAAACAGCAGGCAAGTTACGCTTACCAGCAGCAGGCACAGACCAAACAACAACAGCTGCAGCAGTTCGGAGCGACGGGGGCGCCCGCCGACGCCTACGGGCAGCAGAGCTATTCAACCCAGGGGTATCCCCTCTACCAACAGCCCCCTCCGGCCTCCTTCCAGCAGCAGCAGGCGTCTGCGTACAACTCGTGGCTCATGCCGCAGCAATGAGGGAACGACTAGGTGTGTTTGAGGATGGTATATAAGTGAAAGTGAGCATCATGAGTTCACGTTGGTCTCTTTGTGGGACATCGGTCGACGGAAAAGTGTTTCGTATTAAAGCACAAGATGTACAATAAATTTCAGCTGCTTCATTTCGAGCAGGATGATGGCTTTCATTTCTAGAAGTATACTTTAGCAGTTTAGTGTAGATCATTGATGTTCTGTTTCATGATATTGGTGTAATATTACAAGACTTTTTACTGTATTTACTATTTATTATGAAAAACAAACAAAGAAATAATTGTGCTTCTGATCTTTAACATATGTTTTCCTATTGTCGGTTTATTAATAAAATTAAATCATTTCATACTTCACTGAACGCAAAGCGTTATATGCTTAAAGTAACTATATCAAGTATATAAAAAGGGTCTGGGCAAGTTCCTAAACTCAGCACTGATTCTCTCGATGATGGGTTCCAGAGGAAAATTAACACACTCCTAGAAGGTTAAAAAACAACTGAATAATAAAAAAAATATTTAAGGAATAACTGGCTACTAAATTGTTGAATTTGAAAACATGAAACAAAAATAGATTAAAAGTTTGCTGAGTATAAATATGTAAAGTGAATTGAGAAATAACAACGCAGGGGTTGCATTCAGCAGATCTATCAATCACAAATGCCGATTACTGTGTTCATTATTGAAAAATAAGGTCTATATTCACAACTAGTTAAGTTCCATCAAAAATGTACTTGATAACTTCTTGCAATAAACCGACGACTCTATGATTAAAGAAGACTGGTAAAGCGAATTTTGGTTACGGTTCCTTATTGATCACTCTAGATGAAGCGGAGTGCTTGGACTGAAGATGGTTTTGTGACATCATTTGACGATTGCCCCTCCCCATTGTTACATTTACCGACATTTAGTGGGTGATTTTTGTATTTACAGGTCCATTTTCAAAACTATTCCACACTTCAAACACCAAAATTTCAGATATAAAGTTATCTATATATAAATTTTAATTTTGGTCTATTTGTTGATAAACACATATTTTATAATATTTACACCCTTAAAATATTTCAAAGTACAGGTTATTTATGATAACTCTTTAGTGATTATAAATATTGCCTCTAGAATAACAATAAAATTTAATAATTATTTCTCAAAAAATTACAGTGAAAAATTTAAATGTATTATAAATTCACTAAAAATGTTAATTTTCTTTTTATTAAGTTTATATTTAAAACGTAGTTTATAGTTACCAAATAAACTAATCTTTAAATTATTTGTTTAAATATATTTGTATAGTCGTTTTTTTTATAAATTTTAAGCGACTAAAAATATTCTGTATTATTGCGGCACTGCCTATTTTCAACCCTGATGGTTGGTTGAAGTGATCGGATTTTGCCACGGATTGATTGAGTTGAGAACTGTAGGATTCTAGTATCTATCACTCCAAAAAATCATTAAATTTCACCCACGGTTTTTATTCATTCCATTTGTTGTGGAGTGATAGTCAGTTGTCGCCTCGTCCACAACTTCCCCTTCGGCATGAAATTTTTCTTAAATAACTGCTGGATTAATGTATTAGTTTTACTTTATATAGTGATTCATTATATTAAAACATTTAGTATGACATACATGTATTGTTGAACAAAAGAAAAATACAGAAACGTTACTATAATCTCGAACCAGTCTTCTTTAATGTAGCAGATTATAAATATTTAACATTCTCTGTAGAAGCACTATTTGTTTTTTAAATAAACAATGTTACCTTTTTATTCCTTTTTTTTTATTTATCATTTCTCCCTCCCCTTTTCTATTAAAAATAATACTTTCTACGCTAGTTACTGTTTTTCTGAAATATCAAATTCAAATATTGCAAGTTAATTCTGTGATTCGACTCGTTATTATAAATATTTTTTATTTAATATTTTTAAATTGTAAACGAAGGTACTTTTAAAATTGAAGTAATGAAATTCATCCAATATCAGTGAAACTTATCGTCTGTTTTAAATCTAAGTAGATTTTGGTCATTATTTGATTCTTAGCTTATTCAATTCGTAATTAATAGATTCTCAGTTGCTCATATTTCTTAAATGTTCCTTTCTTCTATTTATTAAGATAGCAGTAGTCATTTATGATTAGTATTATTTTTGCTTAAAATGAATTGTAATTAAGTTTACTTTGTCTTTATATTTGTATATATTAAGTTCAACTTTCTATATTAAAATATATATTGTTCATTAAACTGATGATGTACCTAAAATATTATACTTATTTATTTCAACCTATCAAAAACTTGTAATTTTTATTCCTTCAAATGATTTATTTTTTATCTTAACATTAATTTACAGCAATGTCCATTTATTTTATTTACCTGTAGTTCCATCATACAGTAGGTTAAGGAAGTATGAATTTATCACAATATTAATATAAACTTTTCTGAATGGTTTTAGTAAGATTTTTACTAGGAAAAAAAAAAATGTTAATATAAGATTATTGAATCTAACTGTTTTCCTATAAATTAGTAATAGATCTCTCAGTTCTTAATGCCCAAGCTCTGGGTCTTTATAGGTTGATTTTAAAAAAAATTTCCAACAAAAAAAGTTCATTTGATACATGGTCCAATTCTAACTACACCATCGTAAAGTAAAAATTTTCGGTACTACTTCATTAGCAGGGCAGGTCAAAACCTCACTTCTTATCCATGTTATCTAACCTCATGTCACATAACCTCCCTCTTCTTATCCCACCAAACTTTTCAGTTATTCACATATTAAATTCTTTATTTTTTGCCCGTTTGTGTTTATTTTTCATTTTGTTTTTAGTTTATTTTTGTCAAATTATGAATCCTGTTACATTCTAGGATTTACCTTCTTCAAAAGAAAAGGCTATTGAATATTTCCAAAACGTTGGGATACTTGCAGACGTGAAATTGTGTGAACGAGGTCATCCAATGAAGTTAACCAGGAATGGAGATGCTGTCGTAGCACTTGTGACATAAAACTTTCAATAAGGAAAGGAACATAGTTGGAGGGCTCCAGGATTTCGTTTTTAACGGCTTTAAAATTGATTTATGGGTAGTCCCATAACTTGATAAAACGATGAAATGAGGCAAAGAGCTGCACAGGTCAACAAAAAAAAATTGGAGGGCCTGGCAAAGTGGTTGAAGTAGATGAGAGTCTTTTTTTCTAAACAAATGTATATATCTTCTCTAAGTGTTTTTTTATTATTTCATTAATATATGTGTCGTAAAATAAAAGTTTCTTTTGTTATTACATTTGTTTTTGTATCTGTTTACACTGTCAATAATACAAATATAATACAATAATACGAAGTTAGGAATTAGGAGAAGGCTTAACAGTGCCTTATCAGAATTATCAGTGTTGAGGTTATAAACATTGGCAGATAGCAGTCAGTCCCGACCTCCTAGTGAAGAAGTACCAAATTTTCTTTGAGAAAACATTGATTAAATTTACTGAGATCAATGATATAAGGGACTTTTGGGAGGTCCAATAACGCAAAGTCTACAATTATACCGAATTATTTCACGAATTGGGATTACAGAGATATGCTGCTCGGATATGGGTACTGTAACTGCAGCAGAGTATTATTAGTATTAGACCTCCTGAAAGTTCCTTTTATCATTGACCTTAGTAAATTTAATCAATGTTTCCTCAAAGAAAATTTTGTGTACTTTATAATGGTGTACTAACAATTTAATCATCTTGAACGGTTTTTTATCAATTCATTCTTGTTCAATAAAACCACCTTACAAAAATACACACAAAATTAGTCTTAACTCCTTTATCAGTCGAAATCGGCCACTGCACCAAATGAACATTTTTGTTGATAATTTTATCTAGAATCGCTCTACAGAGTTTTGACATTAAGAACTGAGACTCTCAGTTTCAAAAATATTCTCAGGAAAAGTACTGCAATTGTAAACAATTTAAAATCCATGTTTTCAACAAAAATACAGGTTTAAAATTTCACTGAAAAATAAAAGTTGAACCAAAGTGAAATTATGTGTTTAAGGCATGTATTTCCTCCTGCGAAGCTTTACCATCTTCAAAGCTACACTAAGGACTGATAATTTTCTATTCAATGGAAGTACCCTACTGTATAGGGTTGCTTTTTACACAGCATACTCATCAATCCATATGGACATAGCTCTTACATCATATTATTCTACTATTATATAAACATATCATTTATTTTTTTATCCCTTCTCATAACACTAGACTACATCACACATCATTAATAATGCCACATTAAACAATTACCATTACACATAAATAAAATTATCCTATTTTCATTAAATTTCTTTCTTTCACCAAGTTTATTTGAGTTAAATGTGTACATAAAAGTATTCTGTGAATAACCATCTTTTGAGGCCCTTTAGAAAAATGACAGAAAAACACGTTCATAGAAAGTCAATTTATTTTCACAGTTAATGAAGCCAATAAAAGCTAAAATAAAATCTACAATTCATCAGTCATACTAATGAATAAATTATTAATAATATGCAAAAATCTGTATGTTAGGAAATTTTTAAAGTAAACAAATGTATTTAAAATAAATCAAGAATTTTTAAATAGTAGTTAAACTAAAAGGCTTAAGATAGCAGCACAAATCAAGAAAGCTAAAAAAATTGAATTAATAGTTCTAATTAGAGTCGCGAAATAACAGCACTATCCAAGCGATAGTTACTAGTCGATTTTTTTTTTATTTACAATTACTTTATTAAGAAATTGTTTTTATACATTTATTTCTTCATATATAACTAGTTTTCATAGAGTAAATATCCCTTTAAAAAAATCTAAAATCCTACCTTTCTTAATCTACTTAAATAGCTTCCTTTTTTATTTATTTTTATAATAAATTAATTTACAAGATAATCAGCTAAATCAGGATTAAATTCGTTATTATTATTTAATTTTCATAAAGAAAATGTACTAATAGAATCAATAAATTCAAATTATTGAAATAATGATGTATTTTATATGACAATATTTTATTATTTTACATTTTATCTCCTTTTTTTAAAGTACTTAGAATACATAAAACTTTAACAGTACTAATTAATAAATAATTACATATTTAAATTAATCCGATTGAAAAATGATTCATTGCGTTAACTCCGATTAATAAAACAAAAAAGAATGACAATAAACTAAAAATCCAGAAATTTAAAAAATAATAGTTCAATTCAATGTCTAAAGATGGCAGCACCTCTCGAGAAAGCTATACAGAGAGAGAAGGAAGAGTGAGTGAGTGAGAGAGGGATACCGAAGAGAAATCCAGCTCGAAAAATTTTATTTTGTAATAGGATAGTGGGAGCTCACAGGAGCTTAACCGCCGGAGCAGGTGGTCCCGATAGTGCTGCTGTCTGGCGGCAGTCTCTAGAACTACAAGTGCACGTGCACTTAACCCTACCTACTAGTTGAGCTCCTGTGAGCTCCCACTATCCTATTACAAAATAAAATTTTTCGAGCTGGATTTCTCTTTGGTATCCCTCTCTCACTCACTCACTCTTCTTTCTCTCTCTGTATAGCTTTCTCGAGAGGTGCTGCCATCTTTAGACATTGAATTGAACTATTATTTTTTAAATTACAGGATTTTTAGTTTATTGTCATTCTTTTTTGTTTTATTGATCGGAGTTAACGCAATGGATCATTTTTCAATCGCATTAATTTAGATATATTCTAAATTATTTATTAATTAGTATTGTTAACGTTTTATATACTATAAGTACTTTAAAAAATTGCAGATAAAATGTAAAATAATAAAATATTGTCATATAGAATACAATATTATTTTATTTCAATAATTTGAATTTAATAATTCTATTAATACATTTTCTTTATGAAAATTAAATAATAATAATGAATTTAATCCTGATTTAGCTGAGTATCTTGTAAATTAGTTTATTATAAAAAAAAATAAAAAAAGGAAGCTATTTAAGTAGATTAAGAAAGTTAGGCTTTTAGATTTTTTTAAAGGATATTTTACTCTATAAAATCTAGTTATATATGAAGAAATAAATAAATAAAAACAATTTCTTAATAAATTAATTGTAAATTTAAAAAAAATTCGACTTTGGTAACTACCGCTTGGATAGTGCTGTTATCTCGCGGCCCTAATTAGAAGTATTAATTCAAATTTTTTAGCTTTCTTGATTAGTGCTGCTATCTTTGGGCTTTTAGTTTAACTACTGCTTAACAATTCTTGATTTATTTTATATACATTTGTTTACTTATTAATTTCCTATCATACAGATTTTTGCATATTATTCATTAGTATGACTGATGAATTGTAGATTTTATTTAATCTTTTATCGGCTTCATTAACTGTGAAAATAAATTGACTTTCTATGAACGTGTTTTTTTCTGTCATTTTTCTGAAGGACCTATTAAAAAATTTCAATTTTTAACTCTTAAGGTGGTTATTCACAGAATACTTTTATGTAAACATTGAAAGAAAAATAAATTCCAATAGCTTTTAGAAAGAAAGAAATTTAGTGAAAATATATTTTATTCTTATTTATTCATGATATTTACCAATGTATTAAAGAAATACATCTTGTGTGTTCTTAGAAATGGACATGATGACGTGAAAAACGTTGAGAAACTATCTACTGGTAGCTCTCTAATAATATTTCTACATTAGGAGATGAAAGGGCCTTTTTAGACGCTATTAAACAAGAAAAAAAATCAGTGTTATTATGAAAAGTAAAAGGATAATACAACATATACACAAAATTTGGAGAAATTTATTGGAATCAAAAAAATACTTTTTTTAAAAAAAAGTTTCGGCGTCGCTCTGTATCTTTTATTCTCGATAGTTTTGCAGTTCTTTTGTAAATAGAATTTTTTTCCTGAAAACTTTTCCAGAACTTTTATTTTTAAAAAACTTATTTAAAAGTTCTTCAGATTTCGCTAAAAAGTCGATCTAAAATATAACTTTTATTCATAGCTACTCAAACAAACTATATATTTGAATCATGTGTGATCACAGGCAGATCTATATGGAGAGAGGGCTTTCGGGCTGAAACCTCCCCTCCTCCCCAAAAAATAGTAAAATACATCCATGTTTAATGAAAAAAATTATCTCTAAAAGTATTATTGTTCGTCTAATTAAACTTAATTGGACTTAAATAATCACTCAAACACCATTTCATACAGTTACTTAATTTTTTTCTTTCTCCCGAAGTAATTATCGTAATATATACATAAAAAAAAATATTTCGGGCTGAAGTCCATTCCTCCCCAAAAATTAAATCCTGGATCCGTTAGTGTGTATAATCCATTTAAGACGAATTAAAACTCTAGTCTAAGCTCAATTACTGTTTATGTTTCATATAATGGAACTTTTTTTAAGAACTTGAATAAATGAAAGTTAAACTTTTACCATAAACCTGAAACTTTATTTCAAAAAAGCTCCTTATACCTTTTATTTTAAGAACTTTTTTCCTAAAAATCTAATATCTATTATTTCTCTATATAAAATGGTGCTAGAAGACCTAGTAATTAGAAGTTCAATTTTGTTTCACATTAAATTATGGACGGCTTACTTCTATTTAATATCCATTTGGCGCATTTATTTAAAAAATGACCTATATACGTATTTTGAATGATAGGCAATATCTTAAATAGAAGAGAAATCGATTGGATGCTACCATGGATACTGAAAACAAACATTATGTTCAGTCATGGACGAAGAGGGAGCCGAACGACAGCTTAAAGTCGTCTTATTGGGTGAACCCTCTTCTGGAAAAGTAAGCACTGTTCGTATTAGAGTCAAGTATATTTTTTGATATTGCAGTTTTAAATCTCATATATCTAGAGTTTAATTATCATAATGAATTAAATATTATATGAAACCAAACCTTACAAAAAATTGAAATAATTAGCTTATGCTCGCTTAATCTCCACTGGCTTTAACACCAATGACGCGGCTGAGAGAGTAGCGCAGGGATCTCTTGGAGTTCTGCTTTTTCCTCTGTAGTTGGAGGGACAGGGGGGTCCCTTCTTGATTGTATATAAGTATGACTGTTTTTTTTAAATGTTTTTAATTTACTTATCTTTAGGTTATTTTTTTTTTTATTGTAAATACTTTTTGATTATTATTTAGTTATTATTTTACTTTAGTTAATTTTATGTTTTGTGTATATATGGTGTGAATGTGTTCATATCACATTATAATTATTGTCCGTTTATTTTTGAACAAATAAAAAAAATATATAAAAAAATAGCTTATGAAGAAGCGCTTTCACTTCAAAATGGACAATTACAATAAAATTTACAGGAATATGATTTAATAGTACATTTAAAATACTTTGATTATTGATTACGTTAATAAAAACTGATGAATTTCAATAGTCCATCATCATTTATACTAATATTTGAGAACTCTTGACAACAGATATTCCAAAAAATTCAATAGTAACCATCCAGCAAATTGAAAGAGTATATTTTAGGTATAGTTCAGAAATACTGGACCTGTTATTTGGTAATAAGTATGTATTAACTGAACTTTGGACTGATTACAGATTTACAAAAATAACAGTTAAGGCATAAACCATTATTTACACTAGTGCTTCGATACCATACCTCCATCCTCTCCCCAAAATAAAATGGAAAAACAATTTTTATTATTTTCATTAAAAATAATTTATCATTTAGTTTTTAATTTTAACCATTTATTCATTCATTTAACTTTTAAACATAATATTAGTTTCTGTGAGTGATAAATTATATATGATTAATTATTGTGTGTTGATGATTGACTGTAGTGAATAATTGAAGGTTGGTTGGAGTGATCAGTCAAATAAAAAATGACAAAAGTAAATAATAATATTTATTTTTACATTTGCCGACGTTTCGGCCCAAAGTTTAGGCCTTCATCAGGGCTGAGAAAAGAACCAGATAACAACAGGTTTTTTTATATTAACAATATTTTTTTATGTTGTTATCTGGTTCTTTTCTAAGCCCTGATGAAGACCTGAACTTTGGGACGAAACGTCGGCCAATGTAAAAATAAATATTATTATTTATTTTTGCCATTTTTTATTTGAATGATCATCCCAATCATCCTTTTCTTCAATATACATTAATTGTATAGATTATTATACAATCGAATATCATGGCTGCCTTGTATACGGTGGAGTACCAGTTGGACTCGTAATCAGATTGAAGAGACCAATGAACTGTTTCATTAGATTTATACTTGTGTCCCCATGCGCTTCCACATCTCCAGTTGGTACGCCGAGCTGAAGTGGCTCTATCCACAGCTTCCCGAAGGCAATATTTCCTAGATTTTCTCCTTTTCCAAACCTTTGCAACAAAAAAACCTTCTTACCTTCTCAATTTGTTTACTCCTTGCTCCTCTGTTCATTCGTTAAATACGAAATCACAACCCACAAACCTGTTTATTCTTTCTCATAGAAATGTTTACTTTAAAAAATCTTTTCTCATACGTGCTACCTTGCTTTGGAATTACCTACCTACGCAAATTCTCATCCTTAACCACATTTAAACACCATTTATTTATCCATCTCCTCAGCAATCAATCTTCCAAATATATGTAAGAGTAATATTTTTATGTTTTTTTTATAACTGTCACCTCATTCAGCCTTCTTGCAGATACCTATATATACCCATTGTCTATGTGTAAAAATACCCTCATACAGCTACCTATAATTCAAATGTTAACCTATGCCTTTCTTTAATATAAAGGCTCAATAGCAATGTAATTTAATTAACAACAAGAAGATGATTAATATATAAGTCACTGAATTTTTCATTATAATTATACTCAGGGGCAGGAGTGTCCATCCCCCCCAAAAGCCGATGGCGCATAAGCCTTCCCCCACCCCTCCTAAGATACTTTATTACTCTTCTTCTTAAAAATAGTGCAAACGAAAGTAGAATTTAAATATTCGTTTCCGACTGCTCCAACACTTACTAGACAAACGCTCCAAACTTTCTATTAATTACAAAAGACTTATCTACATAACTATAATAAGACCTATATGGACATACGGAGTTGAGCTTTGGGGCTCCACCAAACCATCGAATTCCTATCGTATCCAATCCTTACAATCCAAAATCCTCCGTAAAATCCTTAATGCTCCATACTTTGTCACAAATAAAATCATTCATAAAGACCTTAATGTACCATATGTCGCTGATTTAGCTCGAGCCAGATATCTATCCTTTCATGATAAACTTCAGTCCCATCCAAATCCGCTTGTTTCCACTCTTGCTTCTTTCTCGAGTCCTGATAATCCTCCTAGGCGTCTGAAAAGGAGATGGCCTCGTGATCTTCTTACTTAAAATTATTTAGAGAGTGCTACCACTGGGTAGTAACTCTTCAAGCCTGTACATGCCATTATTTATATTTGCGCATATTTACTTGTTGTATTTGTATACAGTTGTAAATTCCATTAAATAAACAAAAAAAAAAAAATATTCGTAATTATTTACAATTACACATTCTGCGGTCTGTTCCATGCTCCCACTTGTCTTTAAATTTGAAACTTTTCATTTTGAAAATTCGTTACCCCGTTGAAATAAAATTGAAAAAGTGCCCCCCCTCTTAAATTTTGATGGAGCAACTTGCGCTATGAAATCACCTTCTGAGCACTCCTGCTCAGGAGGCTGAATGCCCAGAATAAAATTTACTTTTCTTTCTTTCTTTCAAATATAATGTTTTAAGCGTTTTCCCAAGTGATTGGTCGCAGTCTTCGATAGTTTCCAGATTCGCCCACAACGAGTACAGCCGCCAATATTACCCCACCTTCGGGACGGATTTCCTCCTCCATCGGCACCAGCTGAGGGCTGGCAAGGAGGTGACTCTCGTCATCTGGGACCTGAGCGGACAAGTCCTCACCAGCCCGATGCTGTCCAACTGCCTTTACGGAGCCAACGTAAGTTCAAATTTATTAATTGAAAAGTAATTAATGTAAGAAGCCATGATGGGCGGTTTGAAATTCATTTCCTGGCAGATCCACGGAATGAATTTCGACCTTCCCGCTCCTCTTAGAATAGAATTGATTTCCTGTCTGGTGCTGCAGATAATCCTGGCCGTTTACGACATCACCAACGCGGCCAGTTTCAGCAAGCTCCAGGAGTGGATTGCTGCCGTCAGGGAAACGCAAACGGATTCCCAACCGAACCTGGCTATAATTGCCAACAAATGTGGGTATATTTAATTAATCGATCCTATAAATTTATGACATGGAACCACTAATATCTCTTCACCTTTATCCAAATCAATCTTTCATTTCTTTAAAGTACTACTTGTTATTACTTCCGTAGGTGACATGGAACACCAGAGAGCAATCTCAGTAGAAAAGCAAGTAAAATTTGCAAACGACCATGGCTTACCGACGCACACTGTATCAGCGAGGACCGGCGAAAATGTATGTTTTTATTATCTTAACCCATAAAGAAACAAGTAATAAAAAAGCATCTTATTTAGTTTTGTATATACCTTTCCAATCAATACTTAATTCAATTAAAACAGTAGTTATCATTGCTGATTAAACAAACAAAAAATGAAACATTGTAGGGCGAACGCACCAGTTATGGATAAACAGGAGGCCCGGTGATAGACAGTTTGGACTTTAAATATAAATAATAAGCTTTTTTGTTGATTTAAAGGTTACAGTTTTTCTATATTGAAGAACAATGCCCTCTATTAACAACTGTTTGAATAAAGTTCCCAAAAGAAAATTTTAAAATGCCTATCATTGTTGTTTCTATAGTGTTCTTGAGATCAGTGTGTTTCATACCTTCATACTAACAGTTTTGCTATGAGTAAGTTGAACGTTTATGTTATCTTATCTTTTTTCTGAGATAAGTCCATTACTAGTACCGACCCTCTGTCCATTAGTTGAACAATTGAATTTCGGGGTGCCCATCGCTAGTGCAAAAAGGTGTTTTTCATTTTTAATGGAGATTATAACTGCATATTTTTTCAATTTTAAAGTGTTAAATAGAAAATGTCCAACGGAGAAGTTTATAATTACGGCGGCACAAGCCAAAAAAAAAAAAAAAATTCCTTAGCTATGTTCATCACCGGTGCGCTTACCCTAATTATCATTTTTCATCTTTAAATATTTAGAAGTGAAGTAACATACATAAAAATTGGTTAATAACACGTAGATTTTAAGTATGAAATATATAGGAAGTTATAAAGAAATCCGTTCCAACATGTTCATTAATTTGGATGCTTCACTCCTCGCCATAAAGCTGTATCCTTTTCATCCTCCATGAAGATTTTTTTTTCTGGTTGAAAAACTTTTAGAAGCTGTTTTCCAAAATACTAACATTTACATTTATCTTGAATAGCGTATTTAGGATTTGATGTTGGGCGAAATGAGACTTGTTAAAATTAAATGATTTACCCATGTTTTCTATCAGATTTTCACATCTCCTTTGAATTGTTAACTAATTGATTTAAAAATGTATTTCAGGTAACTATGGCACTTCAGAAGGTATGCGCAGAGGTACTAGGTTTAAAACTGACGAGGTTGGAGCAAGAAGCCAGTCAGGTTGTGGTCAAAGCTGAAATTTTGGCACCTACGCAAGGACAAACTCCATCTTATCAGAGTACATCATCGAGTTCAGTTTGTAGTATACAATGATTTAGAAGGCGGGGTGTTCAAAAGTTCACAATGTGGTGTATACGTTCCTCGTATTTCTTTCATTGCCCTAAATTTTTTATAAAAGATATTCAATTTTTAACTATATAAATATTTATTTTCTATTTATAAATAATATTATTTATTTTTTAATTTCTCCTTAAAATCCTTTCTCAGTAGCTATTTTCTGTTCAAATCCCAACATTATAGATCAGTCTCCTTTGTTACTTAATTTTTGTATATAATTATCTGTTTTTATTATGTTATTCAATAAAGTTGTTCTATTTTCATGATATTTATTCTATGTATTTATGTGAACCAAAAAAATGCAGATATTTTAGCTTAAGATACTTTAACCGAATAACGCACCTAGATCAAAACTGTATCAACTTAAAACAGTATTTGAGTTTTTTGAGAAGTATCATCCGTAAACAAAATAAATCAATATTATCCACTGTTAACTTTGGCACAATCAATGAAAAATGATTATATGTTATGTTAATAAATAAAAAGAGTGATTGTCATTAATTAATAGACAAATAAGTAGTAATCACTTGTCTTGCTCTAGATGTATCAAATTTAGTTTTTGGTTTGACCAAGTTAGTTTAGTTGACGGTAGCTATGGTTTAGATAAATTTTTTTCTGAGACAACATAATTTATAAGTTTCGAATAAACTACTAATAAATCTTAATTTTTTAGTTGATACTTATACGATGTAGGTGTGCGTTAGATACCTCAATGGTGGTGATTTTCAAGAGTGTTAAGCTTTACCTTATTAACTCAGCAGTCTCCAGTATGGTGGTGCCAGTTATAGCTGGATAGATTGGAATTATTTTGTGGGGGGGACCCAAATAATAAAATTTGACTCAACTCTAGTTATAATTGGTTGGTTATACCCTCCATCTCCATTTGCCAGAAATGGCCATTTTGGCAGTAAAACAAAAAAAAGGTAGGTACCTCAACAAGTTTGTATGTTCTTATTGGTAGGAAGACAGAAAGTATCAAACGATTTGGTGATAGTTTTCTCATAGTAAAAAAATTACAATTATCGAAAATATGATTATATATACATATTACCTCTGCCTAAAATTCTTGTTCTATTATTTATATTTAAACTAAACAATAATAATAAAAAAAAAAAGTTTTTCAAAAGATCTGATTTAAAACGATGTCTCAGCAAAATATGAATGAATTTGGATGTGAAGAATTTCCATATCAAAGAAAGAACGTTCGAGATCTACTCTAGAATTTTATAATTCCGTGGAGCTTATTCCATCCATAGTAAAACCAGTTCTGTTAATTGTTTTGAGTCAGAATATTAATGAAATTTTTCTTAATTAAGACAATTCAGAAAACTGAAAGTCTTCTATGTAAGTTTGAACAGAGGGGTCTGTACATGATCCAATTATTCGACTATCGGGAGCTCGTGGGAGTTTTATGTGCGCCAATGTCGTGTTTACAATGGTATTCATTAATTGTATAATGGATACAACTTGATATTATTTTTGATTATCATAATTATTTTTTATTAACACTCGTTCCAATTACAGTTCTGTTGTATTTGCAATGTGCTGTTTATGTCCGAGACATGGAATAAGCAACAAAAAAGTAGTTTAATATACTTACAAAGACACCTGAGGTATCATAATTTGAATGAAAACACTATTTGATAGTTTTGTCTATGGCTTGAAACAATATTAAACTTACTGAGAAGTTGCTACTGGATAAGTATTTTTTCGAATAGAAAATAAATAAAATAATTGATGGCTAAAAAACTATCGCTGTGTAATTCGTCTTTAAACAGAACTCTTCCAAAAAATTAACTTTGTATTACTCAAAATGCAATGATAAAGAGCTTCATAATTATGCATTACTTCGCTCGACACTGAATAGTACAAGAGCAAGTGAAATTAGAAGCTTTTGATAAGTTTATCTTTTTTTCTTCCTCGTTGGAATCCGTGTGGATGTTATCAACAAATTGTCGTTCATTCACTATCACCGGTTACTTAGATAACGGAATAGGACCTTTTTAAAAGACAATAATTTCAATTATTTTTTTACTTTAATCTTAAAATGGCAGGGTGTGAAGTTGTTAAAGCAGCTGGTTTCGTTATATTTAGAAGACAACCTGCCTTAGAGTATTTACTGATGCAAGCATCTTATGGAATACATCACTGGACTCCTCCTAAAGGTAAGTAAATAATTTAATTAATGTATTAACAATTATTTTACTTTGGTTATTGCCCATTATAAGATTTACGCTTTCATATTTAACATAAGTTAATGCAGAAAGGTTATATTTACATCACATAGAAAAAGGGTATTTAATGGTAGTTCTAAAGTATCAGTCTGGTTGTCAATGGGTCAGAATAACATCGATCATAGAGTTGATGGGATTCCGAATGTTTACTATTATATTCATTAAGCTCCCTTAAAAAATATTTTCAGTGATTCTGTTACTGTGTATGTTATTTTTCTTGGTGAGTAGTTCCGAAGAAAATTTCTTGGGGATCAGGAGACATCACAGGCATTTCTCTAGTGCCACTATTTAAATATTAATTGAAAATTACTAACATTAAAATAAAACTTTATTTGTTGACAATTCAAAAATAATTTTTTCTGCATTGTAGTTACTTAGTGTCAATTTCATTCTACAAAACATAAAAATGCTACTGCAATGAAAAATAACAAATTAATTGTAACATATCATGTCAAAATTTCAATGCTATGACAAATACATGATAATCCAATGCTAATCATAATTGTTATAAAGTTAGGAAATGTGTTAAAAAAATAAAAACTTTTTTAGTAAGTTCCTGTAATCACCAAATAAGAGATCTACTAAAAAAAAAGAAATCTGTATCACTACAACTCATGAAGGGTCTTAGGTTCAGTACTATTTAGAGAAAGCACTGTTTCTAGGTCAACGGCTGTGCAAGGAGGTGATTTGACCGAGATCACGCTCAACCGCCAGGGTTTTCCCCCTTAACCAATTATTTAATTAAGGGTACCCACTTAACAGAGGCTGGGTGTGCCCCAAGGAGAGTTTCCTGACCCAGGGTCACCCCACAGCCAATGAAACAGATAAATAAATTTTCTGCCACGAGCCGGAGTTCGAACCTGAGAACTTTAGCATTGGAAGCTCAGTACCCTACCACTGAGCTACCCCACTCCTCAAGAAATCTACTATTAGTTGTTTATCCTGAAGTTAAATTTGATTACAAAATTATTTGTTTATATAGTTCTTTTTTACGTTTCAGGTCATGTTGAACAGGGTGAAGATCTGTTGCAAACAGCATATCGTGAAACCGAAGAGGAAGCTGGACTTTCTAAAAATGATCTCTTGCTGACAAATTACTCAGAAACTATAAACGTATGCATAAACTTAGAGATATGGTATTATTCTGTATTTATTTGGTTTATACAAGGTCTACAAATTATGAAAATTTGTTTGCTTCTATTTGAACTAGGATAAAATTTATAAAGGAAAAGAGCAAATAATTGCACATATATAGAATTGCTACTTGTGCAATGAAATTTATGATGAGAAATCTGATTGTGGGTCAGAGAAAATAGATATAATCAACAAAATTTTTTATAATTTTCACAAATATATTACTAAACAATTACTCTATATTAAAAACAGATAACACTGCCACATCATCGCAAAATATTTATTATAAAATTTGGAAGTTTTTATAGATTTTGAATTTTAATAATTATTTATTAACTATATTTTCTCTCAGTAGAATATAAAAAGTTATTTTGGTACAAAGTCTTCTAAAATAAGAAAGGTGAACAAGAAAATAAAGATTATTTCTGACCTATAGATATATTGCAGTAAATAAATTAAAAAATAAAACCAACTTTAGGTTTGAATGTAGTTTATATTATATTAAAACAAATAAAAAATGGTGATACAATGTATTCGCTACTGAAACTTTTAATAAAAGTGCTTATTAATGCTGACATTTTTATGAAAATATCCTTAAGATACTTAACTTAATATCCTTAAGTTACTTTTTAAAAGATAATTGCTAAGTAGCAATTATTGACAATTCTATTTACATAACTAACATGCAAGAATTATTAGATTCTTTTTTTTTTTTTACTTGATTTTATAAAAAAGGATTTATTGCAATGAATTTTTCATTAAATTCAACTAGTTCTGTTAATGAATAATTCTGTTCCACAGAGGTAAAGAATACCTTGTCCATTTTATTATTAAATAATTTAGTAACTAAGAAATATATTTTAATAGTTCAAAGTTATGGAACGTTGGCTCTGCGAAAAAATATAAAAATGTGACATGGTGTTTTCTATCTCCGGGGTACAGATTTAGTAACTATGAAACAAATTTTAATAGCTCAAAATAATGGAAAATGAGATATGTAGAAATATGAAATGAAAAAAAAAATCTAGGTAGGGCAAGCCTCTTTCTTTGGCTCACAGTTGGGATGGTCAGAACTTTAGGTATAATTTCACTGGTACTGCCCGTAGCAGCGACCACTATTTCATGCTGCCAACTGCTATTGCGTAGCTATTTCGCTGAAACTGCTCACTGGAGTTGTTATAACCTTCGAATAACGTTCGAACATTTCGTTATAACTTCAAAGATAAAAAAAATGGATTTAATATCTCTTACTACCACTTTTTTATTAGAAGAGGAAATGTTGTTGACAAGAAGGCGGGATATCAGCCATATATTCCCAACAAGAAAGTGGGAAGAGTTTTATACGAAATTGATAACTACCCATTTGATGGCTGACGAAGAGAAATTTAGAAATTTATTTAGACTGAATAAATGTCAATTCAATTTTTTTTTTAGTATGATAGAAAATGATATAGTAATTATTACATAATTGATTAATAATAAATATCATGTATTTGTAATAAAATCCCAGCAGGCGATGTTTTATCATATTATCAAAGTAATCAGTAAATCAACACTTTAATAAAAAAAATACAAATAGATTTTTTCAATGTCTGGATTTTAGTATTTACCCGACTTTAATTTTTTTTGGATTATTTAATATATATCGTTTGGATTTAGGTATATATGAATTTAGCTGAGAAGTGGAATAAATAATCTTGTTACTTCAACCTTTAAAAAATAATTTATTATAACGCTATTTATGTTATAAACAATATTTCTTATAATTTTGCCATACTTGAAAGAAACATAGAAAATAAAACGTATCAAGGTGACTGTTATCATCAAAACAATGCTCCAATATGATAACATTACCTATAATTGCCAATAGCTCCACTGCTTCAGGAGTCAGGAGGAATGATGTCATTCCTTGACTGCTGAGCAGCGCCAACGAAATATGTTCCTTTCTATTCCACTAAAGCGGTTGCTGCTGCGGGCAGTACCAGCGAAATAGTACCTTTTCCTGACCATGCTTCCGCACATTTAGTGTAGCCTTCTTAGTCCAAAAGGTCATTCTTTATGTAGTTTACCTGAACAGCCGGAGGAAGGGGAGGGGCTTTCGGGCTGAAGCCCTTCCCAAAATGGTAAAATATAACCATTTTTTATCGAAAAAAAATATTAAAAAATTATCTCTTAAAGTATTATTATTCGTGTAATTGTATTTAACAGGGCTTTAGGAATTACTTAAACACCATTTCATATAGGTAGTTAGTTTGTTTCTTTTTTTCCAAAGTAATTATCGTCATTTTTATGAAAAAAAAAAAAGCTTTCAAACTGAAGCCCCCCAAAAATCAAATCCTGGATCCGCTAGTGCCTGAACATAGTATTTATATCAAACATATTAATATTATATTACTATGATATGAAAATAAATCAGTTCTGTGTGATTATTTTACAGTATGAGGTAAACAGTAAACCGAAGGCAGTGACATACTATCTCGCTGAACTATCTGATGGCGCGTCGATTAAACTGTCTAATGAACACCAAGACTACAAATGGGCCAACTTGGAAGATGCGTGTAAGCTTGTCAACTTCCCCGAAATGCAAAAAGTCTTACGGAACTGTGACACCTTTCTGCTGTCGAAGAAATGATGGGGGTGAACCCTTACAATTCTGTTGGAATCCACACCATGATTCTGATCCTGAGTGTTGTTACTTGATGATATGAAACATGACAAATGTTTTTTCTAATTTTATTATAGACTATTTATGATATAATCTATTAGATATGATTTATGTAAATATAAAAAAGACATATTTATCTATAAGTGTCATTCTCATAGCCATTGGCTTAAATGGTCAAAACTATTTTTTAATTAAAATATTAAAAAAAGTGACTAATTAATGTCAACCTATTGTAACTTAGTAAATCTATTAAAAATAATTACAAAATCATAAACCTGCAATTTCTTCACAAAACCCTTTTAACTGTGAGAAAGCCAAAACTGGCAAAATTATGTTCTATGATTTTGTAATTAAAACTATTTTTCGCATTCACATGTGTAGAAGAGTTTTACTCTTCTAAGACACAAAGTATTTGAAATGACATTAAATGAAAACAAATTTATTATCCTAGGACTGTTATACCTTTGGATACAGAATAAATAAGACATATTAGTGTGGAAATAAATTAAACACTTACATAATAATAGGCAGAATTATGCTCCTTTCTATACCACTAAAGCAGTGCTCATCTGCTGAATCGCTATGGTGGGTAGTACCAGCAGAATAGTACCTTTGGTGTGACCAATTGTCGATAGGGCATCACAGTTGGTTGTATCGACTTTTACATTAATTGATTCAGATTTGAAAAATAAGATATCAACGACATAGCTCATAATGGATTGGGTTGGCAAATAAGTCTTCGGTTTTTCAGGGTGAAATAAAACTCAATATATTATAGACATAAAATTTATTTTAATCTACAATATATTGACTATTATTTAATATGACTTTTTTCCATCTTTCCAATAACTGCATAATGCCATGCTCATAAAATGTCTTGAGTTTATTGTTAAAAAACTGATCCAAGTGGTTTTTGAAGTCGTCCTCCTTTTGGAGTTTCTTTCCATTCATGGATTTCTGCCGAGACCCGAATAAGTGGTTGTCACTTGGAGCTAGGTCTGGTGAATAGGGATGGTGGGGCCTAGCGTTGTCTTGGTGGAACACAACACCCTTCCGATTTGCCAGTTCTGGGAATTTATTTTTAATGGATTGATCCAATTTTGTTAATTGTGAGCAGTATAGAGTTGAATCAATTGTTTGTCCTGATGGTATTAGCTCATAGAAAATAACACCCTTGAAATCCCACCATATGGATTAGTGCCTGGGCCAACTTAAATGGATTAAGGCTAAATGCTGCCAAAACTCAGACCATTCTCATTGGTTCCAAGCCCCTTCTTAGATCCCACACCAACTTTCCCTCACTCTATATAAACAACTACCCCATCACCTTCTATCCCTTTGTTAAAAATTTAGGCTTTCTCATAGATCAAACCCTCCCCTGGAATCACCATATCTCTCATATATCCCGCCGTGCAATTTCTACCCCCAAACTATTCCATCACTTCTGCCATCTTCTACCCCAAAATACCCGTAGACTCCTAGTTTCCTCTCTCATCTTTCCCCACTTTGACTACAGCTGTGTGGTGTACGATGGCCTCTCGGTGGAACTCCGTAATAGACTCAAAAGACTTACGAATAGCTTCGTAAGATTTGTAATTGGGACCCCAAGACGCTCCCGTGTCTCCCACCACTACACTGAGTTAGGGTGGCTCTTCCCCTGCTTAAGAAGACAATATTTCCTAGGCACTTTCCTTTATCAAATCATTACCGATCATCGTCCTTGTTATGCCTACAACCTTCTCCAATTTAAGTCCTCAATCCATTCCCTCTCTACAAGATCCCGACCCTCTGACCTATATATCCCTTCTCATAGATCTGCCTCATTCCAAAACTCCTTTATAGCCCGCTCTGTCAACTTTTGGAATTCCCTCCTGATCAAAATTCGACATGCTCCTTCCCTGTACACATTCAAAAACCTCCTATTCCAATTCCTGTTCCAAAAACAGTCAGATACCAGCTAACTATTAATATTATATATGTATTGTGTAGCAATCATATAATCATAACACTTGATACTAGAGATAGTACATGCATTTCCTACTATCGACGTAGGAATTTCAATACATACATTTTTTTTTTTATTCAATTATAATTAATTGTTTATTTTTATATATATATATTCAAGTAGTTTTTTTTTTTTTTTATTTTTATGAAATGAACTCATTGTATCTCTTTTTCGTTCTTCATTTCTCAAAGTGTATGTTTATGGTTGTTCAATCCTTAAATATAATTTTGTTCATAGTTCAAGTGATTCGTTCATAGTTTTAATTGTTTTGTTCATAATTTTAAATGCTCAGTACATAGTTTTATCTGTATTGTATATGGCTTGTGCACCTAAGGTTTTCTTTACTTTTTATTTTATTTTATCAATTTTATTTATTGTTTCAACGTTCAGGTTAGTAATATTCTATTATTTTGTACATTATTGTTATTCTGAAGGGACTTGGTCCCGGAATAAAGTTTTTTTTTCTATCTATCTATCTATCTATGGAAAGCATTATCTTCTTTGGATGCAATCCGGGTTTTGCCATTCTTCTAGGAGTCTCAATACTAGGTCCCCAAGTTTTTCTACGGACTACATTATCGTAAAAACTATCCTACTATTCATCTCCTGTTACCAACCTTTTGAAAAATGGGTCTTGTAGCCGTTTCTGTAGTGAATCACAAACAGAAATGTGTGTTGCCAAGTTGACTTCGGTTAGAGAGTGAGGGATCCGAACATTAAGCCTGGAAACATGGTCGAGCTTGTGAAAATGGTTTTCTTTGCTTGTGGTGTCACATTTAGGGCCCATAGCAATCTCTCGTATTGATTGGGTGGGATTTTGATCAACATTGGCCTTAACATTACTTGTTTCAATTTCATGTGGGATTCCAGACCGTTAAGCATCATTGATTTCAAAATTTCCTGAATGAAATTTGGCAAACCAATTTTGATAGGTACGTTCGGTTAAGGTATAATCCCCATAAACACCGCAAATCAAAAAATTTTCAATGAGCTGCAGTATGCTTACCTTTTTAAAAATAATACATCAAAATATGCTCATAATGAATATTTTCTTTTATATTCACGGTGCAATAGCAAACACTATACTAAGCTAGTTTCAACAAGAGTTAACAGATATAGTTGTTGACATATTACCAACAGCATAAAAAATCTGCCTTAGGGATTAATTCATCAGGTAAGAAGTGTATCATAGTGATATGAAAATAAAGAGAAAAACGGAAAGGACTTATTTGCCAACCCAATATTTAGATTTCTGTAATACTGTGTTGAAGAACTTGAATGATAGAAACTTTGAATGTCGTACAAATTTTAAAGATTCTACGATTGCAAATCATTTAACGAACAAAAGAAAAAACAAATAAAAATGTATTTAGTATAACAAATTCAACAATAAAAACAAATAAATACTGTGTTATAACTGTTACACTTTTCCAGAACTCAAAGCTTTTCTTTTATCAGCATTTTCTTTAAGCTTTGCTTCGCGTTCACGTTTTTCTCTTTCACCATCCAGCAGTTTCTTTCTTGCTTTATTCAAAGGGTAAAACTTGTTATACCAATCTTCCAGATTCCGATCTTTAGGCGATTCTTTATCTATGCAACCAAGCTCTTCAATTTTTAGACGATCATAACTTAATCTAATTCTCCTCTCGACAGTGAATATAGATTTCAGTTTTTCTTCAACTTCATTCAATGGCATACCTGTAATCAAGTTATTAGTAGAAGAATCTTCTACATAAAGTAAAATATTTGCATAGTTTCATGACTTAAACCACAATATTGGTTACACCTAACCAAAGCTGAGTTAGGGGAACTATACAAGAACTCTGCTAAAAGTAATTATGTTTGGAGGACCGTTGAAATGGTAAGAATGACTAAAAACCATGTACCTCAAAAGAACTTCGACGAAAAAAATCCTCTTGCAGAAAACCCTATAAAGAAACTTAAAAACCAAATTGAATCACAATGTTTCGAAATTGATGAGGGAGAGTGGATGAAGGAGGGATTTATCAAGTTTTTATAATTTTTTTTCAAACAGATTTGAATTAAATAATTAACTTTAACAAATTAATTAATTGACAAACAGATTGAAATTAATTATAATAAACTAATTAATTGTCAAACAGGTTGGAATAAATTAAGTTTAATAAATAAATTAATTGTCAAACTTATTGAAATTAAAAATCCCGATTCACATGTATATAAATAAAAAAGACATGAATAATATAAGTAAGAAGGAAATTTAAATTAATAGGAAAAGTTTTTTTAATTTTATGTATTAGATTTTGGGATGTTCATATAAATTGTAAATTAAAAGAAAAACAATTTTATTATCCTGTGACCGATGTGTGTTTAGAACAAATTACAATTTTTTTTTTTATTATTATTTCTTAATGATACTGTATTAAAGAAATACATTTAGTAAATTTGAACATATGGATATAATGAGGTGAAAACACTTGTTGAGAAACTATCCAATAGTAGCACTCTTATGATATGTTTACATTAGGAGATCACGAGGCCATCTTCTTTTCAGACGCCTCGGAGGGTATCAGGAATTGAAGAGGAAGCAAGGTTAGAAACGAGAGGGTTGGGATGATTCTGAAGTTTATTATGGAAGGATAGGTATCTGGATTGGGCCAGATCTGAAACTTAAGAAACATTAGGTCATTATGGATGGTTTTATTTGTAACAAAGTAGGGAGCATTGAGGATTTTACGAAGGATTTTGGATTGTAAAGATTGGATATGAGAGGAATTTGATGGTTTAGTGGAGCTCAATAGCTGAACTCCGTAAGACCAAATAGGCCTTATTATAGTCATGTATATGAGAGTCTTTTGTAATTAATTGGAAGTTTAGAGCGTTTGTCTAGTAAGTGCTGAAGTAATCGGAAACGTCAAGCGGTTTCTTGTCGTTTATAATTATAATTATAAATTCAAAATGTAAATAAACATACGTTATAAATGTCCGAACTATGAAATGATCATGGAAGAGTAAGTTCTGAATGTAAACAATACAAACCAGCAAATAATGGAACAGGACTGGAATATTTCCTAGAATATACCCAGTAAGCATCAGTGAAGGATTGAGGGAACTGCATGAGAGCATTCTCGTAGCGTAATTGAGAATCGACTTATCTTTAAAGTGGTATTATAATAGAATCTTTGACCTTTTTTTTGTGCAATATTTATAAACTAAATACAACTCTGTCCAGATATCTTAAATTTGTAATAATTTTAATTTTAATTCTGTTAGTGAATATAGAAGCATTAATTTTTAGAATGCCTATATACCAATTTTCTTAAATATTACATATTGAAATTAAATATTGTTGCCATGGCACCACTGCAACTATCCTTGTGTCACCTCTATATCAAAGTACAAAAATATTCTTTGCTTTATTTTTTTTTTATAGGTTGTATAGCTTTGAATTTTCCATTTTCTTACTCTCATCTAAATTTAGCATTAAAAAAAAGAAAGTGAATTGAAGAAAAAAATAGTAAAATAAGTCCGGACACAAAAGGCAATTATAATAAACTTTATGCTCGAGAATTAACTCTGGTGTCATATTTAATTAGAGAAATTAATGTGCAACAAGTACTGAGCCAGTGAAGGTTCTGCTTTTTTCATGTGATAAACTTGGAGAACTCAGTCAGCAGAGAACTCTATCTATATGTTTATGTATCTCAGGTACCTCTAAGGTCAGAACTGCAAAAAACCACTGTCGTGTACCGAGGCCTTAACGCTAGCATAACAGTTAATTATATTTTATTATATGAAAGAGTGTAGGATGTTAGAAAACAATAATCACCCTGAAAGAAAGCAGAAGGTACTGAAGTATCAAATAGCCTTTCAACGCCATGATTAGACAATATTGTCTTCTGTACTAGAGCCGATACGCAATGATAATCAGTTTCAGGGCATATCAACACCTTCTGAAACACGCTCGCCTGAAAAAAAAAAATCTGCTGTTGTTAATCTAATTCAGGGGAGTCTCTAAACTTTTTGACCCGCAGGCCATATTGAGAGACCTTCACCAAATCTATCAGGCCATGGGTCCACCAAATATAGCAGGCCATGGCTTCAGCAAATCTAGCAGGTCATGGCTTCACCAAATCTATTGCCATGGCTTGTCATGAAAAAAAAATAGTTTGTTCAATAAATGACACTTCAGTTGTGAAATGAGCTTTCTACAAGATACAATGCACGCATAAAATGTGGCAACCTCGTTTTTGATTTACTAAATTTCACAATGGAGTCAAAAAAAATTTCGGTACTGAAGTGAAGAATACTTGGAGTGATCAGTCAAATAAGAAGGCAAAAATAAATGATAATATTTATTTTGACATTTGCCGATGTTTCGACCTGAAGTTCAGGCCTTCATCGGGGCTAAGAAAAGAAATTAATCTTTTCTTAGCCCCGATGAAGGCCTGAACTTCAGGTCGAAACATCGGCAAATGTCAAAATAAATATTATCATTTATTTTTGCTTTCTTATTTGACTGATCACCCCAACTATTCTTCACTTCATTATTCACGACAGTCAACCATTTACCCACAATTATTTCATTAATATATTTGTCGTAAAATAAAAGTTTTTTTTTGTTATTACATTTGTTTTTGTTTCTGTTTACACTTTCAATAATACGAATATAATACAAAGATAGGAATTACGAGAAGATTTATCACTGCCTTATCAGAATTATCAGTGTTGAGGTTATAAACATTGGCAGATAGAAGTCAGTCCAGGCCTCCTAGTGAAGAAGTACCAAACTTTCACAGGCCAGATTGGAGGTGCTTGCGGGCAGTAGTTTGGAGACCTCTGATCTAATTGAATAATTATATTATAAATGCAGAATCTTTTTATCATTAAAGACCACATTAAGGTTAGGTAGTGAAATGGAAGCCGCAATAATTTTGTATATTTTACTCTTACCTATTTTTTAATTTATTAGTAAAAACACACATACACAGACCCTTATACATATGTTCAACTTAATTTTCAAATTTTTGTTCTCTGAATAATTAAATATTAATTATTTCTAACTCTAGTGTCATTCCATATCAAATCAACCAAAGGCTTGAGCCAGAAGCCTTATTTGTTGAATGCATTAATACAAAGAAAAATACAAAATTTTAGATATTTTTGATTTACAGTTTTTGTGTTATAAATTTTTAAAATAATAAAAAACCTCGAAAAATGGTGAATTTTTAAAATATTAATATAGTAAAATTGTATTAAAATTTTTGTACTTATTTGAATAAACTTACATGTAAGTTGGATTTAAATAAAAACATATATGCATAAATTTAAATTTAAAAATATGAATATTTTAATATTTGCCGACCTTGACGGCATTTTTAGTATACCTATTGTAGATTAACATTTTTTATTTTGTGAACCCATTGTTTCTCCATTTGAAATTTGGCACACCTTTAGCCACCATATGTTAGAATAATATACAATTTTTTAATAAAGACAAATTTTTTTTTTTCAAAATTCAAAAATAAAATAAAGGTTTTGGTTTCCTTGGAATATTATATTTTCATGTTAAATAGTTCTTGATAAATAGCACAAAAACTATTTAACAAATACCCCGTTTTTTTAGGCTTTTTATTATTTTAGTTTTTTTATTATTTTAAAAATTTATAACTCAAAAAACTATAATAAAAAATCAAAATTTAACACCAACAGGTTCAAATTTGTTTTTAAACTAGTTGATTTGATATGGGATGACCCTATAAATTAATGAAGATTGCAGAAAAGCATTCTGAGGCTCTCCACCTGCGAACAATATAATAAAAAATTATAGTAGCCTACAAGATAAGGACCAATATCCTTCTAATCCAGATAAATGCGTATTACAAAAATAAAATAAGTGACCAACAAGAGGAATGAATTTGGATCCAGAAGAGGAAGGACACGCAAGACAAGGTCATCTTAAAACAAGTGCTCAAAAACGATGGGAAGTAGCTCAGAATATGCACGCCTTATTTGGGGATTTTAAAGCAGCCTATGATTCTGTAGAAATAAACTGTATTTGGAAGATCTTGAGGAAGGCATGCACAAATAATCCTAACTGTTGAGTCTTGATACTGGTACTGGTAAAGGTGGGGGACACATATGGCAAGTGGGCTTGTTAGTCCTTTTTGCCTTCCCCGAATATACCAATAGACCTTCATCTCTGTCTCAATCATTTTCATTCTTCTAACAAAGGTATGGCAATTTGATGGAGGAAGCTTTCTGTTCTAGGATTGTGAGTGATGCGAATCGGTCATATTCTGTTACATAGTGTTGTGGTGGCAGCGGTTATTCAAAATGTGCAAAGCCAATTCTGCACAATTTCATCCATAGGCACTATAGCCTTATTAATTAATTTATTTTAAAAATGTTAAAATAATAAAAATCCGTTTGGATAAATAGTTATATAAATAAAATGCCGAATAGCAGTAATCCTATATTGAAAAGACATAATAAATGAATTAAACATGCTACAAAATAAATACAAATGAATCAAAAAATATTTCTCCTAGTACAAATAATAATAATAAAATAATGAGTGAAACAAAATTTACTTTAAATCATTAAACAAAAAAAAAAGAAAACAACTTTAAACTTAGAAATTAAATTTACAATATTTTATAGCTGTTTTATTATTAAAATAATTAATTATTATTATTTATAAAATGCAATTAATTCAAACATTAAATTAAATTAGAATTGGTTAAAATGTACTACAGAAAATATTTATATATACGTATATAAATTTAAAATTATATTTTATAACGGAAGGAGATGGTCCGGGGTTGCGGTCATAAATAGGCTAAATAGTGACAAAACTATTTTATTGAAAGGTGACGCTTCGACCCGACTTTGCAGGTCTTCTTAAGGTCAATTGCAGGTCTTCTAGCCGAACACATCTGTAAGTCTCTAATTTTATTCTTCCATTTTATTTACTTATTTATTTAATTTTTTGTATTCTTTCTCCACATTCCTTTATGTCTATTATTTCATATTATATCCTTTTTCCTTTTCTTTCAATATCTCCTGTAGATCTGTAGAAGTATATTCACATTTTCATTTATTATATATTACACTACAACAATTGTTAGCGTCTATTTACTTCAGTTTAGGATATTGTTACTTAGCTTACTTTGTTCATATTTTAATGAACTTACTGTTTATAATTTTAATAAGCTTATTTACATTGTTTATAAATTTTATCTAAATATTATGTAACTGCCACAATTCTCTATCTGTTTGTATCTTGTCCGTTCTAGCTCTGAAGAAGACCGGCAAAGTCGGGTTGAAACGTCGGCTTTCAATAAAATAGTTTGCCACTATTTAGTCTATTTATGACCGCCACCCCGGACCATCTCCTTCCATTATAATGCAACGGTCAACTATTAAATATTCTATATTTCATAACAGTAAAATAAGAAAAAAAAGTGGAACCGGGAACCTTCACCATATCAAGTTCGCATGCTAGCCACTACACTATGAGTGTAATTGTAAAAGATAGCATGAAGCAGTGCACTAGTCACAGTTCAGCTTCAAGGTGTGGTGTTTAAATTAAGAAATGATGTGTTTTATTTCACTGATGATAACTGGAGACCCGTGGGGTCAGTAATGTTTTTTAGAGGGGGGCTCATCTTTAAATGTTCTTAATGAAAGTAAAACATATCACCTCAGCAGGCCAGTCTTATTTTTCCTTTTTAATACCTCTGTACATCTTCTTGGAGTAGAGCAATGTCCCAGATGTGGGAAGTCGCCATCACAATCTGATGAAATTAAACCATGGATTTTTCCAGAGGAATGGTAACGGGACGAGAGAATCTCATGTTTCTTACACAGCTCTACCAGCAGCCATACTAGTTCGTACTGTAGCCATACTACTCTGGTATCATGTGACACAACGAGAGGCGTTGAGTCTCCAGAAATCACCGAAAACATCGCTGGCACGTATCGGAATTTATAATTAAATGAAAATACAAATAACTACATGTTGGCCGCAACAAATGTAGAGCAGTTTCCAGAACTTGTCCTGCAAATCTTCAGATATCTTTTATCTCTGCAGTAGCCTGTAAGTACTGCAACAACTAATTGGTTTGCATTTTTTTTTTCTTTTGGTTTAGAGGCCACTCGGGGCTAGAAAAGGAACGGTATTTAATTAACGTTTGGGCTTATCCGAGCCAAGAATGTTCCCACCACTCCTTACCAGCTCTTCTCCATGTCCAACCAAGGACTTCTTCCCGCTGATGTTTCCTTGATTTTCCTATTGCAGATAATGTTCCCATAATAGGTGTCTCAGCTTCACTTCTTCCGAGGATGTCACCTTTATCATAACATTTGATTTCTTAATGACCTGGTACCCACACTAATTCCACGCTCTTTAGAGCAGGCCTACTGTGCAGTTCAAATACAATAATTAAATAGCCTTATAAATTAGTTATCTGAAGCCTTTAAAGTTCAAAATGGCTTATGGCAGGGAGATGGAGTATTAACAATGCTCTTCAATTTAATGCTGGAGAATGTGACATCAGAATGATCTGTAATCATAAATATCTGTCTTTGGAGGCAATCAAGAGGACAGAAAGATAATCATTACAGCTCTGATAAAAGAAGAAGTGAAAATCTGCCTGAAAATAAAGATTAATAAAAAAATCCAGCCAATAAAAGGACTTTCCTAAAAGGGAAATTCATTTCCAAAAGTAGACAGATTCAAATTCTTTGGCTCCGCAATAGCCTCAATGAAGAAAAACAAAGAACTGCTTTCAGAAACTAGTCTATCAATATCTCAGATAGAGCATCTTGTTCGGAATGATCCTCAAGGGACCACACTGCTTACAGAAAACTGGAAAGAATTAGTCCAAGATGGGCAAAAGTAGAGAAAGGTAGATAAGGAAGCAAAAACATCTGCAAGGTCTGTAAAGCCAACGGGAAAAAAATATTATCAACGATTAAAATATTATGTAGTAGATAACTCCCTGTATTTATTCCTTTATGTGACATTGTGTGGGGGAATGAGAAGGAATATATAGGAATGTGAGGCTGCACGATGAATTGTACTCAATTGTGCAGTGGACAAATTATTCATTGAAAAGTCTCATATCGATAAACAATCGATGAAGAAAGAAGGTTGGAATAGGACGGAGCAGATAGCAGCAGCTGGTGAAGGACGCCGAGAAGAGGAGAGAAGACACGACACTTGAGGCTGGAACACGAAGACGAAAGGACGTTACCTGGGAAGAGAAGCCTACTACATTGAAGATTAAGAATATCAAGCCTACATTTATAAGACTTTTATACATTCATTCATCACAGTTGTCAAAACAAATTATTTTATTAAACAGGAGTGAAAAGTCATTTATTTATTTAGTTGTCCAATAGGTCTCACAACAGAAGAATAACAAACCAGGTGAGTCAATTTATTCAAAGTGTATTTACTAAGTCCCACATTTCATATATATATTCTTATTGTTTCTTCTCACTCAGTGCAACAAAAGTATTAGGTTCCTTAAGTCCCAACGACAGTTAAACGCCCTCACAAAAGTCTATATCCAGTGCCGGGGTTTTGTTTAACCTAGTCCATAAAACGGAAGGCTATTCGCTATCAGCCCGCCATAAAGGTTATTTACAATTACTGCCAAAACGGGTCATTAACAATTAACCTCTTAACAAATTATTTACAAACCAAATAGATCTAATCTAAAAGGATAATCCAGAGCCACTTACAGAAAACTGGAAAGAAATAGCCTAAGATAGGCAAAAGTAGAGAAAGCTGGTTAAGGAAGCAAAACACATGCAAAGCCGGGAAAAAATATCAACGATTAAAATATTAACTGACCAGTTTTGGTTTGCTCATCCAGGGTTGCTCTGAGGTGGCGAGGACAGTTATTCTGTCGTTTGTTTTTATAGCTTTCAACAACTTGGGGATGATGCCTTTCAACGTACCAGGCCTCATGGCCTTCTCATTCTTCGGAACTTTTTTGTAATATGGCTTTTCGGCACCATCTATGAATATCACTGTAGGTTCATATCCTCTTGCTACCTTAAAAACAAAATAAATCTTAAAAATGAATATTTCAATTTAGGTACTATTATAAAATATACAAATACAAATATAATAGGTACTATTAGTACGTTCCTCAATCAAATCATCAACAATGATTGTCCTTCTTACGCCTACAACCTTCTCCAATTCAAGTCTTCAGTCCACTCCCTTTTCACAAGATCTCGACCTTCCGACCTTTACATCCCTTCTCACAGATCTGCCTTGTTCCAAAACTCCTTTATTGCTCGCTCTGTTAATTTCTGGAATTCCCTTCCTATCAAAATTTGGCATTCCCCCTTCTTATCTACACTTAAAACCCTCCTATTTTTTTTTTTTTTTTTTTTTTACAGAAGAATATAATTAATGCATTTTTTTGTTCTAAAATTGTATATTTATATTTTACTATTGTACATAGTTTGTTTATAGTATGTTTAGCTAATGTTTTCTTTACTTATTTCTCTTTCTTTTTACTTTTGTGTTTTTTTTTATTTAGGCTAGATATAATATTTTAATTTTGTACTTTTTTGTTATTCTAAAGGGACTTTATCCCAGAGTAAAATTATTTTCTATTCTATTCTAAAAGATTAATTCTGACATAAATTCAATTGTTAAGCATTTCTATGGAGGTAGTTGGTTCTGAAATACTTTTAGTTGTTAAACATAGAAAGTCCACATATTTAGTTTGTCATAAAAATTCTAATACCTACCGCCCATACTAAAATGAAATTGACTAAGCCGTTTGGCCTATATAACCTCATTATTTTGACAATTTGGGGATGCAGGTCACACCAAACGGCTCACTATTTTTAAAGGCCACCTTTTTACTCGACTTTGTGCTCAAGTTATCTCACGATTAAAGTGGAAATAAAATAAGTATTTACAAGTTTTTAGTATCTAATTAAATAGAAAAAGTTTGCAATACTTTTAGACTACGATTAGATGAAGGTATTTACAAAGTTTCAGTCGAATGTTAATAATTTGATAAAAAGGGGTCTGTATCATGGACTATTGGCAAAATTAAAATTTCTTTTTTTTTTTTAAATTTCTTTAGTTTATTTATTTACTGTAAACATTGAAGTATTTTTCATATTTTTCTATGGGGTGTATCAATTTCACAGTGAGCCACTGTATATATAATATAACATACTTTTCACAAAAGAAGATTGGAAAAAGTAACGAAGAATAAAAAATTGTATTTTTTTAATAACTCAAAATGTACATACACATACTTTTTAGCTGTTCATTAATGTATTCATTTGAAAGATGATAAAATTTCTTACAAAACAGACAAAGAAAAATTATCGAAATCAGACCATTAGTAGCAGAGATATGTCATATTAAGCTTTGGAAGGTCTTGTTTTTGTGTTTGTTTTTGATAAGTTGAAAACTGTGTTTATACTGAAGCATTCAAGATGGCTATTACGATAAAATTTAATTGTATTGCTTACCAAAAAAATAAAAGAAAAGAAAAAGAAATTTTGATGTAGAGATGGTTGACCGTTGATATGATATGAGAAGGAGTTAGTCGAGGGTGCGGTCAAATAAATAAAAAAATTAAAATATATAAATAATTTTAATTTTTGCCGACGTTTCGACCCACTTCGCAGGTCGTCTTCAGGGCTACAAAAGATACAAACATGTTGAAAAAATAAAAATAAAATAAAAAATAAATATAAGTATATATAAATTACGAAGAAGTTGTCAGATACAGAAATAAAAGATAAAGAAAATAAATACATGATAAGAAAATAGATAAAAGAAAATAAATACATGAATGTTAACGAATAAATGAATCTTTTAATTTCAATCTATTTATTCGTTAACATTCATTTTTTCAATCTATTTATTCGTTAACATTCATTTATTCGTTAACATTCATGTATTTATTTTCTTTTATCTATTTTCTTATCATGTATTTATTTTCTTTATCTTTTATTTCTGTATCTGACAACTTCTTCGTAATTTATATATACTTATATTTATTTTTTATTTTATTTTTATTTTTTCAACATGTTTGTATCTTTTGTAGCCCTGAAGACGACCTGCGAAGTGGGTCGAAACGTCGGCAAAAATTAAAATTATTTATATATTTTAATTTTTTTATTTATTTGACCGCACCCTCGACTAACTCCTTCTCATATCATATCAACGGTCAACCATCTCTACATCAAAATTTCTTTTTCTTTTCTTTTATTTTTTTGGTAAGCAATACAATTAAATTTTATCGTAATAGCCATCTTGAATGCTTCAGTATAAACACAGTTTTCAACTTATCAAAAACAAACACAAAAACAAGACCTTCCAAAGCTTAATATGACATATCTCTGCTACTAATGGTCTGATTTCGATAATTTTTCTTTGTCTGTTTTGTAAGAAATTTTATCATCTTTCAAATGAATACATTAATGAACAGCTAAAAAGTATGTGTATGTACATTTTGAGTTATTAAAAAAATACAATTTTTTATTCTTCGTTACTTTTTCCAATCTTCTTTTGTGAAAAGTATGTTATATTATATATACAGTGGCTCACTGTGAAATTGATACACCCCATAGAAAAATATGAAAAATACTTCAATGTTTACAGTAAATAAATAAAACCAGAAACTCTTCAATAGATTTATTTATAATCTCGTTTTAAATATGTACAAACTCAATAAAATTAAAATATTCAACTGTGATTATTTAAAAAAAAAAATAATAAAGAAAAACTGGATAATTTTATCTCACAGTCAAAATAATACAACTCACTTCTTATTAACTTCTAAATACTATTAATTTAGTTTGATACCTTGTAGGCAAGCCTTTAAGACAAAAAAATAAAAGAAATGAACTTTTTTAATGTAACTTATAATTATTAAATTGAGAAAAAAAATAACACAAATACCTTTAAGAGCATATTTATCAGCATTTTCGTTTTGAATTTTTTTGTGAAGTTAAGTGCTGGCATGTACATCAAGAGAGCTCCGACGCTATAAGCCAAACTGTGAACTAACGGAATGGTCAAGCGATTAGGACCAGTGAAGAGAACAGATTTTATTGAAGGAGAATTTTCTTTGACTGTTTTGCTTCCTAAAGGTAAGATCACGTACTCCTTTGCCACCTGAAATAATTTATTCAAATTCAGTCTTCTACCAGAAGCCTTTTACAGAATAATATTCCATACTACATTGTGGGATATTCAATAAAGGGGAGTAGCCATTTTCATTTACTTCAGAATGTAATCAAAGCACATTGCCCATGATTAGACTGTACTGCATTAACTTAGGTAATCGAATCAAATGAATCGCTGTGTGTAAACAGCCAGTCTTTCTGTAAATCACAGATGGATCTACGGAGGGGATGCGTTTGGAAATAGAGGCTGAATCTCTCCTCTCCCCTTCCCCTAAATGATAAAATATAACCATGTCTTATGATAAAAAATATGAATTACATTTAATAGGACTTCAAGAATCACTTAAATACCATTTGAAGTAAGTTGTTAGTTTCTTTCTTTTTCTTTTAAAGTACTAATAATTATAAATACATATTGTAAGATTACGTTTCCATAGAAAAGTAAACAAACAGAGTATCTGAACTAAATTATATTTATTTTACACCATTATTTTAAATTATTTCAGGTTGGGTTGAGACAAATAAACAAGCATTCCTCAATTATATAATCTAAAATCATATATTAAGTTTCTATGACATATTTATGAATTTTCATTCAGTTTTGTCGGAGTCTACTCTTGGCGTTTTCTAATTGTCACGATTTATTTTGCACTCACCCTGTTCTGCAGTGAATCTTCCTCGGTATTGTTGCTGAAGGTATTACTGCATTAAGCTTCTACAAATGGTTTCTCTATTCTTACGCTTTCATGTTCTCATATAGCAACTCAAAAATTGCTGACCGTTCACTCTCTGTTGATCTTGATGCTCTATCCCTTCCACCTATCTTCCTCCGTCTCTTTGTCCATTCCTTGACGGTAGTTCGTGACATTGCTATCGCACCACTATTTAAATTCACTATGTAATATTTACATTACAATATATATATATAAATCTTTCAGGATGAAGCTCCTCCTAATTAAATCCTAGATTTGCTACTGCTGTGAATCAAAGTAGAAAATTTATAACTTCCTCAGACTCAAAAAGCAGGTGTTCTATTTTCTTGAATATTACTTACTAATGCTTTCTCGATTGTATATATATTATGAGGGTTTTATGATAAAACAAATTTGTCAGGACTTACGGTTAAGAATTTTTATTACGTTAGCCAGTGTATCGACCGTAACATGAGGTCATCCTCAGGGCTATTTTTTGTAAGTCGAGACAAGAACCAAGTTCCAGTTCTTGTCTCGACTTCCAAAAGAAAGCCCTGAGGATGACCCACATGTTTGGATTGAAACATCAGCTAACCTAATAAAAATTCTTGACTGTAAATCGTAATAATTGATCAGTCAACTAATTACACATCTCTAAAATATGAGGATTTTTTTTTCCTTCATTAAATTGATATAATTATATATTTATAAGTAAAAGCATAAATAGTAATTCCTTAATTTATTCCACTGAATCAAACACAGAATAAAGACTCCAGAAAAGAACTTTTTTTGCCAAAAATTACACTATTTTTTTTGGAAGAAAATTGAAAAAAAAAATTACAATAGGATTTTGTATTTAACAACTACTACTCAAGATTGGCATAGATCATTCGAGATCTAAGTTTCTCCTTAAACAAACAAAAAAATAAGTATAAAGCATGAAAACTATTTTCTTCAGGATTTGTCAATTTGTTCATCTGTCCAACGTTTTGGACTCTGTATCCATCTTCAGAGACATTTCTTTTCACTTCTTAATGTTTTTCCTTTATCTCCTGTTCTTCTACTTCATGTTATTAATATTTTTCTTCCTATTCTATTTAACAATTTAATATCACACTTAGTCAATTTTCATCATCATAACAGCAATGTGAACAGGAGAAACAGGAAAACAAGTAAGAAGTGAAAAGAAATGTCTCTGAACATGGACAAAGAGTCCGAAACGTTGGACAGATGAACAAATTGGCATATACGGAAGAGAAAAGGGTACTTCTCTAGTATGAGGTTGGGATCGACTGCTATTAATGTTTATAACCTGAACACTGATCTTCGTATTTATTGTATTATATTCATATAATTGAAATTAAAAACAAAAAGTAATGTAATAATAAATAATACTTTTATTATACAACATATATAATAAAAAGACTTATGAATAGCTTCGTAAGATTTGTAATTGGGAACCCTAGACGCTCCCGTGTCTCCCACCACTACACTGAGTTAGGGTGGCTCTTCCCCTCCTTAAGAAGACAATATTTCCTAGGCACATTTCTTTATCAAATCATTACCGATCATCGTCCTTCTTATGCCTACAACCTTCTCCAATTTAAGTCCTCAATCCATTCCCTCACTACAAGATCTCGACCCTCTGACCTATACATCCCTTCTCATAGATCTACCTCATTCCAAAATTCCTTTATAGCCTGCTCTGTCAACTTTTGGAATTCCCTCCCCATCAAAATTCGACATGCCTCTTCCCTATACACATTCAAAAACCTCCTATTCTGTGTAGCAATCATATAATCATAATACTGGGTAAGAGATAGTACATGCATTTCCTACTATCTACGTAGGAATTTCAATACATACATTTTTTTTTTATTCAATTATAATTAACTGTTTATTTTTATATTTATATTCAAGTAAAGTTTTTTTTTTTTTTTTTTTTTATGAAATGAACTCATTGTATCTCTTTTTCGTTCTTCATTTCTCAAAAGTGTATGTTTATGTTGTTCAACCCTTATATATAGTTTTGTTCATAGTTTCAAGTAATTCGTTCATAGTTTTAAGTGATTTGTTCATAGTTTTAAATACTCTGTACATAGTTTTGTCTGTATTGTATATAGCATGTTCATATAAGGTTTTCTTTCCTTTTTGTTTATTTTATCAATTTTATTTATTGTTTCAAACTTTTAGGCCAGTAATATTCTATTCTTTTGTACAATTTTGTTATTCTGAAGGGACTTAGTCCCAGAATAAAGGTTTTTTTTCTATCTATCTATATATATATGAAATAGACGAAAACAAATGTAATAATAACAAAACAGTTTGATTTGAAATTGAAATAGACAAAAAGAAATGTAATAATTTCATATAATAATATATGTAATAATAGATTTGGCTGCTTTGTCCCACTGTATCGTTGTTGAATTATGGGATCACCCATAAATTAATTTTAAAGCCGTTAAAAACAAAATCCTCTACCCCTCTAACCACATTCCTTTCTTTATAGAAATATTTTTGTTGCAAGTGGTACAAAAGCATCTCCATTTCTTCTTCTAGTCTAACTTCATTTGATGATCTTCTTCACACAATTTCACGTTTGGAATTATCCCGCTGTTTTGAAAATATTCGATAGCCTCTTCTTCTGAACACGGCAAATCTCACAATGTAATAACATCTATAATTTGAAGAAAATCACACAAATGGAACAAAAATAAACAATGGAATAACTTGTAGAAGACATCCCCCTGTATTTATTCCTTTATGTGACGTTGTGTGAGGAAATGAGAAGAAATATATAGAAATGTGAGGTTGCACTGTGAATTGTACTCAATTGTGCAGTGGATAAATTATTCATGGATAAGTCTCATATCGATGAAGAAGGACGCTGGAAAAAGGAGAGCAGGTAGCTAGCAACAGCTGGAGAGGCACTTGAGGCTGAGAAATTGAGGCGGAACGACATACCTGCGAAGAGAGTCTACTACAAGATTTAGAAGATCAAGCCTATAGTTATAACACAATAATAGAGTCAATTTATTACAGTTGTAGAAATAAATTATTTTGTCATGCAGGAGTGAAAAGTCATTTATTTATTTAGTTGTCCTATATGCCTCACGATTGAAGAATAAACAAACTGGGTGAGTCAATTTATTCAAAGTGTTTTTACTAAGTCCCACATTTCAAATATATATTCTTTTTGTTTCTTGTCACTCAGTGTCACGAAAGGTATTAGATTCCCGAATTCCCAACAACAGTTAAACAGCTTCAAAAAGTCTATATCCAGTGCCGGGGTTTTGTTTTAATAATCACGAGTGTAGATAACCTAGTCCCCCGATAAAGCGAAAGGCTATTCGCCTATTCCCGCCAAGAAAAGTGATTAACATTTAACTTTTATTAGGTTATTTACAAACTCACAGCTTATACAGGTTAAGAACAGAGGTTATGTGATAAAACATTAGATAACAAGGGAGCACCGAGAAAAGTTTTCATGCTTTATACCTAAAATAATAAAAAAACTCCCCTTAAGTAAACATTCTAAACATTAAATAAGAAAAAAAAGGATAAATTCTTAAAATCCAAGCCGTACTTATAAGATAGAATGTAAACTATATTAACAGCTGTATATTAATGAATAGCTGCATAAGATTTGTTATTGGTGCCCCGAGGTACTCCCTTGTCTCTCACCACTACACTGAGTTGAAGTGGCTCTTTCCCTCCAATTGAAGACAATATTTCCTAAGTACATTCCTCTATCAAATCATCAACAACCATCGTCCTTCTTATGCCTACAACCTTCTCCAATTCAAGTACTCAGTCCATTCCCTTTCAACAAGATCTCGACCTTCTGACCTCTACATCCCTTCTCACAGATCTGCCTCATTTCAGAATTCCTTTATAGCTCGCGCTGTCAATTTCTGGAATTCTCTACCTATCAAAATTTGGCATTCCCCCTCCATATCCACATTCAAATCCCTCCTATTCCAATTCCTATCCCAAAAACAGTCAGATACTTGCTAAACTTTCGATATTATACATTTCTAGTCATCATCAAATGATAGTAGTATTCTATACTGTGATCTTCACTAGGGATATTACAATATCTTCCTGCTTTTAATGCCACTGACCGCATCTATTGTTTGTTTGTTTTTTTTTATTATTTTTTATTCGTATATAATTAAATCTGTACCTATAGCTAGCATTTGACAATGAAAAGTCTACATATTAATCATTATTTAAATGCACTGATATTTTATATTGTCAGCTTTGTCTTTTCTTTGTTAGCAGAAACACACCTCATTTTAAAGAAGAACTCAATGTATTTTTTATTATTTTATTTTTCAAAAGAGTATAATTATAATTTTTCTACTGTACATAGTCTTAAATGTTTTATCATAGTTTTAAAGTGTTTTGTATGTAGATTTTTTTTTTTTTTTTGTATATAGCTTGTTTAACTAATATTTTCTTTACTTTCTCTTTTTTATTATTGTTTTATTTTGGCCAGATGTAGTATTTTAATTATGTTCTATTTTGTTATTCTAAAGGGACTTTGTCCCAGAATAAAGTTATTTTCTATTTCTATTTATATAAACTATCACTTACCTGATAAACGTCCCCCATGGCTGGGATTGGATTTTCAAACTTCAATCTCGCTTCCTGCGCGTGGAAGTTGTATTGACCCGTCAGCGTGTCGATATGAATTGGATCACACTTTATGATCAACCCTTCTTCAGTTAATTCATCAAAAATTGATTCCAAACTCCGATCTGCGAGGGGATCTCTTTTAACTTTTTTTGGCTTTTTCTTTTTTTCTTTCTTCTTTTTCTTTTTTATTTTAAAAACAGTTTCCCCCATTTCCACTGTTTCAAACAAGAAAGGTTATCAAAGTTTATATAAAAGTTTTGTTGAGGAAGAATATTTAATAAATTTGTGAATTTTTATGGTTAAGAAAACCTCTTCCAGTTTTAAATAATATATTTAGTAGTTGTTGTCCCCTCATCGACATTTTGGGCTATTAGACCATTTTCCATATTGAGACAATTACAATTAGAGATTACTATTTCAAGTTATGAATACAAATTGAAGAGAAGTTTGTTGGGATGTTTAGTCAAAAAGTAACAAAGTAAAATTAAATAAATAATTTTTATTTTTTCAGAAGTTTTTCCCCAAAGTTTAGGACTTCATAAGGGCTAAGAGGGAGTGGGTAAGGTACTGAGCTTCCATTGCTAAAGATTCCAGGTTCGAATCCCGGCTCATGGCAGAAAAATTATTTATTCTTTTTCATTGGCTGTGGGGAGACCCTCCTGGGGCACACCCAGCCTCTATGAAGTGGGTATCCTTAATTAAATATTTAATTAAAGGGGAAAACCTGGCGGTTGAGCATGATCTTGATCAAATCACCTCCTTTCACAATGGCTGACTAAGAGTGATTTTCCTGAATAGTACTGAACCCCAGACCCTTCATGGGTTATAGTGGTACAGTTTTTTTTTTTTAGTTTTTTTATTTTATTAGTTATACATATTCCTGGCTCACAATAAATTTGCCATCTACATCGGTATTCAGCAAATATGATATCAAGGACAAGAAATGATAGCATAAGAAAAAAAAAATAGTAATAACAAAAAAAAAAGAACAGTAGTAAAATAACACATACATATTACCAGAATTACAAAAAAAAAAAAAAAAAATAAAAATAAAATAAAAAAAAAATAAAAAAAAAAAAAAAAAATAATAATGCAGTAAGTAGCTCAATGCAATAAATCTCTTGGCCAGCGCCTCAGCAGTCTTCTGGGCGTATTATATGGATTTGTGGCAGTAGATAGAGCTTGAGTAAGTGGATTGGAATTTAGAGTCAGTCTGTCATGAAAACTATTAAAGCGGTCAGTGGCAGTTGCCGTGATAAAAGGAGTGTTAAGGTCAGTGTGTAACGTACGGTTTGAAACATAAAAGGGTGCATCTACAATTTTCCGAAGGACTTTTGACTGGCATGGCTGGATGATTTTTATTTTTGATTTCTTTGCTGTTCCCCATAGTTCGATCACATATGTCCAAACTGGTTTAATGAGGAATTTGTAAATAGTTAATTTATTAGTCACAGATAATTTAGAACGTCTGTCAAGTAGTCTAGAAAGAAGTCCGTATCGCTGTTAAGTTCTTTTCTTTTTTGTTTTATGTGGTATGTCCATGTCAGTCGTTTGTCCAAATAGAGACCCAAATATCGTACAGTTTTTGAAGGTGGTAGAGCGATATTATTAAAGAACACTGGAGGACATGAGTCATGAGGTCAAGAGTTACAAAAGTTTTTTTATACAGGCTAAAAAAGAACATAGATATGAGAAACTAGTAGGCAGTAAAAGTAATATTACTTAAACAAGTAATATTAAAAGTAAAAGTAATTTTCATGAAGACCTGAACATTGGGCCGAAACATGGGAAAAAATTAAAATAAATATAATTTATATATTTTTACTTTGTTACTTTATTTTTTGACTAAACGCCCCAACAAACTTCTTTTCAATATATCTACGACTGTCGATTATTTATCCATTATTATGGATTATAATACAAATATTTTTTTACAATCATATATGAGTCGTTCATTTTCAAAGCGAACCCTAATCATCTTGACAATTTTTCAGGAAATGTGAAAAACTGTGTTTTCGATTCCAATTATAATTTCAGAAACCAATATTGAAAAAAAAAAAAAGGAACATTAAATTCTTCATTTTTAGCACATATTTCCGAAAACATTTGATTATTTTAATAGAAATAAAAAAAAAACATTGAAACCTATACAGTGCTGCTTTTGGAACAAATTAAACTTCAAGCCTCATTTCAGTACAAAAATGGTTAATTTGGATTAGTTTTGGAGAAAGAAAAAAAAAAGGAGTTTTGTTAGGGAAGGAAAATGTTATTGAAATTGTGCTAGAAAAATTTAACATTTTATTTACAATCAAATATATTTATTTTTAATCTTCAATTTGAAAATACTTTTACTTAAAATATGAAATATATCGAGTATCATTACATTCTTTGAAAGACAAAAAAACCAAAAAAAAAAACGGTTTTTGAAATAAACTTATTTTTACACAACTTTTCTTAATATTTAGATTTATTAAAAAAAAAAAAAAATAATAGCCAATAATCGGATTCATTGGTTGTTTTTTTTTTTAAGATAGGGATCGATATTTATATTGTTTTCCAAAAAAATCAATTAGGGTTAAGTTCAGAAATAAGCGATTTACAAATTATAGTCCATAGACCCCTTTTTATCAAATTATTAACATCCACCTGAAACTTCATAAATAGATTCATCTCATCGTAACCTACAACTATTTTATTTACGAAAACTATTGGAATTGGGGCGTTTTCAATCTGAAGGTAGACAAACTTTGTCTATTTAATTAGGTACTAAAAATTCTTAATACCCATTAGCTTTCCACTTGGATCATAAGAAAATTTGAGCATAAAATCGATTAAAAAAAGGTGGCCTACAAATATATTGGGCCATTTGGCCTATATAATCTCGTTGTTTTGACAATTTGGGGGTATAGGTCATGCCAAACGGCTCAATATTTATGAAGGCCACTTTTTTTTCTTGTTTTTGTGCTCAAATTATTTTATGATTCTAGTGGAAATCAAATCGGTATTTACAAGTTTATAGTACCTAATTAAATAGACAAAGTTTGCAGATCTCCAGGTTGAAAATTCTCCAATTCCGAGAATTTTCCTAAATGAAATATTTGTAGGTTACGATTAGATGAAGCTATTTACATAGTTTCACGTCACGTCCAACAATGTCACACGGGCCAATAGTTGCCTTCAGGGCCGCGGTTTCCCACCTATGCAATAGAGTATGCAGATAACTGAAAAGAAATAGCCCAAGACAGGAGTAGGCTTGTTATGGTGTTCGGGATTGATTCTGCCAGTCTTTAAGAAAGGGGACAAGAAGATATGTAAAAACTATCGAGGCATAACTCTTCTAAATGTTATTTACAAAATCCTGGATAATATTTTAACTACAATACTTAAGATTTATTCAGAACAGATTCTCACGGATTACCAAAGCGGTTTCAGACATAACAGGGGTACTACTGATCAAATCGTTGTCTTGCGTCAAGTTCTCAAAAAATGTTATGAGCTTAATACGGATGTCCACATGCTATTTATTGATTTTAAGCAAGCTTTTGATCATTTGGATAGAGTTCAACTGTTTAATGCCCTAAAAGAATTTAAAGTTCCATTTAAATTAATAAATTTAATAAAAATAAGAATGTCCCGGACACAGGCTAGTGTAATCATTAGCAATAGAATTAGCAGGAAAATACATTTTGCCTCTGGTGTAAGGCAAGGAGATTCCCTCTCTACTGTTTTGTTTAATCATGTGCTATGTAAAGCACTACAAAATATAGTGTCTTTTAGAAGTCTAGCATCTCGCTTATTTGAAATACTTGAGGACACAGATAACATTCGTGGTTCTGATTGTGCAAGAAAGTGAAATCGTAGGTCTTGAGATAAACTAATCTAAAACCAAATACACGGTAGCATCAAGCTCTGAGGCTAGAAGAAGAAAGCAAGATTTTAGGTATGATGGCTATACATTCGAAGCTGTTGATCGTTTCACGTACCTTGACACTGAAATAAACAGTGTGGTTAGGGCGATTGACGAGATAATGAGAAGAATAATGCGTGGCAACAAAGCTTATTACGGTTTCTCTAGATTGATTAAATTTGCCCTTCTATCAAAAAGCACAAAGCTCAAATTATACGAGACCCTTATCAGGCCCATTTTGTGCTATGGCGTAGAGGCATGGACGCTTAAAGTAGGCGACCAGCAAGCCCTTAGAATATTCGAAAGGAAAGTTATGAGATGTATTTTCGGTCCAATAAATGAACAAGGCACATGGCTTATTAGGTGTAACCAAGAATTTGATGACCTGATACAGCATGAAGATATTCTAAGGTTCATTAAATCTAGAAGAATTAGCTGGTTGGGTCATACTGAACAAATGCCAGATGAAAGAAAGCCCAAAAATGTTTTGTCCGAAACGTTCCCAGGAAAAAGAAAGAGGGGACACCCACGTAAATGCTGGATTAAGGACGTAGAAAAGGCCCTTACTAAACTTGGAGTGACCAACTGGAAGAAACGGGCCATGGACAGAGAAGGATGGTGAAACATTGTTGGAGAGCCGGAGAAGAAGAAGAAGAAGATAACTGGAAAGAAATAGCTCAAGACAGGCAGAGATGAAGTAGGCTTGTTAAGGAGGCCAAAAGATGCACAAGGTCTGTAATAGAAACAGAAAAAAAAAAGAAGTTTTCTGTTACCATTAAAACAAAACTACTGCAGCGTTGTATCGAATGCTTGTCAAAAAGCTTATGATAAGCATGATCTTCATAAAGAACAGTGCTTTAAAACTATTCATTAGTGAGGATTTTGATATAAGAAATAAAGAACGTGGAATGTGACTTATCTATTATGACCTGCTAAAATGTAAAGGAATCATTAATATTGAATGTTTAATTTGAACAAATGATCAAATTGAATCGAGTATTGCCTGAAAAATTACCAGAATATTAAAAAAGATAATACAAAAATGACTGAGGCATTCAGTCGGTAAATATCAGTGCATTCAGTTTATGGCGCCCACATTCGCTCAGCACAACTTTACTTCTTATGATAATGACTTGACTGGTTCGCAATAAAACAGCAACTGTTTTGGCATTCATAAATTGCCAGAGAGATGGAAAAAACTTATAGCTACTAGCAATGGACAATATATTAAATAAAATATTTATTAATACTTTTATGCATAACCACGTATTTTCTAGACAAAAATTCTATTTTTCATATTTACACATCTGGTATAATCAGAAATGGGAAGATTAATAACATTCTATTAGTTACCGGTATCTTTTTCAATAGCTGCGCTTAGAATCTTGAGCTCCTTCCTCATTTGATCATCAACCTCCTTTCTGACTTCTCTAATCACATTGAAAATTACTTTAGTCTTGAGCCGATCTATCATGTCAACCTAACAGACAGTATTAAATTGATGTAGAAACATATTATGTCAGTACAGATACAGTTTATTTAACTTTCACAAGCACAAAGTAATTCTGCAGAAAAAAGATTATAAATGTTTATATTTATCATCAATTTATAAAACAATCCAGGTACAAGATACCATAACTCAACCTGCTCACACTCATAGATTCAGTTGATTTAATTTATTTTTAAAAGAATGAATTAAAATTCTAATAATAATCACTTCTTTCTTTTGAAAATTTTAAATATAATATCCTTACAAAAATTTTAGTAATATAATAAATTTATATATTTTTCCATTTATTTTTATCATTATTTTCTACATTTTTTTTAAGATTTCCATATTCATGTTTTATTGAAAATAAAGGGAGAAGAGAGCATCTCAGAAAGTAAGTAACTAAAATCCTATTGTCAAGGTACTAAGTTCGAGTCCAGCTGTAGCGGGTATTTATTTATTATGTTACATCAGCCGTGGAATAGCAATGGGATCACTTAATTGGAGACTCTCTATACAGAGAGTACTCTTAATTAAATTATTAATGAAGAGAAAAATCTGATATAGTGCGTGCATCACACAATTTTCACTTACCAATCTTAGAGTAGATAGATATTATCATATGAGCCTTTCACTAGACATAATGATTAACTCCAATTTCAACATTTTTAAGTAAAGTCATTTAAGTGATATTCATGGTTGGAAAATTTATATCTGTAGAGACAGTGAGTAAGTTGATTCCAGAGTAGGTGATTGCAGTGTTGAAATATAGGACTTAGAATAAAGGTATAAATTTTCCCACTAGAAATATTATTAAAATTAATAATCCGAAATATTGAAATTGGAGTTAGTCATTCTGTCAACTGAAAGGCTCTTATATAGAGAAGTCTAATTGAAAACTGTAGTAGGCAGCCCCCAGTATTTACTCCTTTATGTGAGGCAATGAAAAGGAATATATAATATATAGGAATGTGAGGTTTCAAGATGAATTGTTCTCAATTGTGCAGTGGACAAATTCATTGAAAAGTCTCATATCGATAAACAATCGATGAAGAAGGAAAAAGGTCCGGTCAGGTAACAGCAGCTGGAGAAAGACGCCAGGGAGAGGGAGAGAAGGCACTTGAGGCTGTGACACGGAGACGAGAAGACGTCATCTTACTACATTGAAGAGAGGCTTACTACATTGAAGACCAAGAATATCAAGCCGACCGTTCACTTATATATATTCATTTACTATCAGTTGTTAAAATAAATTTGTTTAGTAAGACAGGAGTGAATAGTCATTTTATTTAGTTGTCCTATAGGCCTCACGATTGAAGAATAATAAACAAGGTGAGTCAATTCATTCAAAGTGTATTTACTCAGTCCCACATCATATATATATGTTCTTATTGTTTCTTCTCATTAAGTGTCACAAAAGGTATTAAATTACTGAATTCTCAACAACAGTTAAACATCCTCAAAAAAAGTCTATATCCAGCGACGGTGTAACGAAAAGGAAAATACAAAAAAAAAAAAATTTAGTTTGTAAAACAATTTTTAGTTTTTATAAATAATAATATGTTTTTTTATTAACTCGAAGAGGGTTAAATATATAATTAAGTATTTAGTATTAGTTTTAATAATAAGCAATTGTTTATAATAAGTCTAGTTTTAAGTATTAATTGTAGATATTATTTTCAAGTCAGTGCAACAGAAAACAGCTGATTGGGAGAAAAAACAAAAGACAGTCGAGTTGAGAGAGAGATGGCGGCACCTCGCGAGTATTGAGGCACGCTAAGGATCTTGTGTGTAAAATGTTTTAGTTTTACGGTGTACACCGGATTTTCATTGCTTCTCCAAGAACCTGTGGTCATCAGCGACGAGTGCCGCTTGATTTTACAAGTTGGGGGAATGAACATTTTCACAGCTTGAGGAGATAAATTGGGAAGACACTGACGACGCTATCTGGATTAAGATCCCGATTCCTCAGATAATTCAATGTGCCAATTGGACAAAGTTCGGCATTGAGATTTTGTAAATATGTATATATAAGTCTTTATTTCCTATCTATTTTTTTTTTTAAATGTTTGTAATTGGTTTATTGTATAGTCATAAGTTAATGTTTAGTTCAATAATGATTTTATGTCCTTTTTTTTTATAATTAAAGTTAATAGTATTTTCTTTGTTTTCTTATAAATCTAATTTTATGTTCATAATTTCATTTCCTTTAACAGTTATTTAAATAAATATAAATAAGTAAATCCATCATTAGTATTAATAATAGCCAGTTTTGTTTTCTTATTTTTCTTCTGTTTGTTTTCATGTTTTATGTATATATTATATTGTTTTTTTTTTGTTTTTTTAAAGGTTAAATAAGGAATTGTAAAGCCCTATTCGAGGAATTAGGGAAAGTCATTATTAACCAAGTAGGAAGGTTCGATAGGTTATGAGGTTAATTAACATATGTTTTTAAACCCAAAGGTTCCGAGTTCGTAGCTCACTCCGCGTCCTAATCTTTTTTTTTTTTTTAATTAAATTTATTCAATTTTTTTTTATTTTTGTGGTTTTCACTATTTTCCAAATTCAATAAATTAAATAGTGTGGCGCTCGTTAGAAAATTATTAATATTTAATTGACCCTTCATTAATTTTATTTATTTATTTTTTTTTTTTTCGAACGACCTTTCTAAATTAAAGACCGTAACACCGGGGTTTTGTTTTAATAATCACGAGTGTAAATAACCTAGTTCCCCGATATATAAAAGCGGAAGCCTATTCGCCTATTCCCGCCGAAACAAGTTATTTACATTTAAACGTTATTAGGATATTTACAAATTTCTTATATAAAAACATTCCTTTGACGCCCTCTGCCAATTCAGTTCTTTCTTACTTTACTATTCCAATCATTAAACATAAAATCGTAAGTTGGTACTGACAACCTCTGAAAAGTCACCCGACATCAATTATTTCAGGCGTAGAAATATAAATATAAATTTTTGAGATAACCTCCTCTTCATGCGAGCTGCAGACAGTACCCACACTCCAGTTCAGAATGAATTCCCCAGTTAGGGCCATGAGATCCTTCAAGAAATTAGACTTCGTCGGCACATGGCCTTTCCTCATTAGTTCTTCCAATTTAAGCCGTTCCTCTTCTTTTTGCTGTTCCTCTCTGTCTTTTTCTGCTTCCTAAAAACAAAAGTTATGTATTAGCAGGTTTCAATTTTAACGGTACAAACTACCAAAGAAAAAAAAACAAATCAGAGGAAATGAGAAAATAAATGAATAATAATTTAGTTCTAAGATAACAAATTCCCTGAAAATGTTCCCGGACAAAGGACCATTGGTCTAGCTATATTTTTACATTTGTGTACTTGTCAATTATCAATTAATTGTTACTACATGGTATTCTGTGGCAAAGCATGAAAAACTTCAAACATACTTTAAACATATCAAGGCTGTGATTTGTAAAACTCAAGTTGAGTTTCTTCAATTTATTGGACCTTAATCATAATTTATTACGTCCACTTACCTATATATGTAATATATACTAAGGAAAGATATTAGGGTCATGAAAAATTTCAAATCCGAGTTTTCAATGGAAATAAACGTTTTCAGATCCCCTGAGTCCAGATAACCAAGTTTTGTAAAAATAGTGTGTGCACACACATGATGTGTGTACAGCCCAGCTCAAAAATAAAAACCCCAAAAAACAGAAATTACATATTTAATGTAGATTTAAACTTCAGATGTTACAACTTTCATCCCTATAATTGATTCTACATATTTTTATAATTTTCTCGAAAATACCTCCAACAATTTTAATTAAATTTAATATATCAGTCTAAAATTAAGTTGTCTTAAATATTAAAACAGATATTATTCTCTTTGACATGGTCTGGCATGGCTTAAATGCCAGATTTGCAATATTTTTTCTTCCAAAGTAACTTTGATTGAAATAATTAACCATTTCATTTAGTAACCAAATTAAGTCATCCCAGTATAGTCTAAAGTTTAAGATAGGCTTCCAATGCATCCTTAACACATATTTGTTTGCATCATGAAAATTCATCATTTGTAAATTAAATAAAGAAATAATTTATTTTTGTTTTTTTAATTCTAAATAAATAAATTTCTAATTTTTAACAAACAGAGATGCTGGCATTTTGTGAATAGTAGTTAATATTATATCAAAGATAAAGAGTGTTCAGGCTCCGATAATAATATATACATAAATACTAGGACTGGTATTATTTAATATTTGATTGTATAGATTAAATATAAAACATATTCAAATAATCAAATTCTAGTATTAGATAATACGAATTAGGCAGTTAGTCTCCATGAAAGCAAAAGTAGAGGAACAACAACTCAGGTGGTTGGGACATTTATGGAGAATGCCAGATTCCTATAAGACAAAATGGTATATGGATGCGAAACCTGATAAACGAAGATCTGTGGGACGACCCAGGATGACTTACAGGGAGCACCTGGAAGGGCTGATAAAGATGAGAGGAAAGAAGTGAAGTCAGATGTGCCAAATGGCAGAAGATAGAAATGAAGGAGGAAGTGGACTAAAGCTCACGCTCGACGCTGAAACGCACTAGAGCAAGGGAAAGAAGAAGTATTAGATAATATTGAATTGTATATTGCAGTATAAAAATTTAAATTTGTGTATATATAAATATACAAATTTAAATCAACGTTCAAATAAATAAAAATACATCAATTATGAATAAATATAGCAGCCTTCTTTATCACTAGCACTCTTGGCAGACTAAAAAAAATTGTGTTAATTTTTTATCATAATTAAGAAAATAATTAAAATATACAGTTGTAAAACAAAATGGTAATTAACAAAAAAATGCATACATTTAATAATTAGAGAGGTGGGGAGAACATGTAGTAATTAATTGTTATAAATAATATGTTGTACCGTCTATAATTTTTATTTTTACTTCCCTATGTATGAAAATAGTTATTTCTGGTCAAAGTAATGTAGTAAGTGAAGATATTGTGATGCATGCATCCCGCTAGTCGTATGATAAGGTAATAGTGTCTTAAAAAACATTTTCTTGCAGCCCAGTATGGACTACCTAGACCTGTCATAAATATTGTTACAAGGAAATATATACAGATTTCAACAGAAAAATTAATTTTTTCAAAAACTTTATTAAAAAATAAAATATATATCTATAGAGAGTAAAAAAAAAAAAAAAAATTACTCAAAATGTCCCCGTTTTGTCTTGACACAGGCATTTTATCTCAGTGGCCAATCATCAATAGCAGCACGCAGCACTTCTTGAGGAAAGTGCTCAACTGATCGGACCAGAGATTTTTCGAGACTTCCCAAGTTATGATGTACTCTGCGGCATGCCATCCTCTCTAGTTCGGACCAAAGCAGATAATCCAGTGGGTTGAGATCAGGGCTTCCTGAGGGCCAATCCGAGGCAGAGGTGAACTCAGGAATGTTCTTTTGCAGCCACTGCTGAGCTGACCTGGCCTTGTGAGCTGGAGCGGAATCCTGCTGGAAAACCCAATAACTTCCAGCAAACAGAGTATCATTTAGAGGCTTGACAAAAGGTCGTCCTGAATATCGTCCTGATAATTTTTAGCGGCTGTTTTAACTCATTTTTCACAAAAATGGAGCTATGGTGCCATTAAAGTAAACTCTCCACCAAACCATCACTGAAGGGTGATGACCTCTTTCCACTCTTCCAATGACTTCCTGGGCTTCTTTAGAGCTGCGTGCGTACACACGATCATTTTGACAATTAAATTTTTCTTCAATTGTAAAAACTTTCTCACCGCTAAAGAAAATCTTTCGATGAAGACCATTGGTGTAAAGGCCAAGAAGCACTTTGCATCTATCCACTCAAATCTTTTTTAGGGAAGTGGTTGTTAGCCTTTGTCCTGACATTCTTCAAAATGCATCCATCCTAAGGTCACTTTTTATTATGTGAGAAATTGATCTGACAGAGATTCCTATTTTCCGAGACATGATTTTTTTTTATTTTGAATGGGATTTCTTCTATTTCAAGCAGCCACTGCTCTTACTTAATGCATTTGCCATTCTCACTTCATAGTGCGGGGACAGCCCGGTAGAGGTCTGTCACATACAGATAGAGTCTTATTATATCTATTTATAGTGCAGTGCTCGAACATACGGCTGATATCCAAAGTTTTCAAAGTGTTGAAAATCTCTGACCTATATTTTTCTACTTTGTACAAGGCGATCAAAAGCTATTCGATTTTCTTTATCACCCCACTCCATGTTAACTGAGCCAAAGAAAAATACAAACTAATTGGGATTATTATCCTGACATGTAAAGAAAATAACCTGATAGAGGTAAGGATTATCTAAACAATACCCAAGGACGTAAACAAAGTTCTACTTTTGTAACAGTATTTATGGCAGATTTTATCAAGTAGCCATTCTTGAGGTGAATGTCTTACGTTCTCCATGGCTTGATGTACGTCAAGATGATCACCTGTCATCTTTTCTTCATTGTATAAGGGACATATAAGAGTATCCACAACACAGATTCCATGAAGATGCTGCTCAAGATAGTAACCATCCTAAAGCAAGCGATTGATTGTCCCCAAGACACAACATTTGTATGCAGTCTTTCTAAATTAAAAGGAATGAGCTCTCATTTATTTCCTTCCAGTAATTTTGAGTAGTGTTCCTTTGGCTTTTTCCAATATTTCCGCTGGCTACTCATGTTTGCAAGCTGCAGCATTTTAGATCCTGTCTTGGCCAATTTATCAGCCTCTTTATTCATAAAGTCCACAATGGCTTGATATCCATTTTCCTGTGAGTCTAAAAAAATTGTCTTTTTCTTCTATCATTCTAATTATTTTTCAGGTCAAATTGATAGTTATTAAATAATCTTTATTAGAGTTACATATTTCTCACTCTAATTGGTTACATATCATTATTGTAAAAAAACAACAAGACAAGTGCATTAATAAATACTGATGAAGCCTAAATTAATTCAATTTCAAATTACAGTATTTATTCAATGAAAATCCATCTAAATGTTTGTATTGAATTAATAAAAAAAATATTATATTAAATTAAGAATATTACACGTGTAATTTGTTTCAATACACTTGCCTTTTCTTGAGCATTTTTTTCGTCATCTTCTTTATTAGGACCTTTAGCGAGAATAGCCCGTGCCAATTCAGCGGCTGGAGCATATTGATCGACTGATATCCAAAAGCCAGCAGTAATGAGCTCTGAACCAACCAATGGCAAAGTCGGAATTTGGCCAATCTTCGCATAATTCATTTCAGGGAAATTAGTATTAATATAAGATTTTGGTACACCTGTTATAGGAGGAGAGAAGATTCATCAGAAACACTATAAATATGGTTATAAATTAAAACAATTTAAGATTCGGAATAATAAAATGTTGCATTGATGGTTCAAATTAAGTTTAATATACAACAATATATAAATCCATTACCTTCTGGAATACCAAGTACTCTAGCTGGAGGAATGACTTCTTCTTCTCCAGGCCATTCAGGAACCTCGGTGTAACCAAACTGCTTTGTATAATCATACCATGATCTTATGAAAGCTCTGGATCAACGAAGGTTAAATTGACTATTTTAAAATTAGACATTTCTTTATTTTGAAATTAGTACAGCCCTAATGCAGATAAAGTGAATTTAGAGGACTCAATCTAGCTATAATATAATATACCCGAATCTAGCTATCTATCTATCACAATGTTACAAGTCAGGGACGAGTCTTAGCCTCCTTCACCAGCTTCCTACAGTCATTTCTATTCTGTGCAGCCATCATCCAACTCCTGACTCCCAAGACATCGAATCTCTTGCCACACCATCTGACCATCTTAGTTTTGGTGTCTTTCTTCTTCTTGTTGTGGCGTAGAGAGGTTCTGTCAGGATCATCTTGGGGATTGCTTCATTCTCCATCCTTGCCACGTGGCCAGCCCATCTCAGCCTTCCAAGCTTCATCCTTAGAACGACTTCTTGATCGTTAAAAATCAAGTAAATTTTGGCATTTGTCCACCTTCTACAGTTTCCATCGATCTGTAATACTCTTTGAAGAATTTTTCTCTCAAAGATTATAAGGGAGGTCTTGCTCAATTCTTTTAGTTGTCGTTCATGTTTCTGATGCATATAGCAGTACTGGGCGGATTAATATTTTGTAGAGATGTAACTTGTTCTGTCGGGATAGAAGGTGAGAGATGCATTCCTTGTAAAGGGCAAAGTAACACTTGTTAGCCATCAATATTCTTTTCTTGACCTCGACCTCAGGTGTTACCAGTGACCCCAAATACTTGAACTTTCTCAAAGCCAATTTTGATGGTCTCGCCTGGTCGAGGGACTTCTCCTGTGGCCATATATTTAGTTTTTCCTTCATTCACTTCTAACCCAAGTGCTCTGGCGGCTTCCAACAAAGCTAAAGCTCCCTCTATTACAGACTGCAATGATCGCCCCACGATGTCCACATCATCCACATAGGCTAATAGCTGAACCATCCGATTGTAAATAGTCCCATTAGTTTGCAGACCAGAATTCCTCACTGCCTTCTTAAGTGCCATGTTAAACAGAAGGCATGGTAACGCATCACCTTTGCCGAAGTCCTTTTGCTGAGAACTCTGCTGTCCTTCGACAGTACACTTTACATCTCTTATGGTCAGCTTTATCAGTCATAATAGCTTATCAGAGATATTGAATTCTTCAAGTGCCTTGTATAGTTCTTCCCGGATAATGCTATCGTAAGCTGCCTTGAAGTCAACGAAAAGATCCTCTCTCTAGGATTGATCTGAGGCAGAATATTTGGTCTGTCGTAGATCTTCCTTGTCTAAATCCACATTGGTAGGGATCAAGCTTCTGCTCTGCAAAGGGTAGAAGACGATGGAACAGGATGTCAGATAAAATGTTATATCCAGAAGAGAGAAGAGAGATACCCCTGTAATTTTTACACTGGAGTTTGAGTTGAAGATAGGACATATAACCGATTTTTTCTAGTCTTCCGGCAAAACCTCTTCCTCCCAAATGGGCAAGACTAGATTCTGGAACCTTTTAATCAGTTCCTCACCTCCGTTCCCGAAGAGTTCAGCAGGCAGGTCATCAGCTTCAGGTGCATTATTATTCTTTAACCGATTAATGGCATCCATTCTTTCTCCATCATCAGGTGGTTCAAGGTCTGATCCCTGGTTCCTGACATTCAGTAACAAGTCTTGTTTCGGATCCAGTGTCTGTTCCACAGGGGGCTGAGTTGAGAAGCTCATCAAAATGGCTTTTCCATAACAATAAGACATTACCCTTGCAGGCCACTATATTCCCATCCTTGTCTCTACAAGTTTCAGGTACTTTTCTTTGAGGTCTTCTCTTCCTACTGATGATCTTGAAAAAGTCCCTAGATTTTTTCTCCTTTCAGTGTTTTTCAGCCCTCTCCAATTCATCCTTCTCTCTCTGTCTTTTCTTTCTGTAATGAAGTAGCTTTTCCTCCCTCCTCTTCTTTTGATATTCCTCGACAGCTCTCCGAGTCCTCTTTCTCAACATATTCTTGTATGCTACATTCTTCATATTAGTGGCTGCCTCATATTCTCCGTAAAACTATAGTGTCCTTATCTCCTTTTCTCTCAGTCCTAGTACATTATTAGCAATTTCTTGCATTATGGTCACAAAGCTGAACCAGAGGGATTCTATGTTTTCCGTATTTACGACCTGAGCACAGAGATTCTCATCTAGTTGCTCAGTGTACAGCTGTTTCACATCTGGCTCCTGCAGCTTTCCAAGGTTATAGTGCTTAGATTTTATTACTGGTCCTCCAGACCTTTTGAAGGAGATCCCAGGAGTAATGTGGACAATGCACAAAAGTAGTCGGAATCCACATTGACGCTTCGAAATGTTCTCACGTTTTGGAAGCTGGACTTGTGCCTTTTACCAACAAGGATAAGATCTATTTGATTAACGTGTTCCCTATCTGGTGTTGTCCAGGTGCCTTTATGAATATCCTTGTGTGTGAAAAGAGTACTTCCAACGATCATGTCCCTGGAGATAGCAAAGTTAATAAGCCTAGTTTCATTATCATTAGATTGATCATGGAGACTATGTTTGCCGATGGTTGGGATGCATACCTCTTCTTTACCTATTTTCGCATTACAGTCTCCAGCAATTATTTTCGTATCATACCTTGGGCACTGATCATGAGTTCGTTTGAGTTGTTCATAAAAGGCATCCTTATCTTCCTCACTCGAAGTTTCTGTCGGAGCATGCACACTAATAATACTGTAATTATAAAACTTTCCATGAATCCTTAGCACACAGATACGGGGGTTTACAGGCTTAAATCCAATGACTAGTTGCCTATATTGCCCTCTAACAACAAATCCTACTCCATATTCGTGGAAGGTATCACTGCAGCTATAATATATGGTGTGTCGCCTATTTTCAAGAGTATCCTGGCCAATCCATCTGATCTCCTGGATGGCAACTATGTCCAGTTTGAAATGGTCGATTTGATCAAGGAGCAGTTTCAGTGCTCTGGGTCTATAGAATGAAAGAACGTTCCAGTATCCGAGATTAAAAGTCCTATAAGGATTGCTAGGTTGTTTCCGTTTGTGACGATCGATATCCGAGGCTGACTTTGGTTTAGGTGAAACATAAGCTTCAGGTAGTGGGGCTTCTAACTCTCACTCCTTACCCTAGTATACTGGTGGGACTGCCACGTTGGTGCTTGTATACCTGCACCCCCGTGCGAGGAGACTACCTAGGGGAGGTGACCCTAGGGTGTGTAATGTATGTGACCTTAGTATATAGTGTGGGGGTGAGTGTAGTGTGCTGTAATTAGTGTAGATGTGTGAGTGTCAGTGTACTGTTCCCCCAACTTGGAGGGCCAGTGGTTATTTGCAATGCTACGACTAGGCGATGAGGCCACTACCTCCTTACACTACTCTCTGAATTTAACTCAAAAAAATATTTATTATCAATCTAAGTGTGAAATAAAATTAAAAGGTTAAGAGATCAATTATAATGATATTTAAAAAAAATATTTTTAGCATTAACTTTTAATATTTTGGTGATTTTTCCTATATTTAGTGAAATTTAAATAATAGTAAAAATTGATTTTTTAAGAAACAATAATAATTAACATTAACCAAATATGAAAAATTCTAATTTTTATTAAACTAAATTTAGTATTATAAAGGTTTTGTTTTTGAAATTATAAAAATAATAAATGTACAACAATCTACCCAGTTCCAGTTTCCCCTAGTACGATACCAAAAAAATTAATGAAACTAAGATAGGGCCATAACGTTTAGGGCCTTATTAATGACAAAATTTTGAATGAAACTAAGATAGGGCCATAAGGTTTAGGGCCTTATTAATGACAAAATTATGAATGAAACTAAGATAGGGCCATAAGGTTTAGGACCTTATTAATGACAAAATTATGAATGAAACTAAGATAGAGCCATAAGGTTTAGGGCCTTATTAATGACCAAATTATGCTGTGTTATTAAATACAACACCATATCTTGGAAAACTGGTGATTAGAAGCCTGAATAAACGAGAATTATAAATACCTAAGTTCAATCACCATGTCCTCCATGATCTCATATTTCTTCATGTGTTGGATTTCCTTGCTTATATCCTGTTCTTTCTTTTCTAATTCTAATTCTAATATTTTCTGTAATTGTTTCCTGTCTTCTAATAATGATTTTATTTCATTTATAACAGTTCTGTCTCGGTACGATGCCATCAATGTACCTATTAGAAAATATCACTTGTTTAGTTTCCGTATGTTAGCATACTGATAGGGTACATAAAAAAAAAAAAAAAATTAACCGTTTTTCAACCAAATATTTATATTATCATTTCTTTGATATAAAATACAATTAATGCTCGAAGTATAGTCCATTTTTATCTACCGTCATTAGCCATCTGCTAGCCAATCGCTCAAGAAAATGGGCCATGGATCTGCATAAGTAATAATTAGATGGTGCGAGGTCTGGACTATATGGTAGATGAGGCAGAAGTCTCATATCAGAAGGGTTTTAAAATGAATTTTCACAAATTTCTAATCTCATAGCTGATTGCTGAGAAGTAAGTTCGTGAGGGACCAGTCTATTACTCTTTTTCACCTTCCCCATGGCGACTAATAGAATCTTTCGACACAACACACTCCCTGGCAAGTTCGCGAGTACCCTCTAGAGGCAGGGTGGTCAAATAGACTAACGTGTGTGCAAAGCACCGCTGTTGCCCGGCAACCAAGGGACCTATATCCCAGAATAAAGTTATTTTATATCTATATATCTACATATGTTATTTATTTAATTTTTTTCTTGGCACACTTTTATGTTTTTATTACTGGGTGATTCCATGTCAGTTAAACACAAGGTCTGAAACTCAACACTAATTTTCTTGAAATTAGGCGCAGTTGTACTATTAGATACTTTGAGATGGTGAGGTCAGACCTTGTGTTGTATTGAAATGGAATGACCCTACTAATATGTTTATTTCATGTGTACTTTCCATCTTTAATCTAGCCTTATTTACATAATTATATTTATATATTTTTTATTTACCCCTGACAATGACCCACACGCTTGAGGTAAAACATTAGAACGCCTGATTAACCATATTAAGGCTGCATATCCTCATTATTTGTCATCCTCAATAAATAATTTCTATTTCGATTAGACATTACATTTTATATATACATATATATATATATTTTTTTTTTACTTTCAACTTACCTACATGTGAATTATATAGTAAGGGAGAGTATTGCAATCGTGAACATTTTCTAATCTGAGTTTTCAATGGAAATACATGTTTTGAGGTCTCCGAGATCCAAATAATCAAGTCCTGCAAAATGGTCTGTGTGTGTATGTGAGAGTGTGTGTGTCTGTATGTGACAGGTCCAGCTCAAAAACGAATGAAAGTGATATTGCGTATTTAAGGTTTGTATATACCTGAGATGTTACAGCAACTTTTTTTGTCAAAATCGGTAAACAGGAAGTGGCACTTTATATCATCGATGAAACACATTTTTACTATTTTCTCGAAAACGGCTCCAACGGTTTAGATTAAATTCATTATATCAGTATACAATTAATCAGTTTTAAATATAATGTAGGTTTTATTCTGATTGATATTCTCTAATAGGGCTTAAATAGATAATTTTCAATATTAGCTTCCTTTACAGTACCTTTAATTTTTTTTATTTGTTACAATTAACCATTTCACATTGATCTCTAATATAAAAAATAGTTAAATATAAAATATGAAAGAATTTGATAATTAACTAAAGGAGAAATAAAAGATCGTAACGGATAATGGTTGATATGGACGAACCAAAGAAATACGAGCGTACCCGAGCTCGCCTGAATGATTATAACAAGTTTCCATAGTAACAAGAGCTTAATATAATACGGACTCTGACAATAGTATGTACATATACATATGCGGTTTTCCTAAATGTTTTCTTTGGTATTATTTAATATTTAAATGCATAGATTACAGTGATATAAATATTAAAATTTAAATATATGAGGGTACTTAAACAAATAAAAATATCCACAATGAAATAAAAATCAATATAGCGTTTATAATTTTTATTTTTACTTTCACTTCTCCTTTGTCTGAAAATACTTATTTTTGATAAGAAGAGGGTGGTAAGTGAAAGTTGTGATATGCGCACCGCTATTACACTAGATCTTTTTTATGAAAATTGGTAACATTTAGAAAAAAATAGAGCTGGAAATAGTTATAATTTAATTAGTATTGTTAAAAATACCATACATATTTTTATTTTTATTTTATTTAGAAAATGCTGTGGTCATAGATTTGTGTGGTGTACTTAAAAAATACACCTAAACGCAATTGATCTAAAGACATAACACAACTGTGCTGCTTTTTTTCAAATTGCCATTGGAATCAGTTGGCTGTCTATAATCAGTTATAATCTGTGTTTCAGAAATCCATTTACAGTATGATTGAAGTGATCTTGGTCCAGCCACCATATTAAGGGTTAATTATTTATGAATATAACTGTCATTAACATATTATTGTATAAGAAATCTGGACACTCCCAGGTTGGAGAAGACTTATTAGAAATTTCAGTCACGGTTTTGCAAAAAGTATCAACTGTCCCACTGGTCAGAATTTCACTAAAATAACAGCTGACTGTATCAGGGAGAAAGAGCAGTGTTAAAATAAATAATTTCTGATCTACTACTTAATAATTTGCTATTTAAATTTTTTTCCCAAATTAAATTCTTATAACAAATTCAATGGTGAGCTAAATTGAAATATATTTATGTCCTAACTCCCAGTCTGAGGTAGTTTTCAATAGAAGTAGCTGGTATATAACAAATAAATACTAAGATATCCTAAATCCACAAAGAATTCATGGGTTGAACATATTCTTTTTGATCTTGAAGTCCTTGCCACTATAAATAACCTGTTTGTCAGGGGTCTAGGTTATTTACACTCGTGAATTTAATTTTCATAAAACAAAACCCCGGCACTGGATATAAACTTTTTGAGGATGTACAACTGTTGTTAGGAATTTGGGAACCTAATGCTTTTGTGACACTGAGTGACAAGAAATAATAAGAAAATATATATTTATATATGAAATGTGGGACTGAATAAATACACTTTAAATGAATTGACACACCTGGTTTGTTATTCTTCAATTATGAGACATATAGGACAACTAAATAAAAGGACTATCCACTCCTGTATAACGAAATAATTTATTTCCACAACTGTAATCAATTTAATTTATTAGAAAGCTTGTCCATCCACCACAGCACTGTCTTGGGAAACCATACTTTTCAAGCTGTATCAAGCTTCACCTACCTCGGGTCCATAATTAACAACAGCAATAACGAAGAGGAGGAGATAGGAGCTAGAATAATGGCTGCCAACAGAGCGTACTTTTCTCTAGTGAGCCTTCTGAAAAGTAGATTGTTAAGTCGTGCAACGAAGTTTATGATATACAAAATGATTATTCGGCCAGTTACAACATATGCGTGTGAAACATGGACTCTAACAAAGGCATCTGCTGAACGAATAGATCGGTTTGAAAGGAAAATACTAAGACGGATAATAGGACATAAACTGGAGGAAGGAATTCCCCACTAGAGAACAAACAAGGAGGTATACTTTCGCTCAAATGGTTAGGACATGTTCTGAGAATGGATGAAGCGAGGACAGCGAGAAGGCTCTATCATAGGAAGCCAGAGGGAGATAGGTCTAGGGAAAGACCGAAGGCAAGATGGATAGATAACGTGAAAGAAGACTTGAGAAAAAACGGCATATCCATCAGGTGCGCAGCCAACAGGTATGATTGGGCAAAGGAAATTGTTGTGCCAATAATGAATGAATGAATGAATAAATTTAATAAATGAGTTGATCTTAATCTTCAGTGGAATGGGCTTCTCTTCAGCCATCATGTAGCCATCTCTCCATGTCCATGCCTCAAGTGAGTTCTTCTTTCTTCCTCCACGTCTGGCTGCTGCCACCTACCGGCCACTTTTTCAGGCTTCCTTTCTTTGTTCTGTACCTTTTTCGTCAATTGTTTATCGATTTGATACTTTTCAATAAACAACTTGTCCACTGCACAATTGAGTACAATTCATAGTGCAACCGCACATTCTTATACTATGAATTCTTCTCATTCCTTCACTCAATGTCACACGAAGGAGTGAATAGAGGCCATCAACTACACCACCAAAGAAGAGGACCTTAAATCTGATTCACCCTTGACATAGCTCTAATCCCAATGAATTACTTTTACTAACTAAACTTACTATGTAATTTATTTATGTTTCATAAACTAATAATTTAATCAGAATGCACTCACCATATTTCAAGCCTTCATAGGTATTTAAATATTTTCTCCATTGCCTGTTTTTATATGTCATATAATAACTTTGAATAGTTTCAGCAGCTTTAAAAGAAACATCTTCAGGAATCTCTTTATAAATATGATATGCTTTGTCATTGTTTATTCGTATTTTTTCTTTCTCTAAAGAAAAAATATAATAAATAAATAAAAATTGATTTTCACTGTCTTCAAAATTAAGAGGATATTAAATAATCTATGTTTCAAAAAAAAAAAACTATTTAAAATTCTAATAATTAATAAAAAAAATATATTCGTTTGTCTACAAATAATGACTAATTAATAAATAAAACCTGGATATCTTTCAATATGACTTATTTACTCAATTCAATGGTGTATGAATACAAATGGCATATAAAATATAGTAAAATTATATAATAATTACATAAAGACTTACAAATTATAACATAAATTTATATTTTTGAAAAGTGACGAAACACACAAGCAAGCGCTTATCATTTCTTTGTATTCAGTGATGCCAACTATACCAACATTTATTAACCATATAAAATTTATTTTAACTTTCGAAAAAAATTAAATTTTTCTAGTTGAAACATATTTTTTTACTATCTTAATTTAACTTCTTAACTACTTAAATTGAAAGAAAAATATGATATCATTAAAAAATATTTATTAACCTCATTAGACAAAAAGTTGAAATTATTGCAAATTACAAATTAAATTTTGAAGGCTAAGTCTTATGATTGAGAATTTTTTTTTAATTAATATTTTTAACTAAATCAAACTTTATTTAAACTATATAAAATGTGTTTGCTTACCTCTAGTAGTTCTTAACCTGCCAAATCTCGCCCTTTCATGTCTCTGTATAAGCAGTATTTCTTTCAAAAATTCCTGTAAAAATAATGTTTAAATCAATTTAATTATTTCTATACATTAAAATAAATAATAAAATGCAACAAAATTTACATGCTCATCTTCAGCTTTTGGAAACTGTGGCCTTTTTGAAACAATAGCGCTAAGGCTTATTCTTCGCTGGCTTTCCCTTGAGAGACTGGCCATCGTTGTAAGCCTTGTTTTTTCTATATCCAAGATAAAAAAAAAAATTAAAAGTATTAAATTATTTCAAAAGAAAATATTATTATATATTTTTTTATTGATATCCCTACCTCGCTGGCATACGAGAACTTGTTCTAGAGGGACAACCGAACCTATTCTGGCCAGAGTGGAAAGTTTACGTTTTAACACACTCGACCATCTCAATGGTATTATTATATATCTGTTTACTGTATATCTTAGGAGCTGACTTTCCATTTTGATTGAAAGGGTGATGAACCTTCCCCCACCAAAAAAATGACAGTAGTTTATATTATGTGTAAAAACTCAACATAGTTATTGTGAATCGAACGGGGGCAGCCTTTATAACACAGGTACATTTCTATAAGATTTCCAACTAAAAATAAATTATTGTGGGTTGATGGCTGACTGTAGTGAATAATTGAAGAGAAGGATGGCTGAGGTGGTCAGTCAAAATATTTTATTAAAAGGCTTAGCGAACCCGAAGGTTCGATGCCGACACCACCAATCGCTTATTACACACCTCCCTCCACCGTTCGCCGTCCAAACCCAGTCCCTTCAGATCGGCTTTAATGCAATCTTCCCACCTCCGCTTCGGTCTACCCCTCGGACGCTTACCATTCCGCACAGCAAATATTAATCTTTTAGGAATTTTCTCATTACTAAGCCCAACAACTTTACAAGCCCATTTGATTCGCCGCGACAAAATTACGTCAATTATATTACCCGGATACAGTTCACGCAATTCGGCGTTGTGTAACCGTCTGAACTCTCCGGTTAACTCATCCTTCTTCGGTCCGAATATTCTACGCAATACTTTATTTTCAAAAATCTTAAGACGCTGCTCATCCCTTAATGTAAGCGGCCAAGTTTCGGATCCATAAAGAACTGTAGGCAAGATAATTGTTTTATAGATTCTAATTTTTAAGTTCCGGGACAAGAGGCGCAAACTGAGTAGTTTTGTCACAGAAAAATAACAAGCATTTCCCACCTTCAGTCTAACCTTAATCTCTTCTTCAATTTCATTTTTTCTAGTTATCGTAGAACCTAGATACCTAAATTTATCTACCTGTTCAAACATATTACCATCTATATCGATGTCACCAGTAGTATCGCCATTTTTGAAGCTAACCATATATTTTGTTTTATCCACGTTTATTTCGAGTTCTAGTTCTTTACCGGCTTTCATTAACGTTGTCGTATTTAGTTTTATAGTTTCAACGTCTTCGCTTAACAGTACCAGATCATCAGCATAGCCCAGCACGGATGTTGTCCCACCCAGATCCAACCCTATCTCGGTACGCATTACCTCCCTAATGGCATGTTCTAATGCCAAATTGAACAGTACAGGCGAAAGGGAATCCCCCTGTTTTAAACCCGAGCGAACCTCAAATTTTTCTGACAGATTATTACCGATTCTTTATTGAGTGTCTCTGTCAAGCATATCCTGACTAGATTTACTAGTTTTTTTGGAATCCCCTGCTCGATTAGAATATTATACAGTTTCTGGCGGTCAATAGAATCGTAAGCCTTTTTAAAATCTATATACAGCTGGTGAACAATACCGTTGTACTCCAATTTTTTCTCTAATATTTGCCGTAAAGAAAATATTTGATCAATAGTTTAACGATTCCGTCTAAATCTGCATTGGTAGTCTCCGATAATTTCCTCGGCGTATTCCGTGATTCGACTTGTTAAGATTAAAGTGAATATTTTATAACATACCGGAAGGAGTGAAATTCCTCGATAGTTATTACAATCCGTCCTCGGGCCCTTTTTGTGAATCGGAATAAGAATAGATTCTTTCCATTCTTCAGGTAATTTCTCATTCACCCAGATCTTTTTAACCAGCCGGTGTATTTTAGAAACTCCAGCTTCCCCGCAATTAGTTCAGTAGGAATATTATCGGTTCCCGCCGCTTTATAAGATTTTAATTTTCCGATAGCTACTTCAACTTCCTCTTTACTTGGTCCTTCTATTAACGGTTCGGCACTCTGGTACTCAGAAGGAGGATACAGATCATAATTTCCCGTAGTTAAAATATTGTCAAAGTGGTCTTTAAACTTATTCAATATGTCAACCGGATCAGTCAGAATATTGTTATTATCATCCCTGATTCCAGACATTACGGGCCCTACACATTTTCGTGATCTGTTTATACCTTTGTACATGTCTCTTACGTTCTTCTCGATTCTATTTCAATTATTTTATTTTTAAGATACTCCCTTTTTTTATTTTTGAGCAATTTTGTCGTTTCGTTCTTTGAGGTTCGGAAGTATTCCAGATTGTCTTCGCTAGGATTATTTAGAGTTTTTAATATAGCGGCTTTTCTTTTTTCGCACATGTTTAAGCAATCTTCATCAAACCACGGTTTGTTATTCTTATTCTCCTTTTTTCCTAGACACGAGTTACCGACCGCTTTAATATTATACCTGATCTCTATCCATAACTTGTCAATATCCTCGTGGTCCTCGTCAGGAAGCTCTAAAGCTTCAAACCTATTCTTAACATCTAGCTCGAATTGGGTTCTAATTGATGGATTTTTTAATTTTTCCAAATTAAAATTCTCAAAATCGAAACGGTTTTCTTTTCTCTTTTTTACATTAAGTTTTTGTCGAAGTTTCGCGATTACTAATTCATGATCCGACCCACATTCTGCTCCGCGATAAGACTGTACATTAATTATACTGCTTTGCCAGTTATGTTGTATCAAGACATGATCGATTTGATTTTGTGTTTGCGAATCCGGTGATGTCCAAGTATATTTATGAATATCCTTATGTTTAAACATCGTACTTTTAATTATCAGGTTTTTCGAGATGGCAAAGTTTATCAGACGGATGCCATTATCATTACTATATTCGTGCAATCTTTCTTTACCAATCGTCGGAATATAAACTTCTTCCCTTCCTACTTTTGCGTTCGCGTCACTTACAATTATTTTCATGTAGTTTCGCGGTAGTTTATCATAAACCCATTCGAGTTTATCGTAAAATTCACTTTTGACTTCATCGTCACTGTCTTCGGTCGGACAATGTATATTTATTAATGCGATTTTAAACCAACGTCCCTGAAATATAGCTACCGAAATTCTATCACTAAAGAATTGTACGTCCCTCAAAGCGGATAGTAATCTACTCCTAATTAGAAACCCGGTACCTAAACAATGATTCCCGCTTCCTCCATACCAAATAGTGTACTTTCCTTCCCTCATCGAGCCTTCCCCTGGCCAACGAACCTCTTGCAGAGCCACGACATCCAAATTGTACCCATTTACCTCATTCGCGACCGATTTTAGCCCCCCTGCTGTGTTTAAACTCCTTACGTTCTAAGTACCAATATTTAAATTCCTTTGTGTGTATGTGGCTAAAGTGCTCTCGACCAATCTCCGCTGGCTTTAGTACCAGTGACGCGGTTGGGAGAGTAGCGCAGGGTTCTCCTGGAGTTCCCTCGCCTGATTGTATATAGGTATGCATGTGTTTTTTTTTTTTTTTTTGTTTTTTTTCCCTTAGTTTTAATTTTCTTATTTTTTTAGGTTATTTTATTTTATTGTCTATTGTATATACTTTTGATTATTATTTTGTTCTATTTATTTTATTTTTTTGTACATATGGTGTGAATGTCATCCTACCTCACTATAACCAATGTCCAACAGACAGATTGTTATAATACTCAATAAAGAAATTTAAAAAAAAAAAATTTAAATTCCTATATTTCAACTTGCGCCATGAATCCCCTAAAGCAGTCCCCACCCGGAGACCCGAACGGGGGACTAGTTTACCTCCGGATAATGAGCGTTTTACCTTCGGTAGATCCTTTAGAGGCTCCTTAGCCCATATTTATGTCTTTCTGTATTATTCTAAAGGGACTCGTCCCAGAATAAATAAAGTATTATTATTATTATTACTCCCCAGATCTTTCAACAACTTCCATCCGAAGCAGTCATATTCCTTACATATATCTATAATTGCATCCAACGCACCACCCATTTCCCTCTATTATGTAACCATTCTACTGTTATCCTATTCCCAAAACCAGGCAGATCTCCCAACAGCTTGACATCCTACAGACCAATTAGCCTTTTCCCAATTCTTTGAAAATATCCTTTTGAAAAGAATCCTACCCATTATAGAATCCCAAAATATCCCTTCCCATCAGTTTGGTTTTCGCTCTCAACATTCTACTGTTCAACAAGGACTCCGAATTATTGATCATATTTCCTCAGCCCTACAAAACAAGGAATACTGTTCTGGTGCATATCTGGACATTTGACTGGGTATGGCACGCTGGATTGCTCTTCAAGCTTAAAATCCATTTACCTCAGTACCTTGTACCTAGTCCTCCGATCCTACCTCTCTAACCGCTCCTTTCGAGTTCGCTGCGGAACAGAATTTTCCAATATACATCCCGGTGAAGCCAGTGTTCTCCAAGGCAGCGTCTTGGGTCCAGTGCTTTACATCCTCTTTATTGCTGACATCCCTGTTCATCCCAACACCTTCCTTGCAACATTTGCTGATGACATCCCAACCTTATCATCCAACTCTAATCCTGAAATAGCATCCTCAAATCTGCAAAGGCAAATTTCCTTGATTAAGCACTGGCATAATAACTGGAGTATTAAAGTGAATGAATCCAAATGCCAACATATTACGTTTACTCTTTGACGCAACTCCTGTCTACCAGTACACTTTAATTCCACTCAGCTTCCTTTCTCAGACACAGTCCGGTATATTGGCTTTATTTTAGACCAAGAGAAGAACATAACCGACGATACGACCAACTATACAGGCTACTGAACTGAAAATCTAAACTTTCTATTGAAAACAAATTACTTATCTAAAAGAAAATCCTATATAGACATACGGACTTGAATAGTGGAGGACAGCAAGATTTTTTAACATCAGACGCGTCCAAATCTTTCATTCTAAAAAAGTTCTTCGAACAATAGTTGATGTTCCATTCTATATAATCAACAAAACCATACACCATAACCTTAATATCCCAATTGTCTTAGATCTTATCCCAGGAAAATTCTCAACATTTCATCAGAACCTTACAAATCATCCAAATCCTCTTGCATAATCCCTTTCTAGCTCTACCCATTTCTACAATCCTCCTAGAAGGTTGAAGCAGCAGTGACCCAGAGACTTTTTGTGAATAAGTATACATTAGAGTTTTGGCAATGGCCAGATTCTCTACTCAAGCCATGTATGTGTGATTATTGCACCTCTGCTCAGCCCCTACTGGTCCTTAATACCAGTAATGCGACTGAGTAAGAGGTACTGGAATCTCCTAGAGTTCTGCCTTTCCTTCCACGGGTGGGGAGAAAGGCTTGGCTCGCAGATCTTGGGTGAATGAATGTTTTTTAGTTATTGTATAGAAGCATGTGTGTATTTAGGTAGTTATTATGATTAGTTTAATTTATTTTTGTTTAGTTTAGTTTATATACATTTACTTTTCGTATTATTAATTTTCTGTATTATTTATTGTAAATAGAGTGTGAATGTGCTCTCTCAACACTATTATAAATGTCCTTAATTGTGACGGGTTGTAATATTTCTGCATAAATAAATTTTTAAAAAAAAATTACATATACTGTTTCCAAAATTTCATTATTGATAACATTATTCAATATATACTAAGTCAATACACTAAAAAAAAAAAAAAAAAAAAAGAAATGAAAATCATTTGACAAACAGAGGAAAAAAGATAAAAACAAAATATAACCATATTTACACCTCTCCATATTACCAGGTTCATCAAGATCTTGCTGGATAGACAACCTCCCTTTGCTTCCCCTCGCTATAGAAGAGCCACGAACACGAGTGGAAGAACGCCTCTCCTCCATCTCTTCTGGTTCTTCATCAGGCACTATAAATTCCTCAGGGTGTTCTGAAAATATCACCTTGCTTTAATGAAAATATTAACAATAATAATTTTTTTTTAAATTTACCAAAAATATTTTATGATAAAAGCACAAGTAGCTCACATGTTTAAGGGAATTTCTTTGAATTTTTAGATGTAAAAACTTAAATATTATTGTTTTAGTATTTTTCTTGGATTCGTCTAATAGAACTACTTCTCACCTTAACAAGACATATTTCAAATCCATGAAACATTTATCTCAATTTTAAAAAATTAATATTAAGAGAATAGTTTTGTTGTACCAATAGCTGGCAGGGATGAGAACAAGGATGTACTTCAGCGAAATTTCATATTCTTCATTTTAAGATTAACAAAAATTAACTTTAAATTATTATAATTGTACTCCGATCCACATATTTTCCGGACCCTTGGAAACTATCCATTATCAAAATGATACATAAACCCAAAAAGCCACCAGAATACCCATCCTCTTACTGTCCTATCTCTCTTTTACCTATCATGGCCAAAGTCCTAGAAAACTCACCCTAAAACGCCTGTACCCAATCCTAGATTCTAATCACATAACCCCAGATCACCATTTTGGATTCCTCAGATCCCATTCCACTATCCAGCAATGCCATTATGTGGTGGATGTTGTCTCCTCTGCGTTAGAGCGCGGAAAGTACTGCACGGGAGTCTTTCTCGATGTAGAACAGGCTTTTGATCGAGTCTGGCACCCGGGACTACTTTACAAACTCTGTAAATTCCTACATCCTACATACTTCCTCATTATCCGTTCCTATCTAACTGATAGATACTTCAAAGTAAATCACAATAATACTTATTCATTCCTCTTTTCTCAGTCCGCTGGTGTTCCTCAAGGTAGTATCCTTGGTCCTATCCTTTACACAGTTTATACAACTGACATCCTAACACTATTATTACCATGTATGCCGATGATACATGAGTCCTATCCGTTAATAATGACCCAACCATTGCATCCCAAACTCTTCAATCACACATCACAAGCCTTGAAGAATGGTGTCAAAACTGGAGGATTAAAATAAATTCTAACAAATCCCATCAAATCACCTTTACCCCTCGACGTAAGCCTATGACCTCATGTCCCACAGTATCCTTTAATAATACCCCACTTATCCCTGTTGAACAAATCTGATACCTTGGACTCCACTTGGACAAACGTCTAACTTGGAATCCTCATACAAGACTGAAACGACAAGAAACCGCTCGACGTTTCCGACTACTCCAACACTTACTAGACAAAAGCTCTAAGCTTCCAGTTAATTACAAAAGACTCATATACATGACTTCAATAAGACCTATTTGGACTTACGGAGTTGAGCTTTGGGGCTCCACTAAGCCATCAAATTCCTCTCGTATCCAATACTTACAATCCAAAATCCTTCGGCAAATCCTCAATGCTCCTTACTTTGTCACCAATAAAATAATCCATAATGACCTTAATGTTCCTTATGTTTCTGATTTGGCCCAATCCAGATACCAATCCTTCCTTAATAAACTTCAGAACCATCCGAATCCTCTCGTCTCTAACCTTGCTTCCTCTTCTGATCCTGATAACCCTCCGAGGGGTCTGAAAAGAAGATGGCCTCGAGATCTCTTATTGTAAATACATTTTCTTTTTAGAGTGCTACCAGTGGATAGTTTCTCAACAAGTGATTTCATGTTATTATTTTCTGTTATCAAATTTACTAAATGTATTTTATTTATTTATACAGTTGTAAATATCATGAATAAATAAAAAAATTGAAAAAAATTATTATAAAACTAACTTCTTGCATTTCCCGACTTAAATTTATCAATAAATGCTGATCACTGTCAAGAATCTGTTATTGGCAATAGGAAAAACTGTTTTTGCTTTATATTTAATCCAAATCATTAGCAATTTTTTTTAACCAGGTAATAGTGAACGGTTATATTAAGTATATCTCTTAGAATTTATGAGATTACAAGCTTGTAAGCAACTAGCGAAACAGCCCACTATAAGGTCCCATTAAATATCCAATTCCTTCATCAACATAAATTAAAAACAGATAAAACATAATTTAAAACCAATCAAACGAAAATTTTGGGATAAATCGGAGTAGTTAGAGAGAAAAAGGCAAACATAAGGTATGGTGCTCTTACTGACAGATAGTTGTTCCTGGGACACTAAATAGACTCAGAGGGACCTCTCTAATTTGCCATTCATTATTTCAGTTGCGATTTCCAGCAAGACTAAAGTAAAGCAGACAAATATACAAAGAGAAAATATAGAAACTAAAAATAATATTATTCCTGTTTTTCGAGAAGGATGTAACGTATTGGTATAAAGTCAGCTACTGATGGTTTTAACTTACATAAAACATATGTTGAAGCAACAAGACATTGTTTCAATTAATACAAATATGGCAAAAATTGGATACAAGAAAATAATAATTAACTCTGTTATAATTTTATACATTAAGAAGTTGGTTATTGAAACTATCAATATATAAACACTTAAGTATTGCCTTTTATATGACGAATTAAAACGAAATACTTAATCAAACAACCAGATCTTTAAGGTGAAGTGGAGGCTTCCTCCAAAGTGGTAAAATATAACCATGTCTTATAAATAAAATATTAAAAAAATATCTCTAAAAGTATTGATGTTCGTGTAATTACCTTTAATAGGACTTCAAGAATTACTTAAAAACTTTTACATATATGTAGTTAATTTCTTTTCTTTTTCTTCAAAAGTAATAATCGTTTTATATCAGGGTTAAGTGGCCAAACTGAAAATATGAATTAAGGACCTCAAAACAAGGAAATAAAATCCTCTGAAAGTATGTCCGCTGACGCTTTGTTTAGGAGATAATACACACCTAAAGATTTTCATTGTATTTCATTGAACGTGGAGATAAAGATAGACTTGTTTGGTAATCATCTATACGGAAATCGCCTGGCATATTTACTGCGGCATAATGATGAGTACTCTGTGAAAGGCTCTTACAAACTGATAAATGTTATTGAGAGTTCCCAATCCTTATTTTACCAATAGTTTTTATACAGTTACGGATAAAAGGCCATATTAGTATTCTATCTAATCCATCTCTTAAGCAAAGCGTTTGACATACCTTCACTTTGAACGACATTTAATGTGAATGTTAATGTTTACATTTAATTAATAAAGTAGTTTGAACAAATAAATAGGTTTTATTTATTTCATATAACGTAAATAATTCATAACAAGGAAAATCTTTAGATGTGAATATCTCCTAAAGAAAGCGTTTGCGGACATACCTTCAGAGGAAATTTTTTCTTGTTTTGAGGTACTTAGTTCACTTTTGCAGTATGGCCACTTAACCCTGAAATACCCTGTATATGAAGTTTTCGGACTGAAGCCTTCTCCTCCCCCCCCCCCAATCGAAATTAAATTCTGGATCTACTACTGCTTAATCAAAATTAATTAAGAATATTTAAAAAGTTACAAACATAGATAAAAAAAGACATTAAAAAAATTTCTTATTTCTTGTATATTCAATTGTTATAACACATCATTAAGTAAAACCAAGAATCATTGAGGATCAGTAGCTGGGTGACAACTTATCAACTTAGTTCGAGAGTAATAAATTATTTACATCCGCCTGAAACTTCTTAAATAGCTTCATTTCATCGTAACCTACAAATATTTGACTAACGAAAATTTTCGGCAACTTTTTCTATTTAATTAGGAACTAAAAATCAGTAAATACCATTTCCTTTGGATCTACTAAGATACTTTGAGAACAAAGTCGAGGAAAAAGGTGGCCTTAAAAAATAATGAGCCGTTTGGCATGACTTACACCACCAAATAGTCAAAATGACGAGGTTATATAGGCCAAACGGCCCAATATTTTTGTAGGTCACCTTTCTCCTCGATTTTTCGATCAAATTATCTTACGGTCCAAGTGGAAAGCAAATGAGTATTTATGAGTTCTTACTACCTAATTAAATAGACAGTTTGCCGGTCTCCAGATTGAAAACGCCTCAATTCCAAGAGTTTTAGTAAATAAAATATTAGTAGGTTACGATGAGAGGAGGCTATTTAAGAAATTTCAGGCGGATGTCAATAATTTGTATATAAATTACTAAACAGTAATTAATAAATTAATAATTTAATAGCGTTAATAAATAGATAACGGTGTAGAGATGGTTGGCCGTGATATAATATGAGAAGGAGCTGGTCTGGGGGTGCAGTCAAATAAATACTAAATTTTAAAAAATAGTATTTTTAATTATTACGCCGACGTTTCGACCCACATTCCAGGTCTTCATCAGGAATACAAAATATAAAAGGTACATGGTGAAAATAAAATAAATGAATAGTAAGTAGATATTAAATAAGAAACAACTGTCTGATAAAGAAATAATAAGATTACATCAAAGATGTAGATATATCATCTTATTATTTCTTTATCAGAGGACTGTTTCTTATTTAATATCTACTTATAATTCATTTATTTTATTTTCACCATGTACCTTTTATATTTTGTATTCCTGATGAAGACCTGGAATGTGGGTCGAAACGTCGGCGTAATAATTAAAAATACTATTTTTTAAAATTTAGTATTTATTTGACTGCACCCCCAGACCAGCTCCTTCTCATATTATATCACGGCCAACCATCTCTACACCGTTATCTATTTATTAACGCTATTAAATTATTAATTTATTAATTACTGTTTAGTAATTTATATACAAATTATTGACATCCGCCTGAAATTTCTTAAATTGTATTGTAGCCCTGACGAAGACCTGCCAAACGTCGGCGTAATAATTTAAAATACTATTTTTTAAAATTTAGTATTTATTAGACCGCACCCCCCGACCAACTCCTTATAAGAAATAAATAACTCTCGGGTTAAAACGGGGTTTCATGAATTGAATTTACGAGTATCATTTCAAAGTTTTTGTCAAATTTGGGTATAGATTTTTTTTCGAGAAAACCTCAGAGAAAAGGGTGTTTGTCGACTTTTATTTTATCTCTTCGTATGTGATTATAATTTAATTTTATATATTGGGGGCAAATAATTGTTTTGTTAAATTTGAAATGATGAATTGATCGTTGTTGCCAAGTAATACAATGTTAAGAAAATGATTGACAATCAACGGGAGATTGCATCAAATAAACTTCATAGACTTGAAGATTTTTTAAGCTCCATAATAAAATAGTTCATAATGTACATCTTACAATGTTAGTAATTCTGGGTTGTGACAGCAATAAGCAGTGAGAAATTAGCATATAATTACAAATTTTACCAAACCATGAATGGGAAATATGCTTTTATAGGGATGGTTCATGTAATAATAATAATATTAAATAATATATAATATATAATAATATATAATATAATAATAATATATAATATAATAATAATATATAATATATATATAATAATAATATTAAATTGTTTACCTTTCTTGCATTAGGTCAGACGTAACCATATCGGACTAACTTATTAGGTTTGTTTTTTCATTCAATCAAACGTTACCCTTCCTTGAAACTTTCAAGAATTTCATTTGTGTTATGTTTAATACAACAAAACAATTATTGTTCACCAAAACATGACCGATTTTTATGTACATTTTTTAAAATTGTAAACTTATTATTATAGTTATTGTTAGAAAGAAAAAAACCATTGAACTTTTAATGTTATAACATCATTATTAATAATAATAGCATTATAGTTATTAATAAAAATGACGTTCACTTAAATTAAGTTACCATCTTCTTGAGTTTATACACTATCGATAGTTTGTCTTCAAGGTTATTGAAAACATCGATAGTATATTTCAACATGAAGTTTCCCGGAGCATATGACGTCATCTTACATAATCTAAATTCTTTAAAATACATTTTATTAATTATATAAAAATAATAAGGTATTTCCAAATAACATCTTAATGGGTGAAACAAAAATCTAAACCTGAGAAAAAACAAAATAAATATTTTCGTTGTTTTTTCATTAATTAAATATTATTTTATTAATTTATCTTTATTACTTTATTTTCAATATTTACTTCTAAGCAATCAGATATGGTCCTTTATTTCTCTTACTTTTTGTTTTAACTTTTAAATATTTCGTTTTTTATTGATTTATATGACTCTCATCTTTGTTGTAGATTTTCTTTTAAATGTTAATACTTACATTCTAGGCTAAACATAAAAAATTGAACGTTTTTTCATTATAATTTGGGCTATCTATCTAATCACTTTATCTGAGATTTGTTTCCATAGTTATATCCTCAATTTGAAATTGTCTTTCAGTGGTTCCTGATTTCATTTTATTTTATGCTATGTTTTATACAAAATAACAAGTCTGTAATATTAAACTTACTATTAATAAGTAATTAAACTTACCTCGCATAATGAAGTACTTAAAAAATAATATAAAATAAATAAATGAAAAATACCAATATGCATTTTGGAGAGTTAACTTGCCTTTCTTATAAATAATTTGTTCTATACGATCATAAAGTGACAATAGTAAATCTTGTCTTTGATCTCTAAAGTAATTTGGAACTTTCGTCTGAACATGGTTCCTTGATATGAAATTTTGAAATATTAGGTTGTCCAGGTATCTATAAAGAAAATTTGTTTTATTTTTTTTTTATTTATTTTTTTTTCTTTGTTAAATTTACATTTTAGTTGAGAAGGCATATTTATAATAAATTATAAAAAATGAAGAAACAATTGAAGTGGGATGAATTTATAAACTATTTTGAATGGCAAACATAAAATTATACCCTGAGTCCTGAATTTATTTACTTTCTTTGTTTCACATAAAAAAAATTTAAAAAACTGATTTTTTAGAGAAAGTAAAGTAAATAAAAATCAAGATATGATACAAATCAACATTCAACCTATACTTAATTAATCTTCACTAGAATTTTTACAAAACATTAAAATTTATAAATAAAAATACTTTTTTTTTCAAGGAATATTATTTATTTATTTATTTTTTATTATGTTTAATGAAGAAGGCTTTTTCCCTTAAACATATTAGAATTTAGACAAAACATTAAATTTTGTTTTAGTTAAAAAATTAATAATCTAAATACTTTTTTTCTAATGAATTGTATTTATTTATTTTTATTGTTATTCCATTTAATGAAGCATTTTGCCCTTTTGTATGTGAATTATTTTCAGTTTTCAATATACTTTTTAATTTTGTATTTTCTTCTGTCAAAGTTTTAAAAATATGTAGTTAAATCCTTTTTATCATGAGTGCATGTCGTACAGTGTTCCTCTTGGCATCTGAGAAGATATGATCAGATGTTACTTTTGATTTTATCAGAAACTTTGTAGTGAGTAAGGCTCTGACCCTATTCATGGGCGGATCTACGTGGGAGGAGGGGCTTTGGGGCTGAAGCCCTCCCAAAATGGTAAAATATAACCATGTTTTATGAAAAAAAATATTAAAAAATTATCTCTTAAAGTATTATTGTTCGTGTAATTACATTTATAAGGACTTTAGGAACTTAAACACCATTTCATATAGGTAGTTAGTTTCTTTCTTTTTTTCCAAAATAATTATCGTTATTTTTATTTTGGGCTGAAGCTCCCTCCAAAATTAAATCCTGGATCCGCTAGTGAACCCTTCCAACAATTTTAAAACCCAATAAGTTGGGAAATTTTGAAAACTATGAGGAAAATGTTTTATTCAAAAAGTTTCTTAAATATAATACCAAGTAAAGAAATTGAGATTTTATTGATATAATGTGATTCAGTAGAAAAGAAAATTACTGTTATCCAGTATCTACATTAAAGCGAAAAATTCAAATCAAAAGAGTTGGTGAAATTAAAAATTAATTTAATTGTGGGTTGATGGTTGACTGTAGTGAATAATGAAGAGAAGGGGATGGTTGGAGTGATCAGTCAAAATAAAAATGGCAAAAATAAATAATAATATTCATATTTTTGTTATTTTAATAAAATAAATATTATTTATAATATTATTTTGCCATTTTTATTTTGACTGACCACCCCAACCATCCTTCTAAATAAATAAGTCATAATTGTTTTTTTATGAATAGAATAATAAAAAGTTAAGAAATTTTAAGTTAAAAATAGAACAAAATGTTTGCTTATGATGTTTTGATAAATTTACACAATATTCCACTCTTGTAGTATATCTTGTTTTATTCTTATCAATAATGGCTTAAACATGTTAATGACTAACTATCAAATAATAGAACCTTACTCACTGGATAAGAAAACTTGATAAGACTAATGGATCTTTTAAGTATCGGCAGAATTTTAAAATTTCTCAGATTTAATAATTTTGATTTATATCAACATATAAATGATGCCATTGTGTTGTCTCAGAGGTTTCTTATCAAAATGATAACAAACAGAGTAATAGTGTTAGAAAATAATTTGGGAAAAAAATAATTCAAGGTAAGTAAAAAAATTAAAAATGAATTACTTTTGAACTGAGAGAAATTTTTATTAAGGTAAGAAATGTTTTATTTTCTTCTTTTCTAGAGATCTTTCACATATTTATTTTAATTATACTAACAAATATCTGGCCACATCATGTTAATGTTATAATTTCGATATAAAATTTCATAAAATATGATTGAATTTAATACAATTTTTAGCTAGTCAAAATATGCTTCTAATTTTCTATAAAAATTAGCAACACTTTTTTTATTTAGTCTTTGAAAAAAATTAGAACGTTAAAGAAAATGAATTATGGGAACAATTATTTTTAAACATATAACCAGTTTTAAACATTTCACCCATTAGAAAATAGTATAATGTTTAGGAGTTAATAAAATAATCTTGGTATTTCTTAATCAATCTCAAACTGTATGATTTTAAATTGTGTAGTAGTGGTATAAATTCTATCTAGCAAGCATTAACTATTTCGTGTGATGGAAATGAATAGATAGAAACACTTCAAATTTTAATAAACTACCATTCATTTTACAAATTCTATAATACATAAAAAATAATGAATAATAGAAAAAACTTACTGGAAATCAGCTTTTTCAATATCTACCATTTCAAATTTCAATTCTAATATCCGCCCAAATAACTTTTCTATGACTGCTTGGAGGCTCTGTCGTTTCATAGGATTAATAATGTCATTATGAGACTCGACAAGAATGTTGACGACTTTCAAATATCTAATACAAATTCAAAATATTTATTTGGTCAGTCTAATAGATGTCACATTCAATTTAACATTTTTAATATACCTAACATAAATGGAACCAATCACATCTATCGACTTTTGTATAGTTTCAATTGGTTTCATTTTTAAAAATGCTCTATCATCTTTGAGAATAGGTTTTAATTCTTTGAAGGCAACTTCTAACTGCTTTTCTATGTAATGCTCCATCCCTGTAAAAATATAAAGGGATTGCTCGTCTATGTTACGCACTCAAGTTGTTTTATTAAAAACAAAACAAAAGTACCTGGAATTCATTCAGTGAAGTGTTTGTACTGTAATTTAACGGTATAATTTGGTTTTATTTTTAATTTTATTCAATTTTTTTTAAAATACATTTTTGAGAGGTTATATTTTAAGTGAATCCATATGTTTTTGTTTATTTAAAATAGAAATACCCTCACACAAAGCATTTAGAAATGTTGACCCAATAAAAATTACGATTAGAGAATGGAATAGTAGAAGGTTTCAAAAAGATAAAACAAATTATTAAGTTAAATGTTTTAATAATTTTATTTATATCTTATAGGTTGCAATAGAACTTAGTTTTCCATAGAGAAAAAGTGATATACCAAACAAACAACCAAATACAAAATATGTTTTTCTTTTTATAGTTCAGAAATCAATTGGTTTTCAGAAATTATTGGTCATAAGTTTTTTTCATCACTCTCCATTAATTCTATGATTTTGCTGATTGGATATTAGTATTCTTAAAACGGAAATTTAGCTTTCCGATGATATATTAAAGATATGTAATACTTCTCTTATTATTTTCAAAATTATTCATCTTAATTTCTGCTTCATTACCAAATTATTATCACGTTTAGTTAATTATAGTTCATATTTATACAAATTGTCTTATTACTATCAATAAGAGATTATTTTTTTATTATTTATAATAAATAAAATTGAAGGAGCTTTTGAGCAGAGGTTCTCATTCTGGGTAATATGGCATCCTGGCATGACGAAGCAATGATATTTAATATTAAACAACACAATTGTCAAAAATGAGTAAAGATCTATTATACTATCAGGCCTTCATCAGTGCTGAGAAAAGAAGATAACAAAAGGTATGGGAAACATAAATAATGTAGATAAAAAAACTTATAGTAAAATGAAGTAGATAAGTGAACATTAAAGTAAAATAAAGTAGGAATAATAATAACAATAACAAGAACTAAGAAATAAATAATAATAATGGCTAAAAAGTGCGGAATAATGAAGTAAACATAATCAAAATAAGGTAACATAAGAACTAAAAATGGTACATAAAAATAAATTGTATTCTAAGATTACCATTTTTAGTTCTTATATTACCTTATTTATTATATGATTAAAGGGAAGAGTTATTTTGTAAATGCATTGCTTTATGTAACCCATAGTTAATTGTAATTGCATCTCAGTTAATGTGGTACAATAGGGATGATTGTTGTTGAAGTTAAGATTTTTCTTAGGGCTGAATAATACACAATTAATTAATTTCTGGGTGATAGTTTATATATTTTTACTGAAATAGGAAAACTTTGTATACTCATTTTTCTGTTGTTTTCTTTAGTAATTTATTGGTTGAATAGGAGTTTATTTTTTATCTAGTATTACTCCTATGAACTTTATTGACTTGGCAAAATAAATAGAGGTACCATTTAATATTATTACAATATTTAATATTGTTTTTCCATGCTTCTCGGATTTAATAGGTCTGTTTTTCTTTCTTATCTTAGTTTTCTCCTCCTTCCCGTCACTCTATTTTCCATATCTCCATCTCTATTTTGTATATATCGATACATTTGCTTATTCATCATTTTTACATTATTTTAACTTTTTATTGTCTTATATGTAGTCAGTATCTTTTGATAGATTTTACAATATTTCAATTTTCTATTTATGTCTATTATTTCCTTATATAACTTCATATTCCTTTTCTATGTTTTCCATTTTATTCTAAGGTTACCATTTTTCATTTCTTATATTACCTAATTTTGATTATGTTTATTTCATTAGTCCGCACTTCTTAGCTGTTATTATTATTTATTTCTTAGTTCTCGTTATTGTTATTATTTTACCTACTTTATTATACTTTAATGTTCACTTATCTACCTCATTTTACTTTAAGCTTTTAACCTACATTGTTTATGTTTCTGATACCTATTGTTATCTGGTTCTTTTCTCAGCCCTGAACTTCGGGTCAAAACGTCGGGAAATGTTAAAACAAATTTTATTATTTATTTTTGCCATTTTTATTTTGACTGATCACCCCAACCATACTTCTCTTCATTATTCACTACAGTCAACCATTAACCTACAATTATTATACATCACTTGAAGTATAATTGTGGTATAACTTTTTGAAGTACTATAAATGCTGGAATCCTATTACAAATCTGAGCAGAATTAAATCATACAAATTTAAAGTGGCTCTTTCTAGATCTATAAGAAACAAATTCTCGTACCTAATAAAAAAAAAAAAAAAAAAATGTTATAATAAATAAAAGTTTTTAAAAACTAAGTTGACAGGTTGTCCAAAAGTTGTCACAGTTTCAGGCCACGTAAGAAACCTTAGGTTACATAATACAGATCAAATTAAAAAAAATCAAAATGGAGTCTGGAATGTTTTATTTGTATAACAAATGTAAAATATACATTAAATTGATTTATTATTATTATCTTCTTAAATGTACTTAAAGAGTTTGAAAGGCCTTTTGTAATATCACATTATGCAGTAATTGAACCGCACTGAAAAGGTTTCTAGTTATTTAACAATCTACAAATTAAACTTAAAACTATAGAAATATTCTCAACATTTAAATCTAATTTGTTTTCTTAACTAAACTAATAATACTTTAATTAGAAAAAATATTCATATCCATTTTAGCATTTTAAAATGCTAATTATATGGTAACAATAAAGAATTCAATAATACTAATATGTACTTGATAATACTAATTTTTTAAATTAAATTTCATATGTACATGAGTACACCTAAAGACTGAGTATTAAGACATTCCAGATTTTATTAGTCGTCCAAGTATATAAATTATAAATAGTCTAATTAATTAATAACAATTAATTATTAACACAATAAGTTAAAATATTTATGCTTTTAAAAAATGTACAATTTCATAATATTTACAAAAAAAATATGAACAAATGCCGTGCCATGTTGACTATTCAGATAAGAAAAATAAAAATGTCGACTTCATTAGGCCATGAGAGCTAACAATTTTTCACATAAATTAAAGAAAGCTTTGTTAAGTAATCAATGAAGATGCTTAAAGCATTTAATACTATTTGTAGCGAACTAAATCACTTATTTGGTATCGGAGGTGCAGTTGGTATTAACGGAGTGTTTGAATCAGTTGTTATGTCGAGGAGAGCAATATCTTCATCGGGGGATAGTCTCCCATCAGCTATCACGCTGATCGATCTACAACACAATATAAATGTAAGTAATTTTTTTACAAATAAGTTAAAGTTAGAAACATTCATTATTGTGTGTTTCATAAAAGAGTGATATAATAATACATGTGTATGATACATATGAATCACATTATCTAAAATAAAAGTTAAATTAAAGTAAAATTATAAAACATAGTACTGAAGAAATGTTTTATTTATTTTTTTTACCTGTACCACTACAACCCATGAAGGGTCTGGGGTTCAGTACTAATTAGGGAAAGCACTGTTTCTAGGTCCACGGTTGTGCAAGGAGGTGATTTGACCGAGATCACGCTCAACCGCCAGGTTTTCCTCCTAAATTAATTATTTAATTAAGGGTATGGGTACCCTTAATAAAGTGGGCTTTATAGAGGCTGGGTATGCCCCAGGAGGGTCTCCCGACCCAGGGTCGCCCCACGACCAATGAAACAGATAAATAAATTGTCTACCATGAACCGGGGTTCGAACCTGGAAGCTTAGTGCCCTACCACTGAGCTACCCCACTGCCATGAAGAAATGTTTACAGGTATAAAGTATGTTTGTAATTTTCTTTTATTTACTGATGATGTAAGAGCAAAATTCTAGGACATATTATATACACATTTTATGCTATGATAATATAGCCGTACTATGATATGGCATATCCAACCTTTAGTGAGTAATCTGAATTAAATAATTAATTATGGGGAAAATCTGACTTTAGAACATACCATTCAAATCACCACTTTTCTAATACTGAGCCTAAGGACCTGTAACTTGTACCGTTACAGGTTATTTCCATACATTACATAATGATGAAAACATATTGCATATTACATATGATAATCTATTTTAAACATTTATTTGAAAACTTATTAAGAATCTTTCCAAACAATAAATAGTTTGTTACTAATGTGTAATCATTATAACTCCTCTCCATTAATATATTTAGAAAAAAAAATATAAATAAATAAAAATATTGATAAAAACAAATACAGGATAGAATAGAAATATTAATATAATGGTCTAGTTTTGTATCAATATTAAATATTATGGTACATAATATAATAGTAAATAATCTAATTTGTTTTCTTAACTAAACTAATAATACTTTAATTAGAAAAAATATTCATATCAATTTTAGCATTTTAAAATGCTAATTATATGGTAACAATAAAGAATTCAATAATACTAATATGTACTTGATAATACTAATTTTTTAAATTAAATTTCATAGGTACATAAGTACATCTAAAGACTGAGTATTAAGACATTACAGATTTTTTTTTAGTCGTCTAAGTATATAAATGAAAATATATTTTATTTTATATAAATGTAAATATATATACCATTATATATTTTTTTACACATTTACTTATTGTATTTTCCATGTAATACAGTTGTAAATCTCAATAAAAAAAATATTTTTTTAAAATTCCAAATTGCTAAACAACAAAATTCAAAATGAAAAACATTCTAACGATGTTCTATTTAAAACCTTTTTTTTTTTTTTAACTTATTAAGTATATTTGCATACAATAAACAGTTCATTACTATTGTGTTGTCATTTTAACCCCTCTCTCTCTTTCTAGACATATTTAGAACATAAAAGAAAGAATAAATAAAGTTATGAGGAGTTGGTCGGGGGGAGGGGAAAGGTGAGGTAAAAAAAATAAAAACAGTATTTTTAATTGATTTAATTATTTTTTTAATTGAGTATTTATTTGGTGGGACCCCTCCTCCCCCTCCTCCCGACCAACTCCTCATATTATATCATGGTCAACCATCTCTACATCATTAATAAATAAAGTTGATAAAAAAATTATACATAATAGACTAAACATAATAATATAAAATATAATATCATTAAAGAGAGCAAAATCTCAAAAACATTTAAAATTTACAATTCATACCTTTTCTTAGGTTCCTCATTATAATTAGAACATCACCAACATTAATCATTAGCATCATATTGAATTGGGGCATAAATTTGTTTTTCAATATAATAGCATACTTTTAATATAGAAGTATAATATTTAAAATTTTAGACTATAATTTATACAATTAGGACTTTCCCAAAAGTGGCCAAATTAGGCTAAAACATGAATTATATTATTTTTTTTTCTATTATTATTTTATTTGTTTTCTTACATAATGAATCACTAAACACAAGGTAAGTGGATTGAGTCACTGGACATTTATATGGAAAAAAATTACATATGCTTGAGCTGTGATAGAATTAAGCGATAAAGAGCCTATATAAGATTGATTTAATGATTACACTTTTTAAATAACAGAAAAAGGTTTTTATTTAACTAAAACACTTAAAATAACAGTATATATATATATATATATATATATGGTGAGGTGAGATTGGGCTTGTCGCCTGAATCCATTGTGGCTGCCAAACACGATACTTTGAAACTTCTCTCGACTCTGATTTATAAAATAAATAAAATACATTTTAAACTAAATATTTTTATTCAGAGATGACAGGGTGAGACTATTATAAGTAGAAAGTATGACATCCAACGGTAAGAGACTAGATGCTGGTAGCATCTGACGTAGCCGTGTCGTCTCCACTCTTGTAATATAGTTCCTTCCTACCACTTCTCTCTAATGATAATTATCTTTGCAAATATCAATAAGAAACAATGAGGACATTTAATTGTTACAACCAATTAAAAGTGCCGAAGTAAGTTGAAATACCCAATTCAATAAATGAATTGATTAATAAACAATGACGATCACATCAAAATAACAACAGTTATAACTTTATAGATCAAACTTTTATACAATTTAGTCTAGAATTTAATCTTCATTAGGGCAACAATATAATAATTCTTATTTGTGTGTAATCTCATTTCTGAATACACTACCAAACAACTTTGTACGAAGAAGTATTCTATAGTAATAACATCCAAGTTATAAAACTTAAATTAAAATATAATCGTCTAAACAACAAAGGTAAATAAAAATAAATCCATTTGGGATACACAAGGAAGTTAAATCCTAAATAAAAAAACAAAAGAAGTCTATTATGTTTGCTGCTGCACCAAATTTTAAGAGCTGTTTAATCGAATTATACAATTTTATTGAAATTTATGGATTTAAAAACAGCTAACAGCTAATGAAATGTGGGTTAAGTTTACATTATACTTTACAAAATTTCATTTTAAATAATTAATAACTTTAAACTTTATATTTATAAAGTTTTATTTTATTTTGGTTGAAGTATTATATAATTAATAAATAAAGGCTGCATTTTTTCTTTATTAATTATTATTTTCTATGTTAAAAACATTAGCAATAATTAACAGAGAACTTCCTATAAAAAAAAATGAAGGACACGTGCAGCTAATGCATTCAATTAGCAACTGAATTGTAAATAGATATAAATTGTACGTAAGGTTAGTTAGGGAGGAAATACTATAAACTAATATAATAAAAGTAATGTTAACGATGACTGTAGCCTTGATATATTAATTATCTTCATGTTTAAATATACAATTTTCTTATTCTAAAATATTCCTGACAACTATTTTGTAAACATTATGTTCAAAATCATGTATTAACAGTTAATATCTGTTAATAAATTATCAACAGTTAATTAACATATTTTTTAACCCAATTTTCATCCAAAAATACATAAAACAAAAATTATTTTACTTTAAAGAATTTTTATGTGTTATTTATTTTGGGATGAAAAATGGGACAAATTAAAAAAATTGTTAATCAACTGGTGATAAGATAATAAATATATAATATAAAGCAATAGAAAGAGAGATAAAAAATTGTAATTAATATGGTAAATTTAAAACTAAATAATCATTTTTCTTGAATCCTAAAGTTTTTTCAGCTAAGTTTATTGCTAAAGGATCATTAAAGTTAGAAAAACAAATGCCGTTTACACTTAGCTAATTTCTTTGACAAAATTAATTTTAAAAACCAAATTTAATTAACCATATCCATATCCATATTTATGAGCTCGATAACTCAAATTATTATTAACTAGTAGTGTATACTAAAGCTAGACTTAAAGGTAATTCTGTACGAGATATCTGAAAGGCTGATTATTCAAGCCGGGGAGGTTTTAAAGTAAGGGTAAGATTTATTTTATAACTTAATAAACAATAATTACTTTAAAGTAAAAAAAATAAACATACCAGTAAACATAAAGCCAAAAAAATTGATTTTCTTTTTTTTTTTTAATTTCATGAACATTACAAAACAAATGATAAATACCATACTAAGGTAAAGTGATACAGTAATGAATTGACTCCATATTAAAATGACTAAAAGAAAGAATTTTTAATAATAAACATTGCAATTTGAAACAATAAGTCATCTAAAATATATACATAACATTATAATAATAAAAAGAAATTAAGGTTCATATTTATAAATGATAGAAATAAAGTTTCGTCTCTTAAAAATAAATTATAACTACATTTGAAATAAGAACAGTATGGCTGTACTGTCTTTAACTTAATTCATCCAAATTCATTAATAAAATAATAGTAAAGGAGCGAAAAAAAAGTATGTAGAAATAAAATCTGGTAAAAAATGTATATAAAAAATAATAATATCGAAAACAATACAACACACTTTGAGTAATAGGATAAATATATACAAATGAAACAATACATAATATAATGTATTGTAATACACACCTAATAGTTTAATAAATTGATATAACAGTTAGAAGGCAAGATAATCTAGTTCTACTAGTGCAGGGAAAAGAAAATGGCTGCTCTGTAGTCTCCCAAGAAGGAAAATCTCAAAGATGAGAGGAACAAAGGATTTGTTTTGGCAAGCAGTTGTTGTGTGGCTGCAGTGAAGAGAGGAAAGGAGAAGTGATCCTGGCTCCAGTGGGTAAAACCCAGTAATAGTATTACCATTTCGGAAGATATGTTTGGCAGAACTTAGTTTGAAGATAAATGAATTTAGTGCAACAAAGGAAGGAACAGTGTATATAGAAAAAAGGTTAGCTTGCCAATCCATATTTGA